TCTTCAGACAAAAAATTTGGCGGAAAAGAAGTTTTATTTTCTTTTAATTTAATTTAAAAATAAATTTTTAAAGATTTTGGCAATTCTTTTTATGGTAATTTCTTGGTCAATATTTTTATTTCCTGTTCAAATTAAACTTTTACTTTGGGAAAAACTTGAAAAAATAGTAGAAAATGAGTTGTATGATTTTGAAAAATCAATGGAAAAAATGAAAGAAAAATTAAAAGAAAATAATTAAATTTTTATTATTTTTTGAAAAAAGGTAAAAATAAATTTAAATATATATAATTTACAAAAAAAAAAGAAATATTTTTAAAATTAAATTATCAATTAACTATTTCCTTTCTTTCTCAATTAATTTTTATAATTACCAGAATAATAAAAATTAGAAGAAAATCTTTGATTATTTAAATTAATTGGAGAAGGTGAAGAAGAAAAAGATAAAAATGGTTGTTTATTTGTAATTAAAATATCATTTGAAAATGGATATTTTAACTAAATAAAAATAATTAAATAATTTAAAAATTAAAATTAAATTACAATTTGTTGTTGTTGATTAGAAGGATTTGTTGGTGGTAATATTCTTTTAAATGGTTGAGGTTTTTGTTGTTGTTTTGTTTGTTGTGAAAATGAATTAAATTGTTGTTGTTGTTGAGGATTTATTGAATTAACTTTAAAAAATTTTTAAAGTTTTTTTTCTCCTCTCAAATAAAAAAAACCAAGCTAATTATTAAAATAAAACGGTAAAATTAATTCTAAAAATAGCAAAATTGGATAGAATTAAAATGAAAATTTTCATCCAAATTTTGATTTCTTTTTAAGGAAAGGAGTGAATTTAGCCCCGGTCTTTTTGAGTATTTAAAAATTAATTTACTTTGATTTTGTTGAAAATTATTATTTAAATATTTTTGTTGTTGTTTGTAAAAACTTTTTTAAAAAATAATTAGTATATTTTTTTAAATTAAAGTAAATTTACAAATTTTTATTTTCTGAATCAATTAAAAATAAAGGAGAAGTTGTTGGGGGGAGTTGAGTAGAAGTATAAATTGTTTGTTTTTGTTTTTTTGAAGATTTGTGATTATGGTGGTGATTATGGTAATTGTTTTTAAGTGTCTTTTTAAATAAATTAAAAATTAATTTTTAAAATTAAAAATTACCGGAATTCCTTCAATTTTTGTTTTTATTTTTTTGTGATGTTTCTTTTTTGATTTTTTATTTAAAGAATTTTTTGTTAATAATAATTCTAAAATTAATTTTAAATTATTTTTTTTAAATTATTTCCAACCATTATTATTTCCAACTTCTTCCAATCCCCCTCCTCCTCCTTCATGTAATAATTTAATCCCTTCAACAACAACTTTACTTTCTTCATTTTTATTTAAATTTTTGTGTTTATGATAATGTTTATTTTCCTTTAAATATTAAATTAATTTTTAATTTTTAAATTAATTTAAAATTACTTTCGGTCTTTCCAAAGAAAGAATAACTGGAGGCTTTTTAAAATTAATTATTTTACGAAGAATTGGATCGTTTTGACCATCAACCTTTTAAAAAAATATTTATTTTTTTAATTTAAATTTAAAAATAAACAAACAACAAATTCTTCAAAAAAATTTTCATTTTTATTTGTTTCTTCATCAGTTAAATTTTCATCAAACAATCCACGCCTTAAGGCTGCTAAATTTCGACGAGAAGCTTTTTGTTTATTAATTGGTTTTTCTAAGAGAAAAAATATTTTTAATAAATTTAAGGGGAAATCTCGAAGAGGAGGATTTTAAAATGCTTTAGCTACATATAAGCAAAAAGCTTGGTTAGTGGAAATCCGCAACGACCCTCTAATTTTCCTTTGGCTAGTCCCGCTGAGAATTTTTTGATTAAATAACTATTTAGATAAATATAATTTTTATTTTCTGCCCCAAGTAGGGTTGGCGGTTGCTGGGAAATTTTTGGATATTTGGAACCGATATATCTGGAACTGTTATTAGAGAGATTATTTACTAAATTTAATTTTACCTTTTCTGTTATTTATTATATCATCACCAATTTCTTTTTCATTTTGATGAGGAGGAGAAGGAATAGGAGATGTATTTTCTTTTCCCTCATTATTATTTTCTTCTTTAATTAATTGTTTTTCTAATTCTTCAAATTCTAATTTTGTTAAATTTCCCATTTTTAAATGTCCAAGCAATTTTCCAAGTTCTGGAACCATTTCAGATAAATCAGAATTTTCAATTATTGTCATATTTAAATTTTGACTGGATGGATTTGATGGAATCTTTTTTTAAATTAAATATATTTTTTTAAAAATATTCCCAAATTATTTACCAACGGTTCTAATAATAACAATTTTTCAATTTCTTCCTTTTCTTTTTTTAATTTTTCTTTATTTTCTTCACCATCAATATTAAAATTTGTTTCAATTTTTTCTTTTTTAATTATTTTTATTTTTGTTGTTGTTTCTATTACTTCTTCTTCCTGTCCATTACTTTCACCTGGCAATAAAATATTTTCTTTAAAATTATTTTTAATATTTAATGGAGGAGGAGAAGGAGATAAAGGAATTTCTTCAATTGATCCAACACCAATAAATTTCTGTTTAAAAATTAATTTAAATTATTTATTTCTAGTACCTTTCCTGTTGAAATTCTATTTCCTCTAATATTATTTTTATTAAAATTATTATTTATTTCTTTTAAATTTCCTTTAGACAAAGAATTAATATTATGGCTATTACTGTCAATCTCTCCTTTAAAAAAATTTTTTTAGAATTTTTAAATTGTCAAATAAAAAACTAGCCAGGTAATAATTTAGCTATTCTATTATTTGTTGTTGGAAATAAATCTGGAATTAATGTAAAATGTGAAGAAGGCAATTCTGTATTTATATTTCTTCCATTTAATGAATTTCCTTCAATAATTCCTCCACCTCCACCATCACTCCCTCCTTCTCCCCCAAATTCTTTTCCATATTCACTTCCAATATTTGTTGTCAATTTTGAAGAACCTTTTTTATTTTTTAATAAATTTATTTAAATATAGGTAGTGAAATCCCGTTAATACATCACCATTGAAACCGAAATTGGGTAGACATATGAAAGAGAATGATGTTAATTGGAGATATATATTAACAGGGATTTAATTAATTTATTTACTTTTAATCCCTCCTCCATTTATTCCACTACCCCCACCACCACCACTTTGTCCATTACCAAATCCATTAAAAAGCCTATCTTGAAAATCTTTATTCATTCTTGCTGCGTTCTCTACAACAACGGGAAACCAGGCACTTAAATTAATTTTGGGTAATACCTTAGATAACCCCCCTCCCCCATTTTCTACCGTTTCCCTATCTATTTTGAGCTTTTTGCTTGATATTACAGGATTGTTCTAATTTTATTATTTTGAACAAAAATATGAAGCTGAATCCTCCTCTTTCGAAAAGCTTTTTGTTCCGCTTGAAGGGATTGAAACAGAAGATCATACCTTAGTTAACTTAAATCTGATTTAGTTGATTTTAATGCCATATGACTCAGCTCGAAGAGCTCTTTAATGATATGTATTAATTTGCCATAAAAAGAGAAAGATAATAAGAGGGAGGTCAGCCAAAGTATTACCCAATTTTCTTTTAAACAAAAATATTGTTGAATTTACCTTTCTGATGCTTGATTGGCAATTCCAACACCGGTTCCTATTTATTTTTTTTATTTTATTAATTTCCATATTTATCTACCTGTTAATTGGAGGGCAGCTTGTGCTAGCTGATAAACTTTAAATTATTTAGATTTATTTTTAATATTTTTTAAAATTAATTTTTACGTTGTCCAATATTTCCCAGAGCTCCTGCAGCCCCCGCACCTGCAGAAGCACCTGTACCAATAGCTGAACCAAGTCCAGTTCCAAGCCCAGTACCCAAACCTCCAGCTAAACCAGACCCAGCCCCACCCGCCACCAAAGAAGAAATTGCCGAAGCAATTTCCCCGAATTGAGCATTTCCAAAAGGCAAAAAAATTAAAATAACAAATAAATAAAATGTAATAATAAATTGTTTAAGAATGTAAAGGGAATTATTAGTAATTTTTCTTTTAAAATAAATTGATGAAGTAAAATCTCTTTTTATTTTATTTTTCTTTAAATTATTATTTAATGGTGGGGGAGGTTTGCCTGGTGAACATTCTGGTGGCATTACTTGAAAAGGAAAAGAGAATAATTTTAGGTGGCTAGAAAAACTTAAAATATTTAAATAAAATTTTGAAAAAAAGCCAAAATTAAAAAAACTATAAGAATATTTAATCATCAAAATCAGAACAAAAAAACACTTTAAGACTTGTTGTTGTTTTATTAATGTGTGTTTATGTTGTGTTTATACATTAAACGGTTGAATGAATTAAATATAGGGGGGAAGGACATTTTTGCGCAAGCCAAGGCTAAAATTAAAAAAAAAGGGGGGGGGGTGGAAGGAGAGAACTGGTCGAGTGATGGCCGCTGGTCAACAATTATCAAGTAAATCTCCTCCTCTCCCCTCCTTTTAAACATCTTTTCCCAAAATCTTTAACGTAAAGTCGAATCGCTCAGCTGTCCAAAAAAAAAAGAGGGAAGAGAATGTAAAGCTAGAAACATTAAAATCCCCTCATCCTCTTTTTTTGCTAATTTTTTCTTCATTTTCCCATCAGCGCTAGCGATCGATTTGCTTTGATCTTAAAAAGAAAAACAGCCAATTTGCATTTTCCGCGTGCCTGTTTTTGAAGAAAAGGAAAGTTTTTGAAAAAGAATGTTGAAAACCCTTTCAAAGATGACCTCTAAAAATAGATTGGGAAGAATCTCTTTTTTATTTTCTATTTTTTTCCACATCCCTACACCCATTTAAAAGAATTTTTAGAAAAGAAAAACCAATCGAAAATAATTGAAAGGAAATTGTGACAAAATAAAAAGAGAAAATTTAAATTCTTTTTTTATTATTTTAAAATTAAAATAAATTAAACCTTTCCAGAAAATATATAAAATTTAAAAAAGTTTCACAAAATTATCCAAACATCCGAAGATTCCTTTTTCTTCAGACAATTTTTCTCCATTTAATTTTTTCAATTGTTCTTTAGGTAATTTATCAAAAATTAAAAAACCGGCAGCACGTTCAATTGCCTTAAATAATTTAAATTAAAATAAAAAAAACTCAAAAATTACATCAAGAGGAGAGAAAAATTCACTCAAAGGTTTTTCATTGGGTATGGGTGCATTTGGCATTAAATAAACCTAAAAAATAATTTTTGAAAATAAAATTATTTATTTATAACCTCCAATTCAAATTGATCTTTTATTTTTTCGATTAAAACAACTTTGAAGAAATGAGTGGGCACAGCAACACGATTAGCGCCAATCACCTAAATAGCAAAAAATTATCAAAAAATAAAAGAAAAAAACCTTATATTTTATATAAAAATGCCCATCTTCTTGATAAGGTAAATAAAGAGGACCTGAGCAAACATAAACATTCAGGCTATCACGAGCAATTTGTCTAAAAAATAAAAAAATATTTTCTAAATAATTTTTTACAAACCTAACATGTTTTTCCAAATCATTCCATTTATCTCTATTAAATCCTTTACCAACTTGTGGTGTCATATTTGTTAAAAAGAAAGTTTGTTCCATTGTTAATTGTTTACTACGATGATTTGCTGCGGCTGCCAAATGTCCACGATCATAACCACTCCTCTTAATTATTGTGAAAAATGAAAACAAATCCTCCTTATAACATGGGTGGTTAAACTATAATCAACAAACCAGCCCCTTATCAATAATAAAATTAAGCCAAATTATTTAAACTCTTTAAATATTACATACTTTATAATCTTCATTTTGTGATTGGAAATATGGATGAATAGAAGTATCTGGTTTGAAAATACATTTACTTCTGTCAACATCTGGATTGTAAGCGATAACATCCTTTGTAAGATGTTCAATAACCCAATGAGCTACTCTATTCCTTCGATCATAGCTGACAATAAAATCCTTAATTTTTAATTATATTATGAAACGTTTACCAATTCTCAATCTATTAAAAAACATTAAAATAATTAACCTCATATGTTCTCAGATTATCAAATCCTGGATATCCAAACCGCATAATCTCTGCTGCACGTGATGGCCCTTTCCGAAATTCATTAACCATATTACTCTTTTGTGGTTGCTTCATTTCAAATGGGCCCGAAGGCAGAGGTGTAACTTGTGGAGGTAAAGCAACAGCCGTTCCAGCACTATCAGCGAACACTCTCCATCTCCTCCAAAAGTCGTTTTTTGATTCATTTGATGAACAATAGTTACCAGAAATAAAACCCAAAGAAGCCGCTCCGGCAGAAGACGCCAAAATTGATGCGTAAAAAGTTGTCTTATTCATTTGTAGCTGCCAAAACAATGAAATTAAAATAATTAAGTGGATAAATTAAAATAGGTATATAAAATAAAAATTAATTTTTAAAAGGATTTGGTAGTTATTTTTCAGTTTTCCTCTCCTATAAATGGTCAGAGAGCGTGATTTTTCAGATATATTCTTTATTCTGAACAAACAGGTACGACCATACAAAACTTGAAAAAAAATTCTAAAAGACAAATGATGCTTCAACCATTTATAGTATTTTTGAAAAGAGAAATTTTGTCATGAAAGGTACAGAATTTGTTTCAAAAAATTTACTAGCACAAAAAATTTAAAACAAAAAAATTGAATAAAGGAATGAATACAAAATTATTTTTAAATTAAAGTTTCATTTTAGAATAAAATATTTAGATTTTTCAAGTTAAATTTCAATAAAAGAACAGAGAAGTTACAAAAAATTAAAGAAAAGGTCAGGCTTATAACATTAAAAAAAACTAGAAAAAGACATTCTAACACAAAATACCCAAACATTAAAAATTTACAATTTAAAAATGCCTTTTTGAAATCTATTTTCGGAAATAACAAAGTTATATTCAACCTTCGAGGTCTTCTTTAAACAATATATTTAAATTTTGTATGTATAAATCCCCAAATTAAAATAAAAAATCTTTTCTAATTTAAGCATCCTCGTCTTGAACCATTATATTAGCAGAATATTTCAATCCACATTCAGCAAAAGTTTTAATTGAAATTCCATTTTCCCCAACAACTTCACCATTTTCTTTTTGCTCAAATTCGTTTAAATACCAGTCAGGAGCACAATATAATCGAGAAAAAGGAAAATTAATAACCAAAGAGAAATGTTCAGGACATTCAGGATGAATAAATACAGCATTGAAAAGACGCTAAAGAAAATTAAAAATTTAAATTAAAAAAAAATAAAAAAAACTTCAAGACTATCATTTTGTCGAAAACGTCGTTCAGCATTTACTCCATTTGGGAATGTAATACGAATTCGAATAATTTCAGATTTGGGATCAGACTCTAAAATTGCTTCATCCAAATTTTCATTAGCTTTAATTTCCTCTCGTTTTCTAAAATAAAATAAATAAAAAATTTGATTTTTAAAAGACTACCTGCAAAGTCTTTCGGTTCGAGCTCTAGCTCTCTCTGCAGCCTCTTTAACACGCCTTTCTTCGAGAAGACGTTGCTGTTCGAGTTGCTTACGTTCTTCAGCCTTTTGTCTGTCAATAGCAAGTGCACGGTTATATTCATTTTGTTGTTCATTCATTAATCTAAATTAAAATTATTTTAAAATTAAAGTCTCTCTTTCTTTAAAAATAAACATTCTATCCTGAACAACATTGACAAAATCACGCTGTTGCACATTATTACGTTCCCTATTTGCAATTGCTGGAGGAGTAGGCGGTCCGACCAAAAAATGATCTGAAAGTATAAAAATTTGCAATTGAAGTAAAAAGATCAAAAACTTACAAAAAAAGTTAATACATTCAGAAAATGTCCAATAAAATAGTCGGAAAGGTACAAGAACTAAAGCTTTAAACATTTCAATCCAAGTAAGCTGACGAGGAGGAGCTCGTTGAACAGGAAGCTGTCGCGGGGCACCAGATAAGTTTTGATTCAACAGAGCACGCATTTCATCATTAAATTCATCAGAAAGAGGCGAAGGCAGGCGTGGACGACGATGACGAAGTAATTCCTCTTGAAGTAATTCCTCATGATTTTCATTATTTTGATTTTCCATAACCTCTGGATGATCGCGAGACTGAAAAAAATTAAAAGAATAATTTAAACATTGTTTTAAATTTTACAAAGAAAAATTGATGAATAGCAGCTTCCAAATCGCCCCCAGATTCCTGTAATAATTGCTCGGCTGTTTCATTATCAATACCACAAATCTCCTGAAAATTCAAAAGGATTATTTCATAAAAGAAAAAAAACCTTAAACATAAAAATATTCGAATGTTCATTATTATTTTCTAAAGATTCTCCATTCTGTTGAGCACCAATATTGTTTATATTGTTATCATTTAAATTATTTTTTGAAGGTCCAGGAGACTGTGAAGTATTTTGAATTTGATCAGCCATCTTCTAGAAGAAAATCTTAGAAAATAAATTTAAAGAAATTAAAAAATAACACGAAATCAATCAAATATGAGAGTTGACTAAACTGACATTTACGTTAGCAATTACGTTACAAAAGTTACCAAATTGACATAGATAAAAAACATTTTGCCAAATCGACGAATTTAGCTTATTTAAAAGTTGAATATTTTTCATCTCGAGATTTATTTATTTAATGTTTTTTCTGTTTTGCTCAACTCTTAAATTGACTATATTGATAACATAACTTTGTTTAATAATTTTTCATTTTTAGAGTTAATTTTTAGTCGTACTAAATTTAAAATATTTAAATGTATACTGAAATCCGTGAACTTATAAATTTCCTTGCTCGTTACTTTCATTTGCGTATTCCTCGTTTAAGGGTATTAATTCTTTTTTATAAAATCCTATTTAATTTTTAAAGATTGGTATGTTCTGTGAGCATATGGCCAACAATTGCTTATTTCGTTTTCAGCCTTATTGGAATATCAACATACCGAAACAACGTTTGTTTTAATAAAATTTTTTTCTTTCTGGTTAAAAAAAGTTACAGTTGTATAAAAACTCAAAAAGTTGAGACAATGTATTCTTGATAGTTCTGAAATTTTTAAGTTTCAATGCTCCAGTATAAATAGAAAATAACAACACTAGCACTTCTAAATTTTTTGTGAATTATTTACAATTTTTGTATATTTTAAGATGAAGAACAACGTATTATTCGTATTTCGCGTACATTTTGTGACGAGACTTTTACTAGTGCTGCGAATTCTGTTGGTTTAATGCTCGAAGAACTGTTAAATTGCTTGCCAGGTATTTTTTCTTTTCTTTTTCTTTGATATAGTGATTGGGGAATGTGAAAGAAATTTGTCTTTTAATGTGACAAAAAATTACCTGGAAATATTTGTTTAGAAAATACCCACATATAATGTGAATTTTGTTTATAAAATGCCAAAATCCTCTTGAATTGACTCAAAATTAATTTTATATTTAAAGAACATATTATTCTGTATGTTAATCCTGGCGAAGTGTTCTACTGTAGCTGTGACTATTCTCCACCAATTCCTATTTGGCTTGGCTCTGTTAACGAAGATCTTAGCTATAACGAGCAAAAAGTTGATGGCCATTCACTGATTCCTCCGCCGCCACTGCCGACCAGAGGTAGGGTTATTTCGATGTTTCGACAATTCAAATATAAGTAGATCTTCATCTTTCAATTTATTAATCTAATGTCTTTATTTTTTAGTCCCGCCTTTGCTTCCAACTGGAATGGATTTTACTGCTCTTGATTGGCGTGTTAACTTATCTTTGGTTTCTCCGAGAGAGCTGGGTTATGAGTACACAAATCCGGTATTAATTGTTTAATTTATTAAATTAAACAATCATTCCTTTTTCCCTGAGTTATAACGGGCTGAGTGAATGACACAACATTAATGTGATTAGCCACATCTTGAGAAGGCTCTAGCAAATTGAATAATCCAATAACCTCCAACAAACTGAGAAAACTTATTAAAATCTGCCTTTACCGTGTATAAACAATTTTAGCATTAATTTAGAGGGGAAGGGTGTGTCTGAAATGGAAAGTACTAGAATGTTATTGAAAATTAAAAATAAGAAACTCTAAAATAAAAATTTAAATAATTTTTTCAGTTTACTGGTTTTCGCATGTTTCGTTATGTTTTGCCTGGTGCACCAAACTTTACAGTTGAGACCTTTGCAATTACTCGTTTTGGCTCTTTTCGTAAACGTCCAGAACATGAAAAGAAATTTGTTGATGCAATTAAGAACTTTGTTAATTCTGGAAATGTTAAGGGGGGAGGAGGGATTACAACAATTGAAAGTAATTCTGCAACTACAACAACATCAACATCTGCTGCTAAAAATTGTGGAATTTGGAGTTCTAGTAATGAAGGTCTTCTTTGGATGATGGCAGAAGAATTGAAGCAACTTAATTTTGAAGATAGGGAGAAATTTTTTTGATTTAATTTAAAGTAGATATCTAATATTTAATTATTGTTATATATAAGTGGTTGATTAAATAACAGTTTTTGGTCTGGGTTTTAAAGAAATTTACGGGTTTTGATAAAAAAATTGTCATAAGATATCTTTCTTCTATTATATTTTTCTTAACTTTTAAACAGCATAATATTTTATTACAGCGTTAATTTCACACAAGGCATAATTGAGGTAATAATAATTTTATATTAACACACAAAGCACTAGAATAGCAAATTGTAAAACCAAAAATTTTACACGACTCTCGCCTCTATTTTATATCCTGTGTCTTTAGAGTCAGGATTATTTTTCTCAAATATTTCCAAATCTTTTTATCTAGTGTGTTAAAATTTGCTTAAAATATTAATTTAATTTTTTTCATAATTTTTAGAATGTTTTTAAAAAGAATTACTTTATTTCCTCAAAAACATTTTTATTTCTGTTTTCGTCAACTACATTTAAGTAATAAATTAGAATATGGACGTTATCCATATTTTAATATTCACAAAAATGTTACTGATCCAAAGAGACAAGATCCTGATTATTTTGAAAAGGAGGCGGAGAAATTGCCTTTAGGTTTGTTTTTTTATTTGAAATATTTGAGAATCAAAAAGGTTTCAATTCTCGAATAATTATATTTTAATTGAAAAAATATTCAGATGCTCGATATATCGATCAATTAAAGAATCTTTGGGAGGAGAAAATTGGAAGTGAACGGCAATTAATTTTTAAAGCCCAAGACAGTTTAATTGGTAATTCAACAGATTATGGACTTCCAAAATTAAATCTGGATGAACCAAAACTTGATTATAAAGGAATTGATGCTTTAGAGACAGCACCTGAAAGTGTTAAGAAAATATTTAGTTTGGGGCATGCATCCTCGAGAGAAATAAATATGGCTTGGAAAATGTAAATATTTAATTTTATTTAAATTGGTAAATTTTTAGGGAAATGATAAAGAAAGTGCGCAGAGACGAATTGGATGGGAAGTCATTACCTGCAAAAAGTAAATGTTTTTTAATTAAAATAAAGGACGAATAAATATTTTGACTAAAAAATTTTTATATAAATTTTTAATTAATAATTTAGTTGGTTGGGCAACCGCCACAATCCGCAATTGGAATCGAGTTTATGCTGAATTTGAAGAGAAGCGTAATACTTCTAATCGAAAACTTAAATTACCCCGAGCTACCTGGATTTCTCATCCATTATATTTGTTAATAAATCAGCGAAGGAAATGGTTAAGATTATTAAGAGAACAAAGTGAAGAAGACTTTCAACGTTGTATTAATGAATTGAAAATTTCTTATATTATACAAAAGGAACCAGAACACGTGAAAACGAGAAAGGTTTTATCTATTTTAATTGGATAACAAATGTAACATAACCCAGCAAACATGATCTTGTTTCGAGTGTTAACCTTTTTTTATTTTTTGGCTTTTAAAACTTTTTCATTTTTAATACCAAAAGTTTATTTTCGAGTTTCCAAATCCTCCCTCTAAAATTTTTTTCGATTTCATTAAAATATTTTTAAAGGTTTGGTCTGAAGTACAACTTAAACGACGAATTGCACTTGAAAAAGAAAAACAATTAGAAGAACTTCACATCCGGCTTAAAGAGAATCGAGAAGAAAAATTGCGTTCGATTAATGACGAAGCTAATTTATTAAATAAAGAATTAAACCAAATAAAGGAAAGACTTCACCAATTAAATATTATTGAAAAGAAAACTGTTGCAAACATTGTTGGAGAATATCAACCAAATTATGTAGGTGAAATGACTGAAATTGTTGACAATTCAAAATTATTTGGTTAAAATTAAAAATTATTTTTTTTGTTTTTATTAAAAAATTTAAATCACAACTAGTAAAAGAAAATAAAAAAAAAACAAAATTTATTAATTAAATATACCACTCATCTATAGAAATACATTTTGTGTGTAAAAATACTTTTTCTTTAATAATATTTTTTAAACAATTCTCTATTACACCTCTTTTAATCAGCTTCTGTAATAAATCCAACAGTTTTTTGTTGTTGCCTTTTCCTCCTTATACTAGCTTGTTTTATAGCAGCTGCATTAGGTTTCTTCAATTTTTCACCTTTTATTACGCGTTCAACTTCTTGTTTTGTGAGTGTCTCATATTCTAAAAGTCCTTCAGCCAATAAATGATGCTCCGTCTTAAAAAAAGAATTTTTTTTGAAATTTTTCTTATTAAAGAAAACCTTATATTTAATTAACAATTGTTTTGCCCGTTCATAACTTTCTTTCAAAAGACGTTTAATTTCTTCATCAATTGCATTATTTGTTTCTGGTCCAAAACTTAATCCCTCCTCTTCATTTGATGTAAAATCTCTCAAACCAACATGCTCACTCATTCCATATGTTTTTACCAATCTTTCAGCGATTTCCGATGCTTTTCGCATATCAGAGACAGCCCCTGTTGTGACCATATCTTCACCAAAAATTAATTCTTCAGCTACTCTTCCACCCATTAAAACATCAAGTTTGGCAAGTAATTGACTTTTTGTATATTGAAGATGGTCTTTCTCTGGGAGATGAGCTGTCTAAAAAACAAAAAAAATTTTTTAATTTAAAAATATTTTACAAGTCCAAGTGATTCTCCGCGTGGAGTAATTGTAACTTTATGAATTGGATCAGAATGTTTTGTAAATATTCCAACAATTGTATGACCGGCCTCGTGATAAGCTTTTTAAAAAATAAAATTTAAAAAAAAATCACAAATTTACCAGTATTTCTATTAGCCTCTTCATCTGCATGTAATCCTTTTAAACGTGCTGGCCCCATAAGTATTCTATCTCGCGCTTCATCCAAATGTTTCATTGTTACACGCATGGCACGCTCAGTTGCGGCTTTTAATGCTGCTTGATTGACCATATTTTCAATATCAGCGCCGGTGAAGCCAGTAGTTCCTCTAGCTAATGTAGTGACATCACAATCAGCTGAATGAATTATTTTGTCGAGATAAAGCCTAAATAAAAATATAAAATTAAATCCAATTTAGTTAAAAGGTCAAATTTAGTTTATAGGTATATTTTACATTGGATCCCTTCACTTGGTTATTTTCTACCAAGTCTTTTCCAAATTTAACAAAATAGATATCCCCATATAATAGTCTTTTGGATAATTTAAGTTAGACAGACACAGATTTGAAAATAACTGAAAAGAAGAAGCAACCTTTTTTCTAGTTAGAAGGGTAAAATTTCATTAAAATAAAGTTAAAAACCAATTAAAAAGGTAAACAAACTGAAAAATATCTTCTCTTCCAGCTAAATCAGGCCTCGAAACTTTAATTTCCACATCAAAACGTCCAGGTCGTGTCAAAGCAGAATCCAAATGGTCTCTTTTGTTTGTGGCTCCAATAACAATTATACCCTCATTTTGGACAAAGCCATCCATTTCAGAAAGCAATTGATTAATTGTTTGATTTGCATATGGATGTAGAGTACTTGACGTGCGTTTAGAACCAACAGAGTCAATCTCATCAATAAAAACGACACAAGGAGCGTGCTTACGAGCTTTCTCTAATTAAAACATTTTAATTAAAAAGAAAATTAAAAATACTTACTAAACAAATCACGAACTCGTCTAGCACCTTGCCCTACAAGCATTTCATCAAACTCTGAACCAGATGCATGCTAAAATTATATTTTAGTATTATCACTTAAATATTTTTAGAATTATATACAAAGAACGGGACGCTCGCTTCCCCAGCAACAGCACGTGCCAATAATGTTTTACCAGTACCAGGATCACCAATCAACAAAACACCTTTAAATTAATCCATAAAATTAAAGATAGAAAAAAAACAAAACCTTTTGGAAGACGAGCTCCAAGACGTGTATAACGTTCGGGATTACGCAAATATTCAACAATTTCTTCAATTTCCATTTTTGCTTCATCGACTCCACAAACATCATCAAAAGTAACATCCACATCTTGTTCCATAGCAAACATATCAACACCAAAATCAAAAATTAATCCCTTGCGGGTAAACATTCTGTAGACTTTAAAATAAAAAAAATTTAAAATTTTAATATTTAAAATTAAACCAAGATATCCAGCAAAAGCAAAAGAAGTAAAAAAGAAAAGTCTGCCAAAAGTATAAAAGAAAAGTCTGCCAGGCCTACAAAAAATTTTAAATTTATTTAAAAAAAAATATTTAATATAACCCAGGTTTTCCATCTTCTTTATGTCCACCAGCAAATACACCTCTAATGAAGCCATCCTGTGATAAAATTGTATTAAAATGTAAAACAGAAAAATTTAGGGGAAATATTCATTTTATTGAAAAAACACGGTATGATGTTATAATACCAAAAGCTTGTAATACCAAAGCTTGTAATACCAAAAGCTTGAAATACCAAAATTTGTTATACCAATAGCTTGTAATACCAAACCCCCAAAAGATGTTGAAATACCAAACCGTGGAAAAAAGTTTGTAATACCAAATAAATACCAAAACTATTATTATTCAATTTGTTAATAAAACTGTGGAATTTTTTGTTATTTATCTCCCGACGGAATAGCTTGTTGGTTTTAGCCTGCTGGTTTTTAGTCTTCGCTGGAAAAACTGTTTTTGTGCCCAGCTGATTTTTGGGGTCAAAAATTCGAATAAGCAAATAATAGCTCATTCGAAAGACCTTGTCGAGCTGAGTTGAATGACACCAAAATCAGCTCAATTGGATGATTTTTGACAAAGTTATGACCAACAGAATTTTCGCTGGAAAAACTGTTTTTGTGCTGCTACGGAGGGTAGGCCGGGCATGGTCTTCGCTACACGATGGCCGTGCTTCGCTGCGGTCGTGCTCGCTTCGCTCGCGGCGACCGTAGCGAAGCGGCGGCCGTCGTTCCGCTCGACATGCCCGGCTTCCTCCGCAGCGGCAAAAACTTTTTTCCGCGCAGGCATTATGTGAGAGGTTTCCACACTTTGTATTATGAAGGACTTTGGAGGAGGAAAATATTATACACAAAGAGTAGTTTTATAAAATTTTTCCATGGTTTGGTATTTCAACAGCTTTTGGGTGTTTGGTATTACAAGCTTTTTTCCACTGTTTGGTATTTCAACAGCTTTTGGGGGTTTGGTATTTCAAGCTTTTTTGGTCACTTTGGTATTTCAACAGCTTTTGGGGGTTTGGTATTTCAAGCTTTTGGTATTATAAAACGCTCCGAAAAAACACACATCTAATAGTTATGATATTTTTATAGAAAAACAAAAATTTCTCCTTCACTCTTGCTATAATTTTTGTCTACGGTGCTTAAAAACCAAATTTAACTTGTTGGCCTTCAGAAAATCCCAAAAATTTAAAGAAAATCAAAATTAAATATCCATATAAACCGTTATAAACGCCGAAAAGTCAAAGACCAAGCACTCCTTCCATCACAACCCCCGTAAAATCTCTTGACTTACATTATAAGTTTTCTTTTCAGATTCATCCATTTTTTCAATCATAATTTTATAATCATCATAAGCATCTGTTTTGTGAGACTAAAAAGAGAGAGAATTTAAAATTTTTGTTTAGTTTTCATCAAATGTTAGATTAATCTACAAATCTTTGAAAAATTCTTCACGAAAAATTTTATCTTTTAGCGTGTAAACTATTTAATATTTATTTAGGTTCTAGTTTAGGACATGCGTCCCATGACAGTGTATGCGTCCCAAAAAAAGTGTTTTTTGTGACGCATGTCCTAAACTAGAGCATTTATTTAATATTAATTATTTAATTAAAAAAATTTACCGTGAATAATTTTACTCGATCAAGCCATCCTTTACTTTCTTTATCTTCAACATCTTTTTTGATACTAAAACCCGTAGCCGTTTTACGTCCACTTTTTAGTGCTCCACTATGTAGTTGACGGAAACACAAATAATATTGTTTTTGTGAAAGTAAAACAGGCAATACCAAACGACGAGATGACGACATATTTACTATAAGAAAAAATAAAATAAATTTTTAAATAAAAATAATTTCTGAAACAAAACATTCAAAAACATTTTTTTAAATTATTTATTAGGCAATCCCGGAGAATTGGGGTTTCTTCGAATAAAAATTTTAAAAATAAGAAAAAGGGTTTTTCTAGGGTAAAAAAATATGCTGATTACGAATCTGAACTCGGATTTTGAAAAAGTCGAATCCCGGACCCGAACCAAATTTCGAACCCTGAACCCGGATTTCGAATATACAAATGATACCTCATTCAAAAGAACTCATCGAGCTGCATCGAATGACACCAAAATCAACGAAATCTGACTTGATTGGACAAAGTTATGACATAAAGTATACCTATGGGAGTACTGTAGGAGTCGGCGACTTATGTCATAACTTTGTCAAAACTTGATGAATCACTGTAATTTTGGTGTCATTCGACTCAGCACGACGAGCTCTTTCGAATGAGCTATCATTTGTACAAACTTTTTTTTACTCCAAAAAATCACCCCTATGGTTTTTCAATATTCCAGGGTCTGTATCTCGGTCCAATCATGTCGGATTTCATCGATTTTGGTGTCATTCGATGCATCCCGATGAGTTCTACCTCCATATGAAAGACTGACCATTTTGTACTATGTCCGACAATGTCCGGGGTCAAATTCCGAATTCGGGTCCGGGATTCGACTTTTTCAAAATCCGAGCTCAGATTCGTAATCAGCATATTTTTTTACCCTAGAAAAACCCTTTTTCTTATTTTTAAACTTTTTTTTCGAAGAAACCCCAATTCTCCGGGATTGCCATTTATTAAAAATTTCTGTAATATTTAAATGATATAACGGATTTTAAAAACACTAAAAATTATAAAAATTTTTCACGTTAAAATAACCAAAAAATTCAACAAAAAAATCAACCTCCAAAAAAAATTATGAAATTAGAAGCAAATAAGAAAAGTAAAAGAGAAGCACAGCGGGTTAACTTAGTTGACAGACACCGGTGGGGTATCTTTCCGCGCCGACGATTCCGCGCCGACGTTTCCGCGCCGACGATTCCGCGCCAGGTCAGTTCCGCGCCAGCACGTTTCCGCGCCAGCTATACAAAATATGTGATACTTTGATTTTTAAATTTTTTTGATTCTAAAAAGCCATTATCTTTTTAAGTAGGTAATCATACATGTATAGAAAGTGGACCGGCTCGTGTTCAGGTTATTATTTACTTATTTTATAACTGGCGCGGAACCTCTATAGCTGGCGCGGAAACGTGCTGGCGCGGAACTGACCTGGCGCGGAACTGACCTGGCGCGGAAACGTCGGCGCGGAATCGTCCCTAACCGGACAGACACACAGCGGGTTAACGCGGACATAGCCATATCTCTCGCTTTTCTCTGCTTCTCTAATTTTCTCCTAGAATAAAGCATTACTCTCGCATGCAGATTTGAGGGTGCCACTTTGATCGAGTCCTTTGGACGTTCTATATGTTACTTTTCAAATCTGTCTGTTATTTTTATTTTTCATAGTTTAAAGAAGCTTTTGGCAAAAAATTATTAATTTATCTGGTTTTTAGCAAAAGTTACTGGTGTTTATATTTTAATAATTTTCGTGACAGATTTTTAGGGGGCACTTTAGGAAAAAAGCAAAGATTTTGGTATCATCCGATGCAGCTCGATGAGATACGTCGAACATTGCTAAATTTGAGTTTATAAAGCCATTTTAGGCTGAGATATAGGCCCACAAAAGTTGAAAATTTTTGAATTTAGAGTTTTGGACATGCAAATTATAGCTCGATCGAAAGAGCTCGTCGAGCTGAGTCGAATGACACCAAAATCAGCTTGACTGAATAATTCCTAACAAAGTTATGTCCTATAAATGAATGAGCCTTGCGTTTATATGGAGCAGTTTCGTGAATAAAAATGTGGTATTCGCGAATAAACGGGTCGTTTTTGCGAATAAATGGGTTTCTCTGGCTATGTCATGTCTGTCAACTAAGTTAACCCGCTGTGCAGACATGACATAGCCAGAGAAACCCGTTTATTCGCAAAAACGACCTGTTTATTCGCGAAGACAACCCGTTTATTCGCGAAACTCTCCAAATAAACGCAAGGCTCATTCATCTATAGGTCATAACTTTGTTAGGAATTATTCAGTCAAGCTGATTTTGGTGTCATTCGACTCAGCTCGACGAGCTCTTTCGATCGAGCTATAATTTGCATGTCCAAAACTCTAACTCCAAAAATTTTCAACTTTTGTGGGCCTATATCTCAGCCTAAATTGGCTTTATAAACTCAAATTTGGCAATGTTCGACGTATCTCATCGAGCTGCATCGGATGATACCAAAATCTTTGCCTTTTTCTTAAAGTGCCCCCTAAAAATCTGTCACTAAAATTATTAAAATATAAACACCAGTAACTTTTGCTAAAAACCAGATAAATTAATAATTTTTTGCCAAAAGCTTCTTTAAACTATGAAAAATAAAAATAACAGACAGATTTGAAAAGTAACATATAGAACGTCCAAAGGACTCGATCAAAGTGGCACCCTCAAATCTGCATGCGAGAGTAATGCTTTATTCTAGGAGAAAATTAGAGAAGCAGAGAAAAGCGAGAGATATGGCTATGTCCGCGTTAACCCGCTGTGGAGAAGGACAGCAAAAGAAAAAAATTAGACATTTTGCCAAAGAAATTCCGATAATTTATATTTTAAAAAATCTTTATAGTAATTTGGTTAGTCTTGGGAAAAAAAGGCAAAATATGTAATTATAGAAATTTAATTTTTAATAGAAATTATTTAAATATTAATTAATTTAGTTTAATCCATTCTGTTCAATTTTTACAAAATTGAGACATTTAATTGGCAATGATTTGTTTATATTATTTAATTGATTAAGTTCTTCCTAAAAAATAATTTATTAAAAAAATTAATTTTTTCTATTACTTTTAATAAATAAATTTGTTTATTTATTTCTTCTTTTTCTTCAAAAGAATTTTCCAAATTTATTTTAATATTTTCAGAATTTTCTTTATTTAAAGAATCCTCCAATTCATTTAATTGTTCTTCAAGTTTATTTAATTCAAAATTATTTGGAAAAGAAGAAGAATCTTTAAATTAAAAAATTAATTATTTATGTATTTAAATTTAATATTTAATTTTGACTTAATTTATCCAAAAGATCATTTAATAATTTTTCTTGTTCATCAACTATTTCTTCTTTAAATATTTCTGCTAATTTTGTTTTGTTTGTAGAATCAGAAAAAACTTTAAAATTAAAAATGTTTTTAATTAGTGCACTTATTAAAATAAACAAATCCCCCCCCCCCCCCACTCTCCCTCATAATTTAAATTAAAATATACAATTACCGTATTTTCTCTAAAATAAACCCCGGGGCTTATTTTTTCGATCGACCTCCAGAGGGGGCTTATTTTAGAGGGGGGGGGGGGCTTATTTTGGAGTGGGGCTTATTTTAGAGAAAATACGGTATTTTAAATAATCCTAAAAACCCCCTTCCTTCCCTTCACAACCCCCCCCCCTCTCCCTACCTTTTTCCAAGTTTTCTCTATTATTTACAACATTTTCCATCAATCCATTATTTTCCTCCTCCTCCTTTTCAATTTCATTTAAATTAATTTTTAAATTATTTAAATTTTCTTCTATTTTTATTGTTTGATTATTTAATTGATTAATTGACTTTTAAAAATTAATTATTTTTAATTTTTAATTTAAATTAAACCTTCTTTATTTCTTCAATATTTTCAAAAGCTTTATTTGCCCAATTCAAAGCTTTTTTTGTTTGTTTTTGTGTTCTGTTTAAATGTTTTTCTGCCAAATTTAATTTATTCTCCAATTTTGTTAAATTTTTATTTAAAATTTCAGAATTTGCAATTTCTTTTTGGAAAGTAGTTTTTAATTGAAATTGTTTGGTTTTGTTGTTTAAAGATGGATCTAAATAAATTTAAATTTTTTAAAAATTAATTAGACTGGAAATTTAATTCCCCCTTCCCCCCTCCTACTTTTATAAAATTTTCTATTATTATCTCCAAATAAATAATTATTTGGAGCTTTCCAAAAACCAGGTAAACATTTGTCACAATTCCAGCCAGTTGTGTGGTGAATACATTGAAGGAGAGAAAGAATTCAAGAATCCCTCCCCCCCCCCTTCCGCCCTCCCTCCCTTCCCTCTCCTATAAAATAATATTCTAATTATTTATTAAATAAAAATTCATTCAAACCATTCAAAATATTCCAAATATTTTTTGTCTGATTAAAAGCATTAACAGCCAAATTAAAATAATTTTCTGATTTATTTAAATAAACATTTATTTTTTCAAAAGAATTATTTCCCCCTCTTTCAATTAATTTATTAATTAAATTAATTTCCTCATTTGATTTATTAATTAATTGAGAATTTTCTTTAATTAAAATATTTAATTTAAATTCATCAAAAGAAGAATAATTAAAATAATTATTTAATTCATTAAACTTTAAAAATAAATTTAAATTTAAATTAAAAATTAAATACCAAAATATTTATTTTATTTATTTTAATTGTTTGAGGTATTTGAATTATTTTAATATTAGCTAATAACAAAATTGACTGATTTAATGAAGAATTTACTTCTTCTGACAATTTTTTAGATTTCCAATTAATTTGGGAAAATTCCTTTAAAAAAATAAATAATATTTTAAATTAGGTAATTACAAGAAATAAAAATACTTTTTCTGTTTTGTTTAAATTTAAAGAAATATTAAATAATAAAGAAGAAATTAATCGAGTAGAAGAAGAACCTTTAAAAAATTTAATTAAAATTTAATTACTTTCCTCACCTCCTCCCCCTCCTTCAACTTCATTCAATGCTTGTTTTGATTGTTCTTTAATTTTTAAAGTAATTTCTGAAATTTCCAAAAATTTATTTTTAATTATTTTTGTTAAATTATTTCCTTCTTCTGCCATTTTAATTAACCAAAATTCTGCTATCTATTTTTAATTTTTAAAAATTAATTTTTCTTCTTTCAAAAATAACCTTTTGTTTATTTATTTGTGTAGAATTAATTATTAAATTACTTTTTTGTTTTAATTCAAATAAATTGTTGGAAATTAATTTTTGAAGATTTTCTTTTTTAAAAAATAATAATTATTTTTTAAATTTAAATTTAAGCTAACCTTTTTCCAATTTTAAATTTTTTAATTTTTCTTCACTTTTATTTAAATCTTTAAAATTATTTAAATTATTTAATTTATTAAATAATTTATTTAATAATTCTTTTGTTGACAAATAATTTTTATTGAAAATTAAAGATTCTTCTGATTTTTTAATTAATTTTAATTTTAAATTGTTTAACGTTGAATTAAAATTAAAAGAAGAAGAGTCTTTTACCTAAATAAATTAATATATTTAATTATTAATTTTAAATAAAGATAATAAAAGATATGCCCACATTTTCCTTTTTCATATTACAAATGGTTAAATACCTATCAGGGATGGGATGGGTTGCTCGAAACCCGACCTGGACTTATTTCTCAACCTATCCCATCCTACAATTTAGAACATATAATCCAATTTATGTGCGTGTGTGATTATATTTTAATTCACTAAAAAATAACGAGTTATAAACTCCAAAATAAATTACCTACTTTTATTTTTAGTAAATTATCCATTTTTAATTTAAATTTAAGCATTTCTTCTTTTATAAAATCTCTTTTAGAAGAAATTAAAGAATAACAATCATCACATTTTTGACAACCATTAATAGACAAATTAAAATAATTTTCTTTACAATGACTAGTAAATAATAAATAATTATTTAATTTAAAATTAATTTTAATTTACTCGCAATAAATTCCCTCAACATTATTATTACACAAACATTGCCCATTTCTAATATCACAAAAGTCAATACTTTCAGAACCAATTTTATTACATAAACATTTTATACATCCTGTAGAGTTTAAACCAAAATATTGAGGGGCACATTGATCACAATTTATTCCAATAACCTTTTATTTAATTTAAATTTTCCTCCCAAAAAAACATTACCCTACCCCATTTTTACATTTACATTGTCCACTTCTTTGATCACATTCAGTAACATCTAAACTTCCCAAAGGATCACAATTACAAGGTTGGCATCCATTTTTAGAAAATATATTAAAGTAGCCAATTGCACATTTTTCACAACGTTTTCCAATTACTTTTTGAATTTTTAAATTTAAAAATTAAAAATTATTTATTTACCATTAGGTAAACATTTACATTGTCCATTTAATTGAGAACAACTAAATAATTTTCCTTTTTTATTTTTAAAAGTTCCCAATTGATGGCAATTACAAGGAATACAATTAAATTTATTTTTATTTATTTTATCATCTCCAAATAAATAATTATTTGGAGCTTTCCAAAAACCGGGTAAACATTTCTCACAATTCCAGCCAGTTGTGTGGTGAATACATTGAAGGCATTGTCCAGTAAACAAATTCTTTAAATATTTTTTTAAAAAAGATAAATTAAAATTCTCTTAACTTACAACCTCCCTCCTCCTCCTTCCTACCCTCCTGCTCTCCTACTCCCCCACCCTCCTCCTCTACCCCCCCCCCTTCTCTTTTGTCTTAAAAATATTTTAATTTTATTCCCCCCACAATTTTAAATTCTTACACATTGTCTAATATTATTTGGATCTATATTTCCATTACAATCACATTTTTGACAAGGTTTTCCAAATAAAGGGCGTCCAAAATAATCTTCGGAACAATATTCACAACGAGGGCCTGTATACCCTTCTGGACATTCTGTACAAATTAATTGTTTGTCCAAATAAATACAGGCGCCCCCTCCAGGACAGTTACAACTAAAAAAGATTTTTTTGGAAATTTAGAGTAAATAAACGGTTTGCAATCTTCTGATGTCCCAGTCAAAGCATCACCATAAAATCCATTAGCACATCTTTCACAAGTATTTCCAGCTGTATTGTGTTTACAATAACAGATACCAGTTTCTGCTTCACACATTTTACCACCAAAAGAATGCCCGTTACATTTACAGGGAATACATTTAGATAATGGACCGGGAAATTCTCGTTTAAATCCAGGTGCACAAAATTGACAAAATTGTCCAGAATAAGGAGGAGGACAATTACAATTTTCAATCCAATTGGCAGAGGAAGAATGTTGAATTACTTTAATTTAATAAAAATTAAATTTCCTTTAATTTATACCAGAAGGAGAATATTTACTATCAAAAACGTCCAAAGCAGAATTTAATCCAAAATCAGACAAATACCCAATATCTCCTTGAAAAAACGTAGCACGTATTCTAATTGATGTTAAATTTGTTAAAATTTTAATAAAATCAGTTTCGTTTAATTGAGGATTCCACTTTTAGAATTTTTAAAAATTAAAATTAATTTAAGTATAAATTACTTGATATTTTGGATTTGAATGGATTTTAAATTTATAAAAAGTTTTGTTTGTAGAAATGTCTGGATTTTGTTGTGAACTAAAAGACAATGAAAGTATATCCCCTTTACTTCCAATTAATTGTAATTCTGTACTAGTTCGGGGGGAATATTCTAATAATTTGTGATAGGAAAAATATATATATTGACCTTTAAATAAAGGAATTATTTAGAAGATTTTATTAAGAAATAACCATAAGAGAATCGTTGATCTCCTAAATATTTTGTTGGAGCAACAAAATAAATTTTCCTTTAATTTTTTTTAAAATTAATTTAATAATTAAAAAATAAATTACCAGGGACATTCTTGTTTAATAAATATTAATTTATTTTTATAATCATAATTAACCTACAAAATAAAAACCCTTTAATTTAATTCAAACAAAAAAACCTTTAAATTTTTAATTTCTCCATTAGCTTCTATACTTAAAGCTTTCCATTCATCATTATTTAATTTAAAATTTGAGGAAATATTAAATTTAATAAAATTATTTTGTTGATTATTTGAAGAATAGCAAATGGAGGAATGTCCAAAACAAACACAAGGAAAACATTCAAAATTATTTTGGTTATTTTTAATTAAAAAATATCCGGGTTTGCAACGATCACAATATTCTCCTTCAACATTTTCTTTACAAAAACATTTTCCGTTTAAAGGTGAACAAATAGAAGAATTGGAATAATTATTACATAAACATTTTCTTTAAATTGTTTTTAATTTTTAATTAAAAATTTGTCAATTTTTGATAAAGATTTTTGTAAGAGGGGGAAGGGTAACTTTAATTATATATGTATAAATCCTTCAATCCCTCAAAATTCCCCAAATCCTCTTAATCTCTCTTAATTTCTCTTTATAATTTCCTCAATATCTTCTCCGAATCCTTTTATTCTCTAGATTTATTTTATATTGATGCTAAAATGTTCCATTGTTAAATGATTTTAAATAAATATTTTTAAAATTAGCTTAGGAAAATTAGGGAGGGTAATTATTTGAAGGGGGGTAATAAATACAGTATGATTATTTTTGTTTGGAGTATATAAAATACAAATTTACTTGCAACCATTAATTCCAAACCCAAAATAACCATCCAAACATTTATCACAATATTTCCCAGTTACTCCATTTTTACAACTACAAATTCCAGTATTTTCATTACATTTTCCATTATTTAAAGATCCATTAATATTACAATTACAAGGTTTACAATAATTATTATTTGGAGAACGCCAATGGTTTGGAAGACAGCGTTCACAATTTACACCCTTTCAAATTAAATATACAATTAATTCAAATACCTACATACCTCAGTATTCCCCAAACATTCATAACAATGTCCCCCATGTCCAGTTTCTTCAAAAAGTTTTGGATCAAAAAAACATTTATTAGACAGTCCACTACAATTACAGGGTAAACATTCATTAGCCTCAAAAGAAGTTGCCGGCCTCCAAGGTCTATCAAAATAAAAAGGAGCACATTCATTACAATCTATTCCTCTTGTATTATGTTGACATTCACAAATCTTTTAAATTTTTTTTAATTAAAAAAATCCCTTTCCCAAAAAACCAATTTTTGAGGCAATCCTTTTCCTGTTGATTTAATACATTTATTTGCATGTCCATTACATTTACACCTTCCCCCAACAGCCAAATCACTAATTCCATAATAATAAGAACTTAATACTTTTTTATTTCCAAATATTTCATCACCAAAAGTATTCATTCTAACTAGAGATATTCTTATTTGTTCTGCAGTTACCCAATCCTTTAAAATAATTCCCAAAAATAAATACTCTTAATTACCTGTAATTCTTCACTTTCTTCAAAATTTTCAGCAGAAGGCCTTCCCTCTAAAGTAGAAAAAGCAATCCTTCCCCCAGTCAATGGAGATATATCAGAAAATTCTTTTGTACATTGGGCTATGGCTTCGTTACCGGGAAGTATTGGAGCTTTTTCTGGTATTTTAAATGTTGATATACATGAACCACTTTAAAATAATTATTAAATTTTAAATTTTAATTCCTCAAAACCACCTATAATATTGCCAAGGTATCCATTCATTTCCATTATTTTTATTTTTTTTATAAATAACAAAACTTTCTGGACGTGGAGAAATAAATTTTAAATGGACATAAGTAATCTCGAATTGTTTATTTAAATTAATTGTTAAATTAATTGTTTGGGGATATTTAATTCCTTCGGCCATTGTTTCTGATTGCCAAAATGTTGAATTCTCAGAATCTAATTTTTTATTTAAATTAATTTAAATTAAAAATAACCAGTTAAATATTTGGGTAAATGTGCTTTTTGGGGAATATTAATGTCACAAACATCACAATATTTATTTAAACGATGCCCTGTTTGCATACAAAAATTTGTTGGAGAATATATTCCACAAGTATTTGTTACCTTTTTTTAATTTTAAAGTTTAAATTAATTCAAAAAACCTCAAAATTTAAATTATAAACAACATTAATAAAATGAGGGAGGCATTTTTGGGGGAAATTTGGGTTATTATTTTGATAACAGGGGATTAAACTTGGCTGGAAATGATTTGGGTCGATTTCTGGAATTTTTTGTTGAGGTTTGTTGTTTAATTGTTGTCCAGAAATTATTGAAATTAAAATAATTAAAAATAAATTGAGAGAAGAAATAAACATTCCTTAATTTAAATTAAAAATAATTAAAAATTAAGGAAAATGAAGAAAATAAATTCTAAAAAAAATATTAAAATTTAAAAATTAATTCCCCACACCTGTTTAGTAACTTTTATTTTTAAAATGATAAAAAACATTTTTTGGCGGCGGATGAGAAAGGAAAACAAAGAAGTAAATATTTTATTTAAATAAATGTTTTAATGCAGCTGCAATTAACTAATAAATACAAAATTAATTTTAAATAAAGTTTTTTTAATTTTATTCAAAATAAAATATAAATTAAAAAAGTAAATGAATAAATATATTTAGTTAACATTTAAATATCTATAATAAATACAAAAAATAATAAAAATAAAATTAAAGAAAGAAAAATGTTAGCTAAAAATAATATGATTCAGAGAAAATAAATAAATTTTTTAAGATTAATTATTAGCAAAAAATTCTAAATAGAGTAAAGTCAAAATATGTATAATTAAATAATTAATTAAACTTTAAATATTCTAATAATTAAAATAACATAAAACAATAAATAAACTTTCTAATTTTACATAAAATATTTATTTATATATATTTAGTTAATTTTCCAAAAAATTAAATTTTTAATTTAAAAATATTTTCAAAAAATTTTCTTTTTTTTTACTTGCCAATCATTTAAATATATATTTAATTAAATAAATAACAAACCCCCCCCCCCCCTTACTCTTCTTTTTTGCTTTTCTCGTTAAAAAATATATCCATCCAATATTTACATGTATATATTCTCGTCATTTCCTTAATTGAATTTTTTTGTTTTTTTTCCTTTTAAATAAATTTAAATGTTTTTGGGAACGGTAGGAAAGAAAAAAAAGTTTAGTATATATCTTTCAATTTTGTAGAATTTTTTCCTTTCCTTTAGGCGACAAATTATTTTTTTAAATGGCAGGAATTCAACCGTTTATAAAAAAACAGAACTAAAATTTATTTATTCATCTGTATCTTCTTTTCTCTTTTTTTTTAAATTTAACAAAAAAATATACAAATTATTTTTTAAAAAATATTTTTTGATTATTTAACTAAAATGTGTATTTGTGTTCATCCTTGGGTTTTCGTTAATTTTTCAAATTTCAACTTAAAGGAATGTTTGGCCACTTATTCTTTTTTTCTAATTTGGAGGATATTAACTGATATTTTGTTTTCAAAATTAGTAATTTTTATTTAAATACAAATTACAATAATAATGGGCACTAAAAAGGAAGTGATGATAGAAAATGTGGTATAGCAGATATGTAAATAAATAGCTAAGAATTTACCAAAACTTTTCTTTCCCCTATTATGTTTTTATTTTCCCAATAGAATAAATACAATTAATATATAAAGATTTGGCTCGCTTTACTTATATGCCATTTTTCTCCGTGGTCGAAGCAGGTCAATTTTCGTGCCATTCGAAAGAGTACTGAGTCAAACTAGGGGCGGACAAAGCTCGTCCGATGCCCAGGGACCGAGATATAGTCGATTAAAATCGAAAAACCATAGGGAGAGTAAGCTTATTTTGAGGTGAAAAATTCGAATATGCACATTTCGAAAGAGCTCCTCGAGTTGAATCGAAAGATTTTTGGTACTTTAAATACCAAAGATTTTTGTATTAAAGTATTTAATAATTTTTTTGTTTTAGTTAATCTTTGAATATTTAAAGATAATTAAAAATATTAATTTAATTCCATTTAATATATCTTTAAATATTTAATTAATTTTGTGTTTTTTGTTTTTTGGTTTATTTTAAAATTTTCACACTCACGGAAGCTGAAATTTGAGAGGTTTTTTAAAAAAATCTTTTCTTTTTTGTTAACAATTTTCCGGCATCTCCTCATTTCTTTTGCTTATTCTTTTATTATTTACTAATAAAAGCTCATTTTTAGTCTTACAAGTGTGTATTTAGTAAATATGTGTTTATTTTCACTCTTTTTTTCTTTAAAAAATTTTTTTATCTGTCACACCTAAATATTTTTAAAGAAACATTTTAAAAAAAATCTAAAGATTTTTTTTTAAATTAAAAATCATTTTTTATTTTTTAAAAAATAATTAATTTACTTTAAAAAAATATTTTTTGTAAATTATTTTTTATTTATTAAAAATTACTTTAAAAAATATGTCATTTTTACGTCATTTAAAAAATAAGTAAATCAAAATTTAAAAGAATATTTTTTAAACTAAAAATAGAAACAAAAGGGTACTTACTTAACTACAAAAAAGACATCAAACAATAAAAATATATTTTTCTTTATAAATTATTACGTAAATAAATTTAAAAATATTAAATACATTTAAATATTTATTTTGTTCTTTTAAATTAAACAAAATAAAAAATCATTTTACTATTTAATTTACTTTCTCTTTTTCTAGCCAAAACATGAAATTTAGAAATTTAAGAGACCTGTCTCGGAAACGAAGAAAAATTCGTATCCGGAATTAAAACTGGGAAAAAAAGGGGGGAAATCTTAAATTCCAAAAAAAAATTCACCAAAAAGCAAAATTCAACAACAATTTATTTTCTCAACAAAAATCTTTAAAACAACAAAACACAAAATATTGTTCTTTCCAAAATTAAACAAATGCACGAAAAAAAGGGGGAAAAACAGGACAAATTAATTTTTAACTGCAAAAAAATCCAAAAACTGAGAAAACTGAATAACTGAATAACACCCAAAAACTGAATAATTATTTTTGTTAGGAAATAGAAAAAAAGGGACAAAAGGGCGGGGAAAGGCCAATTTGCATTATTTCATTTGAGCGGGCCAAAAAATATTTAAAGAAAAATGATGACAATTCTTTTGGCCAAAGATTAATATAAAATAAATATTTCAAATCTAAAAGATTTGACATTCGGGGGAAACCAAAAACTGGATGAGGACATAAGGGAGATTGAAAAAAAATTGGTTTAAAGCTGGTGAGGGACGGGCGGGGAGGTACGTTTGAAATTAAATAAATTTTACGGTATTGGTACATCTATGGTTTTCCTTTATCTTCATTGATTATTCGTCCCCTGTTGAATTCATTTTGAGTTCCAACTTCATTCTTTAGGCCATAACATATTGTCAAGAGATGCAACGGTGAGAAAAGAGAGTAAATTTTGGGAATTAGTTTTTACATTTAAATATATTATTACCGGTTTTGGATACCACTGTAGTTAGATAAGGGGGAACGGAAGTGTTGGATTTCGTAGTGACCATTTCAGTAAGATTCATAACATATTGTGTATTAGTCCATTTAGTCCAAAACATATTGAGCCAGAGCAACAATTAATGGGATTTTCCAACAGAAGGAATATAAAGGATTTGAAAAGATGGTATCGGTGGGAATTGGGCTTATAGTTTATATTCATAAATTCAATCTCGATACGGGGGGAAAATTCAGGAGTAAAGGTATTTATTGAGGGGGGACTTTTCAATATTCTAGGGATAGAGCCATTGTAATCTTTAGAAAAATCATTTTCATTTAATACAAAAGAAAAGGTACAGGGAAATATTAAATTCTTATCTGAGTCATTCTCGTTTTCGTCTTTCGGTTCTATAAGGGGATACTTGATTTTATCTAATGGGGGATTTCCAGAATCTATAATACATATCAGAGGAATATTGGCAAGGGGTGGCGATTTAATTCCATAAATACTTGATGGCTTTCGGGTTTTTAATTTTAACAATTTATTTTTAAAATTGCGGGACAAAAAGGGATTATCTTCAATAAAATCCTCAGACAATGATTTTATTCTCTTAAAGTCGGAATTTCTCAAATTTACAATTTTCTTTCCCTTTAATTCTTTAGAGGAAGGGTTATTATCTCTCGTAAAGGTTTCAATGGGTAATGTCACATTATTACAGTAAGTATGAGTACTAATCGGGTCAGGACTTTTGGCGGTGCCGTTGATCGAATTAAAAATGTTTTCATTTAATCTAACAGATTTTTCTTCTTCAAACCTTAAATTTATAATTTGGGTAGTTAATACAATTTCTTCACAATTAATAATGTTGTTTATTACTTCCTTTTCTTCCAATATAAATTCTGATGTAGAAGCATAATTTGTTACGGAGGAAATCGAATTTTGTATATTATGGGAGCAGATAATGGGGTGAGATAATGGGGGAATATATGGAGGGGAGGTACTGATCAGAGCAGGGGTGGATTCTTCTGAATTAATGTGTATCTCTTCTTCATATCCTTCATTTATAAGTTCGGGTGATCGGGTCAATTCTTCACAAACAGAATATTTTAAAGCTTCATACTTATTCTTATCAGTAATACAAATCTCTTCAAGGGAGGGGAAGACTGGAGGTGGACCAATGGAAATTTCATTATAATTATTAGAGTTAAAACCGGTAGGGTTATAGTCCAAAATGTGAGAGCCAGAAATATCATTCGTTTCATTTTTTAAAGCAACCGATTGATTGACATAAAATTGTTTTGTAATAATGGGATAGGAACTAGTTTGAGAATTGGCTGGGTTTCGATGAGGGTGATCGTTGAGATTATTATATTGTGGGTTTGGAGAGCTTTTAAGCATTTCATTAACAGGCTTATTGTGAGAATTATTCTGAGAAGGGTTTGAGGTTTGTAAACATTCATGGGACAAATTTAATTCCGGGAGGCGATAAAATTGTGAAAGATGTAATAACTGTGATGTGGGTTTTGGGAGAGCCTCTTCTAAATTAGATCGGGCTGTACGTAATGTTCTGTTATATCGTTTAAGGTCATGCATACTTTTGATATAGGAAGTCTCTTGTAGGAATGTATCATATATGTGAGTATCTTGGGCTCTTTCGGATTCTGTCATGGAAATTCTTAGGGACATCCAACCATTATGTGCAGTTGTTAGGTTTTCCAAGATCTTGGAAGTGATCTTTTGAATAATATCGAGGGATTTGATTGTTTCTTGGACACAAGTTTGGAATTCTTTTTCGGAGTTGTGAGGATTCTTTATAGGAAGGGGGAACTGTTTATTTTCTCGCAAAATTAATTCAGCACCTGTACATATTTGAGTAATTTGTTTTCGAAAGGTAAGAGACATTTCTTGATTAGGTGGAAAAATTATGAATAAGTTTCAACAAAATAGAAAGGGTAGAAAATTCTCGAAATTTAAGGGAAGAATTAAAATACGAAAGAAATAAATCGAATTAAAAAATTGGGGTGGAAAAATTCAAAAACTTTAGAAGAAAAAATTGGGACCGGAATTCAGGTGGTCACCGGCTGAGCTGTCTCGGAAACGAAGAAAAATTCGTATCCGGAATTAAAACTGGGAAAAAAAGGGGGGAAATCTTAAATTCCAAAAAAAAATTCACCAAAAAGCAAAATTCAACAACAATTTATTTTCTCAACAAAAATCTTTAAAACAACAAAACACAAAATATTGTTCTTTCCAAAATTAAACAAATGCACGAAAAAAAGGGGGAAAAACAGGACAAATTAATTTTTAACTGCAAAAAAATCCAAAAACTGAGAAAACTGAATAACTGAATAACACCCAAAAACTGAATAATTATTTTTGTTAGGAAATAGAAAAAAAGGGACAAAAGGGCGGGGAAAGGCCAATTTGCATTATTTCATTTGAGCGGGCCAAAAAATATTTAAAGAAAAATGATGACAATTCTTTTGGCCAAAGATTAATATAAAATAAATATTTCAAATCTAAAAGATTTGACAGACCACCAAATTATATTTCCAAAATATTTTTTAAATAATTTATTCTTAGAATTTTTGGAAAAAAAACTTTTTTTTTAATTATTTTAATAGAAAAAAATAAATTAAAATTAGCTAGCTTTTCTCTCCAACAAAATTAGTTAAAAATATATTTTTTCTTAAAAAATAACTGAAGTAAAAAATTATTTTACATATATTTAAGTCCACTTATTTTTAATATTTTTCCTTTATTCCCTTGTGAGAGTTCAATTATTTTTTTTCATTTTTATTGACAAAAATATTAAAAGCATAAAAATAAATAAATATAAAGACCTCACACATTTAAATAAATATTTAAAAAAAGATTATTTTTAATTAAAATTAATTTCTTTTTTCCCTCCAGATTCCCATAATTAATTTAAAAACATTTTTTAGAAAATTAAAAAAAAATGAATTTAACATTAGAAGAATTTGACGAAGATTTTGAATTTAATTTAAATAAAAATAAAGAAATTGTTAGTTTAATGAATTTACCTTTAATTAAAGCTTTATTTTTAATTTTTTATATTATTGTGTTTGTTTTGTGTGTTTTTGGTAAGTTTTTGGAGAGAGGGAGGGGAAAGGAGGAGGAAATTAAATTTTAAATAAAGGTAATTCTCTCGTACTTTTATGTATTATTGGTAATCGTTCAATGCGGACAGTTACTAATTTCTTTTTGGCTAATTTAGCTATTGCTGATTTATTAGGTAAATTAATTAAATTTAAATTAAGTTTTAAATTTAAATTAAAAAAAAGTTGGAATATTTTGTGTTTGTCAAAATGCTGTACATTTTGCTTTATTCGCCCATGGAACTTGGCCTTTTGGAAAACTTCTCTGTCATTTATATATTTATATTTTACATTTAATTCCAAATAGTTCTGCTGGAATTTTAGTTTATTTTTAAATTTTAATTTAATTTCTAAATTAAAAAAAAAAAGATTTTATTGTCTGTTGAACGTTTTATTGCCGTTTTACGTCCAATGCTTGTTCAACATTTAATGACTAAATCTGTAAATTAAATAAAAATAAATTAATTAATTATTTAATTAAAAGGTTTTAATTTTGTGTACTTTACTTGTTTGGACTTTATCTATTTTAATGAATATTCCTTATTTAATTGCTGTTCAATATATGGATCTGTATAATCCTGAAATTGGGCAACATTATGGGGTTAATTTAATTAATTTTAAATTATTTGAGATAATCAGATTTAAATTATATTTATTTTTAAATTAAATTTGTATTAATTTAAAAAAAAATACTAATTTTATCAAAACTTTAAAAAATTCAAAAAAAAATTATAAGGAGAATTTGAAGGGATATTATTTAATATTTAATGGAAAAATAGTTAATTTTTTAAAAATATTTTTAATTAAAAGATATGTACTCGTCATCATCTTATTAGGTGGGATATAAATATTCTTCAATTAGTTTCTACTGTAAATTTAATTGTTTGGTATATATTACCCCTTACTTTATTATTCTCTATTTATGCAACGATTGGGTAAATTTTTAAATTAATTTTTAAATTTAAATTAAATAAAATTAAAGACTTGTTTTAATAAAAACAACTGAAGACGATGCTGTTGTTAGAACTTCACAAGCTTATCGAAATTTATCTACAGCCGCCCCTCCTCAACAATTAACTAATTCTTCTAATAGTACATTAATGACTAGACAAAGTTTTTGTTTTAAATTAAATATAAATATAATGGAGGGAGGGGGAATATTCTTCCTCCTAAAAGGGAGGAAAGAGAAATTTTGGAGCAATTTATAATTTTAAATTAATTATCTCATCAGGCATTGATTCAGAATTGAGCTGCGAAGCACGTGCTGGACTTAATCGACGTGCAGGAAGTTATAGTGGTGGAAATAATGGGAGAAGAAGAACTTTGCCTAAAATTGAAGTTTTTTTAAAAAAATATTTAAATATTTATTTTTAAAAAAAAGTTGGTAGATAGTCGTCGACGTGTTATTAGACTTTGTGCAGTTATTGTATTAGCTTTTGCTTTACTTTCATTGCCTAGATATGTAAATATATATTTATATTTAAATAATTGTGTTTATGTTTACTATGTATTAAAGATTTATTTAACTTGGTCTGTTTGGAGAGAAGCAAATGGTTAGAAAATTTAAAAAATATTTTAATTGAAGAGTTGCTAGTCTTTTTTTCCTTAAGAAAATTTTTGTTTAGATTTCTCAAATTTTTAAAAACTAAAATTATTATCATTAAAGCCCCACGTTGTTTAAATTGTTTATCGGCACTAATTCAACCAACAACTTTTTTATTAATGTTTTTTGCTTCAGCAATTAATCCAATTTTATATGCATTTTTATCACAAAGATTTAGAGCAGCAATTAAAGATACTTTTAGTTTTGGGAAAAGTCAAGCTAAAGTAAATTTTAAAAATTATTTTTATTTTTAAAATTCATTTAAAAATTAGCAAAAAGAGCAAATGTTACAACTTTTACGTAGTCACCGGTATTTTTTAAATAAAAAGAAAATAATATAAATAATTTAAAAAAAAAAGTTTATCAACACAATTAGAAAGGGATGTTTTTGGAGAACCAATCCAGCAAGCTACAAGAACAATGAGCTGTACAAGTTTACAACAACCAATTAATGTAGTAAAATAAATTCATTTTTTAATTTAAAAAAAGAATGAAAATAAATATTCAATTAAAAGAAAACAAAAAAAATAATTATTTAAATTGTAATGAAGAATCTACATAGTGTTATAAAAACAACAACTTTTATTAAATCTTAATTTTGAATAAAAATATTCTAATTTTGTTTTTTAAATAAATAATTTTTTGATTATCGACAAACAAATTTTAAATTAACTAAAGATTTGTTTGATTATTAAATTATCTTTTAAATATAATGGGAAGTATATTTAAATAATTTATGTCTTGGAAAATAATAAGAGAAATTGATAATAAATATACTCATAAAGACTATTTAATCAGTTTAAAATCTTTGTTTTTTAATAATTAAAAAAAAGAAGTTTCGGGTAAATTCCTGCCATGTCTGCTTCTAAATTTTTAAATATTTTTGGGCAACAACATACAAATAAATTGACTTAAGTCTATTTATTTTTTTGAAAAAACGTGACATTAAAATTAATTGAACGAAAAAATAAACAAATTTAAAAAAACATATTGTAGGTTAGCAACAAACTAAAATTTGAAAAAAAATAAAGTTAATTTACGTATGTAGGTATTAGCTAGAAAATAACTATGCATATTTAGTCGGATCTAATGTGTTTAATTTCTGTTTAGTGTTGACCTCCTTCGGGAATCGGATATTTTCAAAATCTTTTAAGGAAAATTGAAGAAATTTCAGAATTCCATTTTTAAATGGCTTCACAATAAAGAAAAATTACTGCACGATAAAATGATTTTTAAAACAAAATTTCTCTCTTTTCTATTAAAGCATAGCAAAGAAAAAGAATTTTAATAAAAAAATATGGGAGATCAGCACAGCCGGGATTTGCTTTATTTTTTTGTTTTCTCTTTAAATTTATTTCAAATAATGTGAAAAGGAAAGAAAGAAATTATTTTTAGTAGAGTATTTAATAAAAAAAATATTTATTTATTTATTAGACACACAAACAAAAGCTGTCGGTATAAAAAATATATAATTTTAAATCTGTAGGTAGAACAAATGGCGATTTAAAGCTTATTTTTATTATTTAATCGATTAACAAAAATTACTTTTAGTCATCTTGAAACAAAAAATGTTTTTAAAATTCAGCAACATTTTTTTAAAATTAATTAATTATATTTTAATTAAATAAACTTTTAAATATTAATTAATAAAAAGTTTAAATAACAATCCCCAATAATTTAATAAACTTTATCGGATCAACGTCAAATAAAAACAATTATTTGAAGTTTAATTTTTAAATTAAAAACAATTAATTCTTCTCTAAACACAACATACATATTTAATTTAATTATAAAATGGATCATTTAATAATAACTCCAGCACATCACCGTATTTCGTCATTAGTAAGATCAAGATCACGTTCAGAACACAGACCTTTTGTACTTGGAATGCCAAGAGCGTAAGTTTTTTAAAAATAATTTTAAAAAGTTTGGAAATGTCTTCTTTAAATTAAAAATTTTTTATTTAAATTTAGTCGGTCCGCGTCAGTTTCGTCTTTAACTACTAATAATAATAATGGTTTTACTCTACCAAGTTATGGTTATGGAGGTAAAAAATATAATTATTTTATTAAAATTAGTATTTATTTCTTATATTTAAATTTAAATATTCTCAATTGGAAAATATTAAATAAATTTGTCGAATAATTCTCAATATTAAAACAAAATAAATAAGTAAATATTTATTAGGTGGATATATGGCAAGATCTTTATCACGTTCAGGTAATTAAGATATTTAAAATATTTTTTAATTATTTTTAGGATCAGCAAATACACTTTCCTTATTTGGACGTAGTTTACAAACAAGTGCTTTAGATAAAGTTTCCCCTTTCCACAATGTTGCTGTCCAACGCCCTACTCCCCATTATTCTGATAAATGTTTAGTTTTAAAAATTATCTTTAAAAAATATTTTAATCTTTCAAAGATCCCTATGTTCGTTACAGTTATGGAAATGTTGAAGCTGGTTTGGGGCTTAAAACACAAACTGAAGCTGTTAGTAAATTATATTTATTATTGACTATTTTCCAAAAAACTTAAAACTTTTTTAATAATAAAAAAAAAAGAAATTGTTTTTAGAAATGAGGGTTTTTTAAATTTAAATTAAACATTTAAAGATGTATCCAAGCTATTATGGAATTAGGGATGCCGGCACAAAACGATGGCTTGAAGGGTAAACAAATAAATAAATAAATAGTTCTTTAAATAATTTTTTAGAAAATTAAATGCCTACAATACAGGATTATTTACAAAACCTTTTAGTAGCAGAGAAACTTCATTTGAAAGGCCTATAGCTCCAGTCCGTTCATATATAAAGTTAGAGGGGGGAAATTATATAAAAATTATATTTAAAAATAATTAATTAAAGATATATTCCAACAGACGATGCTGTTGATTTATTTAAGAAAAAATGTATGACAGTAAATACTTTATCTAAATATTGGTAAATTTCTGACAAAAAAATATTTTTAAATTATTTTTAAATAAAAGGTTACAAACAACAGGTAGCAGTTTAAGAAGGGAAAGGGATTTTTCAACATATGGTAGGCCTTCTTCTGTTTCTACTCTTACTGGTAAAATTTAAAAATTTTGTTTAAAAAAATTAATTTAATTAAAAAAAGGTTCATATAGTACTCGTTATAACCCTCCAGTTACTAGCTTTGCATCAGGAAGATTTAGACGACCCCCTCAATATTATTCTTCTGTTGTTGCCAAATTGGAGGCTTAAAGAAGAAGAAAAAAAGAAAAGAAAAAAAACTTTTAAAAATTATTTTTTAATTTTTTTAAAGTTAAATAAATGTTTAATTTTTACAAAATAAAATTTATTTTTAATTTTTATTTAGACTATTTTTAAAATAAAAAGAACTCAAGATCGTAAATAAAAATTAGCAGTACTTTTTTATTTCAGTTAAGGCTCTGAATATAAAATATTAATCCGTCAAAATTTATACTCATTAAATGGAGTATTTAATCTAATAAATTATTATAAAATTTTTAATTAAGATGGGTAAGTTTCACTTCAGTTACTCTTGTCCCTATCGATGACTGTATTTTTATTCTACTAAAAGGAACTTTTTAGGTATTTTCAAAAGAAATTTTTCCAATAGCATGGGACAATAATCTTGTCTGCGAATGTATGTATTTTTTAATTAAATATTAGAATTTTTTTTGTTCCTTTAAAAGAAATTTTTACCTCTATTCTTGTCGTAACGGGATATCCGCCATGACGTATTGGCATGGCGTTTTGGCCGATTTTGGCGCGCCAAACGAAAATTCTTGCGCACATCCCCGCTCTTAACTGAAGTCTTAGAAAGTCGACAAAACATTAGTTGAACTATTTTCTCAGATTAGGTAAAAAAAATTTCTTAGATTAGGTATAAATGGCTGTATTCTCCAAGTTTATGGCTAAAGTTATTCACAATATGTACTAGTTGTTTTTTATCAACGTTTAGCTGAATTTATACTATTTTTACTTAATATCCAAGTATATACTCGACTCTATTAGCTGGAATTATGTAAATTCGGCAACTGGTGTTTTTCAAAAGTTGTCTAGAAAATCTAGCAAGAAAAATACTGAGATATCCACACATACATATATTCGAAATTAAAAAAATTTGTTTGTAAAATACAATTAAACTATTATATGTACATATGTATTTAAATAAATCTTGCGATAACTCGAAAAATCCGCGAGGTTATCATCTCATGCCGAACACCGATATTAAAATAAGTCGGAAAAAAATCTGGCTGAACTTTTTGCAATAAGACAGAATTAAAAAGAGATATTGATGTACAATCCAGGCAAGATATTCCAAGTTTAATTAAACAAGAACAATACATAGCATAACAATTAAAATTATGAAATTAAACATTTTGACGAAATATAATATTTAAAAAGAGATGGTCCCTCTTTTATTTTTGACGTTGCACTTCCTCTATCGTGGCATTGATGGGGAAATTTTTATATGAAATTTCTATCTTATCCCTAATGTTATTTTATTTTAATACTCTCTAATTTTCTCGATTTCTCTTCCCTTTACTATCTTTATCCGCCCGACAAAAACGCGTTTCTGTTTTTTCCTCATTTCCATGTCAACTGCACATTGGTTACTTGTGAATCCAAAAGATCAACAAAAAAAAGATAAACAGCGATATTAAAGTTTTAGGCAATTTATTATTCCTTTTTTTCTCTTTTCAGACTCACAAAGATGTTGATTTTTTGGGTTTTAGGATTTTCTCTATTTTAACATCATCTCACCAATTCTCAACTAGCTTTATTCTGCTTACTCGGCCGCCCGCACGCAACCCTTCTGTTTATTGTTTACAAGCTTTATTCATACATACATAGTCACGATGGACACCTGACGTTCTTTCAATGTCTGCCTATACTATATCCACTCTTATGATTTCTCTTTCCATAATGGATATTATAGGGTTATAACATACATACATAAAGATGCAACAAAGATATTAAATGGGTCTTACTCACTAGTCATTTCGGTGTGGATTTCCCCTCGTACACTTGAGGCAATAAAATTTTTAGCCCCGAATTGACCTACTCAACAAAATAATTTTGCCCTCCACGCAAACATTCATCCCACTCTATTGTACTTCTCACATCTCGTTCCCAGACGCTGACTATGCCTGCCCATTACTCTTTTTCTCTCTCCATTACCCTTTATTTCGGGGACCATCTCGATTTTTTCTTAAAAACAACTTTAAAAATCCTTTTATTTTTTGCGCATTTTTCAAAGAATGTGCCGATTTACGTATTTTTGTAATTAAAGGAGGCTTTGTCTGAGACATTTATAAAAAACTTTTTTTTAATTTTAAATCATTGTTATTTTCTATTGTTTAAGTTCTTAAACATAAATATTTTTCATGTCGGATTTTAAACTATTTTGCAAAACCTGAAAGTTTTCAAAAAACCAAACCTGCTTAAACTGATATGCACTTATTTACATTTCCTTTCTATTAATCAAACACCATGTATGCTTACATACTATTTTGGTGAAAATTTTTAAATGTAGAAGATGCCTTAAAATTTTTATTCGGTATTTTTGTGTCTGGTCTCCATTTTTGCGCATTTTCATATGTATATCCACATTTCACAAATCTATTTAAAGTTTATTAAGCATTTTTATTACATAATTTATTAAGAAATTTAATTTCCATTTAATAAAAGTTAATTTTATAATCGGCCCCGAATTAAATCACATCCCAAACTCTTTAAGGTTTGCTTTATCTAAATTAGGGAATTAATTCTGATTAAGAATATAATCCGATTCGCAAGAAATCTAGACTGGCTTAATTAGTTTGCCTCAAAATTATTTAAATCTTTGTTTTCTTTAATTCAATTTTTGGATTTAGTAGCCTCTTTCATTTATTTTAGTTAAGAGATTACATATTTCCGGTAATTTGATTTTATAAAAATTTTGTGGCAGAAAATATATAAAAGAGACGGTCCCTCATTTTTAAAATAAAAATTGAGGCGGTCCGGCTCTGTGAAAAATGAGGCAGGCGAACTCTCGCTCTTATTGACTGAAAAAATGGCGTAGTATTTCCTCTGCAAAAAATTTATATTGGATTTTGTTATGAATTTTAGGGGGAAGTTTTAGACTTTTTCGTATGGGTTCGAGTTTTAGTTGAAATTATTTAAAATTAAATTATTCTTTCTTTTAAAAATTCTGAATATCACAAAGGCATTTTAAGTATTTTCTTACAAATTTTACTTTAATTTTAATATAATAAAAATTAAAGTTTAATATAAACTTTTCTGATATTTTTTATTAAGAATTAGCGCATTCTTAAAAAATAAATAAATATTCAACACATCTGGCGATTTAACAAAAAATAAATAAAAATATGTCAATTAAATAAGACGGTCCCTCATTTTCTCTCCCAACATTTTTATGTTTCATTTTCTTTTCTTTTCTTCAGCTTTTTTTTCTATTTCCAAGATTTTTTTAAAAAACCTGCGGGGTAAATCTTTTGTTGAAAAAGTCTATATTTTAATAAAATTGTTTTTTTATAGAATTTCTTCTTTTAAATATTTTTTGGATTTTGTGTCATTAAGGCGTGAGAACGTTACGGCGCGTCTTTAATTAAAATCAGATATTAGAGTCTTAAAATGTATAAATATCCCGACTAATTAATTAATTTAGCTGTGAAAATATATTAAAAAGACGGTCCCTCACTTATTGTTATACATGGATGTTTTGGCTAAATAATTTAAAACTTTAATTTCTCCTCAATTTTCTTCTCATAATTTTTGAATTTCTGAATATTTACAATAATTTTTATATTAAATTTTTAAGAAAATATTTCCTAAAATTATAATTTTTATGCCAAACAACTGCTTCATTGACTCAGGACTACATTATATAAATAATTATTCCACAAAATAAGTCATCGAATATATTTTTTATTCCTTCGTTTTTAGCGTCATCATTAAAAATTCCCAAATTTATTATTACAATTGTACAATCATTAAGATCAAAACTACACCGTCACACTATTATTTATTACAAAATACATAAATGGCTTTTAATAGTGATGAAGTGAATTTGCTTGTTTATAGATATTTGGAAGAATCTGGTTGGAATAATTTAATTTAATATTTAATTTTGGATGATGACTCTTACCTTAAAATTAATATTTTTAGTTAGGTAAGGACCTACTGGTCCCAAAAAAATTAGGAAAGAGTTGCCAGTAGTTAATCAGTTAGCGTCACCCCATATATTCGCAGGATATATTTTCTATGTATTTTTTAAAATCTTTACAGAAGGGCCCATGAATTTTTTGTGAAAATTAACCTTTTCTCTATTGATGTCTCTTATTGAACATGCCACAGGGAAAATTAAGTGAAATTGAGGAAACGAGAAAGTTTGACCATTCTGTACAAATTAGGAAAAATTTTAAATATATCCCGCGAATATATGGGGTGGGGGGTTGTTCTCCTGGTTTCCCTTTGCGGTATCTGTCCACATTTTATGGCAAATTATATATCTTTAGGAAGAGCTATTCAAGCTGAGTCTAATGCCATTAAAATCAATGAAATCTGACTTAAATAAACAAAGTTATTTCCCAGTGAGGATCCAGCTTCGTAATTTTGTTCAGATTATAGTAAGGCAGGTACAATTTCGGAACTCCTACGCTGAGATAAAGGCAAGTGCATATCCAAGGGTCGGATTCTAGGGAGCTGCTAGCGTCTCATATGAAAATTTTCGATGGCTAAAAATTTTGCGGCTAAGTGATTAGGGCACTTTTAAAGTGGATGGTACTTTTTATGGACTGCGAATTTTTCATTAAAACAAAAATGTAGTCAGACATGACCCTTCTTCTTCCGATTTTCAAAAAGCGACAGAGCCATCTCTGATTCACACTACAAGCGCTCTGATTTGCAAACTTTTTTATTTTTCAATTAAACTTTATTTCTATATTTTATGTAACCATTAATTTCTCCATTTCCTAATATTTTAAAAATCAAACTTAAATACATATATTAATTTTAAAGGGTTTCGGCATTCCGCATTCACATTTGGTTACGAATCGAGTGTTTTGAATGCCGGCCTTGACAGTATGTCAATTCCACGAGGAGCATTAATGTCTTTACTTCAAAAAGGCGTTCTGTTCTCCGAAGCAGAAGTATTTTCCTTATTAACGGATGGAGAAATAGATGCGCGTTTCGAGAAGGCAATTGGTTGCATGACAATACTTGAGTGCGGTAAGAGAATAATTGGATTTATATAATTAAACTCGCAGTCAGATTTCGTTTTAAACCCAATTTTGAATTTATTTTTTAATCTATTGGGCATTGGTGTTGAGGGAGGCTACTTATGAGATACTATCTTTTAAGGGTGTATCTATAGATGTGGTCCGACTGTATTTAAATTATTTTAAAAAATTTTTTCTTTAAAAAAAGTTCATTTAAGTATTTTTTAGCCATGTGTGACTCTGCAAGAACAAAAGCTTTAAGTCGTCGATTAATGGTAGCTACAACTTCTGCCTCGTCTTCTACAAATACCCAACAGCAGCAACAACAAAAGCAACAATGTCCATTAAACGACCAACAAACTTCTGTTCAACAGAGAAGAACACCAAGCAGATTAACACCTCAGACACAAATACCAACTACCTCAACTTCTGATCAACCAATTATTACTCCAACAACTTCATCTACAACATCTATAAATTCTACATTTCTTCAAAATCATGGTAGATATAAAAAATTATTTTTATTTTATCATAGGTATTTATTTTATATCCATTGAATATTTTTGACTGAAAATAAATACTTCCCTCCAAACTTTCTGGTCACCCTGTATTTCAATAAATTATTTAGAAAAAATAAATGGAGAAAATTTATTTGAAAAAAGTTTTTTTATAGTTTTAACAATTAATCCAACGAGTAAATCAAATGAATTTAATTCTTCTTTGTCAAATAAACAACAAATAACAGCCAATCAACAAATTTGTAGAGATCGTCTTGATTTTTCAATAAATAGTAGTAATGGAGGAAGAAATATTCAACACAATCAACAACAACAACAAAACAATAACAACAACAATCCTTCCCCTTCTCCATCTACACATTCTTTACAATATCCACCTAGAGCTTCTTCATCTTCATCAGCTACTTCTTCATTTCCATCATTTAGAGGGGGAGGAGGAGGAGCATCCACATATCAACAACAATTACAAAATAATGATAGATTATGCCAAGTTGTAGAACAAGTTGCTGCTGTGAGTTTAAAAAAATAAAAGTAAGATTTTAAAAAAATTTTTTATTTTAAAGTGTAATCCAACATTAACGAGCACTTCCTCAACATCTATTACTGTCTCTAATCATTTACATCCTGGAACAGCAGCTACTTCATTAATGAATAATCACCCATTTTATCAACAACATACTTTTAAACAACATACTGCAACAACATTAGCAGCGACAGCTACTGCAACATCTTCATTTTTACCAACAACAGGAATTCAAGTAAACAGGATATTTATAATTAATAAAAAATAAAAGAAAACCTGGACAGTCTAATTTAGATTGTGATTTTTTTGACTATTTGTCTTTAAATAAGGCTTTTCGATTTTTCCATATAATTAATTATTATTTTTGAATAACTAAATATACATATATCTCCTGCCGTATTTTTAATTCAAAAAATATTTTTTTCTTTAATTTTTAAGATGTCCAACGGTACAATGAATGGTCCATCAACTTCTGTCAGTTTCCCAACACCTTTATCTTCTTCCTCAAATTTATCATCAACAATGCCCCCTCATCAACAACATCATTTACACCCTCACCAAACAACACCTCATAATGTTTTGGGCGCTACAACTTTAAATCAACAACAAACAGCAGAAATGACACGTTTAATGTTAAATGGTGGAAATAATACTGCTGTAGCTGCTGCTGCGGCATACAATATGGCGACAAGTGGGGGTTCTTCTATCAGTCATTCATTGAAAAGAAGTGCTGGAGGGAATGGATAGACTTGAAAAAAGAATTTAAAATTTTTGTTTTTTTTTGTTTTTTATTGTTGAGGTAAATGTTATTCGTGCGATGATTTTTATTTACTAATTGCCGCCTCCTTTTGTTTTGATTACTTATAAAAAATATTGTTAAAGGATAAGAAAGAAAAATATTTCTAGCAAAACATTTTTGTCAAAAAATGCCTCTCTTTTATTCAAAATCATCGGATTTTTAATTTACACAAAACATTTTTATTCCTATCATTGCATGAAGAAAATATTATTGTAAATTTATTTTAATCATTGTCTTTAAATTAATGTTTTTTCTAAAATTTCATTGTATTCTAAAATTTGCAGGATTGAAACAAAACTCGAGAGAAAAAAAACTCAATTTCTATTTGTTATGGTATTATTTTACTGAACAAAATATGTACATTATTTAAATTTTAAATGTTAATCTAAACATTTTTTGAATAATTTATTCAAAATTTATTAAAAACCCAAAGAATTGCCACAAATTTTTAATTGTTTTCTGATCTCAAAAAAAAAGAATCCTTGCACAACTACATATAGTGGAATATCTGAAAGAATAAATACATAAAAGCTGATAAGGATTTAACAAAGTTGTTTTTCTTTCATTTGATGTAGTTATTTTAAAGCGTGTCCGGTGGAGTGGGCAGTGTTGGATTGGATAAAAATTTTACCCAAAAATTCATATTTGTTACATTTAATTCATTAGACTCATATCTCGGTTAGTTTATGTGAAAGCCGACTGATTTTCACGTCATTTGAATCGGAATGATATAAAGATTCGAATGATATATAGATTTCCTATATCAGAATCATAGCCTTGAATCTGGGTAATTCTTATCAAAAAAATTTTGCTTAAAATTCGAGTTTAATCAGACTAAAATGTAAAATTTAAAGGTGATTTAATTTTTCAGAGTTGTGAATAAAATAAAAAAAAAGAATTATCAATTTATTTTGAGCTTGGAGCGAGATACATATGATAAAACAAAGTTGAGTTTGGAGCGAGATACGTATGATAAAAAAAAGGGCAAAACAGAAGATCAACGCGATCTGACTTCATTTGATAAAGTTATACGATTTGTTTTTGCCTCCGCGGAAAGAAAGAAGCCCAGGAAGAAGCCGGGCATGTCGAGCGGAACGACAGCCGCATGGGAGATACATATGACGGAATTCTACCAATAGTTTACAAATATTAGACCCAAAAAGTGTGTAAGAAATGTAGGTCCACGTGTTTTAAAGAAAGGATTGCGCATAACCCTTTTTCACCATTTTTACGTGAAAGATTAAAATATGGTCGCCCACACCCAATTCTTTAGCTTTCACGTATAGATATGTATGTGTATGTTACGCACATGGCTCCGGTACAAAATATGGAATCGTTAAAATATGGAATGGTTAAAATCGCGAATAGGCTAAAAAGGGGTTAAAATACCGAAACGTTAAAATATGGAAACGTTAAAATATCGAATCGGGTAAAAAAGGGTTAAAATATGGAATCGTTAAAATATGGAATGGTAAAAATGTCGACACGGCTAAAATCTGTCAAAATGTCGAATTCTTTTAAAAAAGGGTCATATGAGTGCAATACGCTGATTGTTGATGACAACTTATCAACTTATTTTTGATAATTTGATTGATAAGTTTCGTATGTCGTAGTAAAATCAAAACTAAGCAAAATAAAAATTTTATATTTCATTTAAAATCACCGAACAAAAATCATTAAAGCTAGAATCATTGAACAATAAAATAATAATCAAAGTCAATAAAAAAATAATAAAAAATAAAGTAAAATATTAATAGATAAATAATGAACTAGAAGCGTCTAAATAATCTTGACTAATAATTTGACTTTCCAAAGTTGCACTATCCACACCATCTTCAGTATCACGTTCTTCCTGTTGACGTGTAGCAACTCGCAGTCCCTCAACATAACCACTCATTTGTAAGCCAAGGAGCGTTAGAACATTCAGAAGTTGTCTATTATCATCGTATTCGGCTTCATTTAGCTTCATTATTCGGCTTCATTAATAGCACGCCTTACTTCTCTCAATACTTCCTGATAATGAATTGTCTTTTTTGTTGGAAGAAGGGCTTGGACACAAACAACAATGCGACCTCGTACAAAAGCACCAATACAAAAACATTGCGCAAATGGCCTTGGGGCGGATTTGAAGGTGCCATCACAGGCCCAATGCTTATTTTGAGATAATATATCGAGCAACTAAATTTTTAAAAATAATACTAGTTCAAAATTATTAAAATTAACCCTTGCATGGCTAAAGACAAGAACAACATCCTCATTTCCACGCTCATCTCTACTGTCGTAAATCAACGTTGATGAGTTGTATTTTTCTGTCAAAAACGCTGGAATGACCATTTTTCCAAGATCCACACAATTAACGTTCCCAAACTTTTGCTTTTTTTGCCTAAAATGAGGGTAATTTATTGAAAGAAAATAATGAAAATAAACCTCTTTATAAGCTGATTTAAAGCATCATCACTACCCAAAGCAATGTAAACTTCATCTGGGATATTTGCTCGTACTTCTCCCAGAATTGGTCTCTTATCCTTCTTCAATCTATTTCTAAGCTCTTCACAAACTTTTTTTTGAATTGCTGGAGGATGATTATGCTCTTTTTCTCCTAAACTGCCAATAAATTGGCCATTTTTCTCTTCAGCTTTTGCAGTTGCCTGGCAGTCCAAGTTTGAACAACGCCAATGAATATTTTTACTCTTGACATATCGATACCCTCAAAAAATCCATTTTAATAATTTGATATCTAGCTCAAACCTGCATGCCAAAGGCTGACGCCACCCTTCTGTGTAACTCCTTGTTCAAATTTTGTCAGATTTGCTCCATAGCATTTTTCATCTTCTCCATCAAGATTTGCTTCTGGTTCTTGTTCATTTAAATCAGAAGTATCATTGATTTGTAATCGTCGTTTTCGAGTTTTTTGTAATTTTGCTAAAGTTGTTCGTACATCCATTTACGGATAAAATTCTAAATTAGAGGTAAAATCTATTAATGAGGTAAAATCAGTTGCAGAAGACGGTATATTTAATCTGATTTTGGCCGTGTCGACATTTTTACCATTCCATATTTTAACGATTCCATATTTTAACCCTTTTTTAGCCGATTCGATATTTTGACCATTCCATATTTTAACGATTCCACATTTTAACCCCTTTTTAGCCTATTCGCGATTTTAACCCATTTTTACCCGATTCGAGATTTTAACCCTTTTTTAGCCTATTCCATATTTTAACGATTCGGTATTTTGTCCGGACACGACGCACATACTCTTTCTCTGAAGATTATGGCGCTTCACGAAAATTTTTATTGATTCCCATGCTTAGGACGACATTATGCCAAAGGACTTTAAGTCAAAAATTTTTGCACAACTTCGCTCAGTACTGTTTGCCAGCAAACTTTCGTCATTGTTCTTAAATGCATTGTTATATGTAAACTTCATATAGTGTTGCTTCCCAAGTAATCTTTCAACACATATACATCATATTTCGAACATAAATATTAACTGTGAGGAAAAATAGATCTAAAGCAAAATGAAGGTGGTATTCACAATCCCGGAAATCTTAAAAACGAATGACATAACATTTTTTCTGACGAACAGTCCTTTGACATAAAGTCCGTTGACGAAATATATAGGATGATTTTTGTATAATTAAAAGAATGTTTAGAAAAAATTTTGAAACGAATTTCATGATGAAATAAGTGATGAGAGAGAAAAAAATATAAGCAATGATAGAAAACAAATCTCGTAGTGTCTGGCCAACTCCTTTTTTGTGAAGATCTACCGAAACCAATTGTTTTCTTGAGGATATTTATAATCTTTTTTTCAAATTAACATTGTACTTGATCGAATTTGAGTTTACGTCATTTTTCAATAGTTAAATGTCTTTTAGATTTATCATCCTTAGCGGATGTTATTTGCGGAAGAAATGAATCCTTCATATTTTGGTGCGACAACACTCGGTGGTAATCCATCAGCGCTGCCGCCGGCGTCGGTGGACATGACTTCATGGAAGCCTATTGGCCATAATTCTACTGATTTCACACCTATTTACAATGTAAGCGATGTTTAATTTCACTTGATTATTTATTCCTGGTCCTTTAGTTTGTCGGGATACTTAATCTAGGAATACGTAGCTTCTTTTAAAGAGTAAAAAACGTTTTTAAATAGTTTTCTTTAAGTTAATTTAGTATATTTTGAGAATTTCTATGAAATTTCTAATTACCTTATGAGTTTTTTACTAACATTTTGTCTTTGAAGGTTTTAAGTCGGCCATATATCATTAATCTAATAAATTTAGGATTCCACTGCAGGTGGTGGCCCGGGTATTGGTAGCAAATTGATAACTATTTGGGGGCATCCAATGGATTACAACGATACCGGGCATGCCGATCCCTCAGCGTCTTCGACCTATGCTGCTGCAGCTGCTAACTTACCAAATTATCCTAACAACGGATTTTGTTGGAATGATTCTCAACAACCTGCATCAGCATTTCACCAAATTCCACCACAATATGATCAAATGCCTTTCCAGCAGCAAGAGACTAAATTTACCGGTTTGAGTTTGAAAACAATTTTTGCAACTTGTATATTATCAATTTTAGCAGGCAGTCAATGGGGTAAAACAGAAATTGACCAAACAATACCATGGAATCTCGAAAATAATGGTTATTTTTATGGATTAATTCTCAATGTTTTATATTTAGCAGGTATTCATGACCAGTCATTCCATCCTCAGCAACAACCTCATCCACCTCCTCAATCGCATCGATATAATCGTAATAGCAAGTGGGATCAGCAGGCACCTATTCGAGACGATGGTTCTGCTTTTGGTAATAATCTTTATGCGACAACACCTCCTTATGGAATGGTACATACTTTTGGTGGTGTTGGTGACAATCGTTTGGTATTAAAAATTCACTATTATTTTTATTCTTATATTTTTAGATTCCCTCAAATGCCCAAAGAGGAAATGCTGGGCCGTCTCAGCGTTGGGGTGATACTATTGGAGGTGGTGGAGGATCTACAATTCCTAGTCAAATTGGAAAATTTGGCGGATGCGAAGTAATCAGTGTGATGCCTCATACTAATGCAGGTCCACCTCCTCATCATCCACCTCATCAACATCGTGGACCGACTCAAATCAGAGGTAGTAATGGTGCTATTTTTACGGCTGGACCGCCACCATTACACATTGCTCCACCTTCAAATCGACCGCTTCCAAATCATCCCTCGCATTTAATTGGTGGACATATGGGTGGACCACCGCCAGCACCTACTCCACTTTTGCCAGCATTAAACCAGCAACCAACACATTCGATAGGAACATTTGGTAATGGAACTAATGGAGTTCCCTTGGTAGTTTCTAAATTTTATATGCTGTCATTGAGCTTGTATTTTTTAAATTTAGCACATCCAAGGAAATGTTCCTCCGAATGGCCCCAACAATAATATCCAAACTGGTCAGATTGATGATGCTTATTGGCATTGGCAAGATCCAAATAGTATTTATATATTTTTTGTTTAAGTATTAATATTATTTTTTAGGTCAGCTACGCAAGTGGAAACATGATACTGGCATAGCTATTTGGGGAGACCCAATAAAGCAAGCTAATATGCCAATTAAGCGTTGGACAAATTTTACATCTGATGAAGTTGTAACTGAAGTTATGCCCGGAGGTTATTCTTTTAATTATTAAACTTTTCATTATTAGCTTTTACGTTTTTTATTTTCGTAAATGGATTTTTTGTCAATTGATTACCCATAATTTGCCTTGATTTAAATTTTTTGAAAATATTCTTTTATTTTTATAGTAGAATCTACTCTCAATCAGGGCTGCCGCCAGAATCATCCAATGGGTGGGGCTTAATTTTTTAATAAAAGTTTTTACGCAAAGTTTGACACAGCAGATGGAACTTTTGTATTTTATGTAACACAAATATTTTTATTTTAATCTCTACAAACTTTTTTGAGCTATTTACGTTCTAATACTAAACGAACACTTCTGGCAAACAGCCCTGATTGCTTTAAGTTGTCTATTTCATTAGCTTTCTACTGGCAAACCATCAAAAATATAGTTTGGGCAAAAAAATTTTTTTTGTCAAATTTTCCACTGTTGGTCAAACTTTATAATTTTTTTATTAGTTCAATTACATGTATATTTTTTAAACAGACATTTCAGGTTGGGGTGATTTGCCTCCAATTGGTACAAATGTAAACAATATAAACTCGAACAACAACAATGGGGCTACAGATAATAGTAATCATACGAGTGATAACAATGCTAACAGCAATGTTCTTCAAAATTTTGGCAATCATGGACAAGCTCCAAATAATCAGCAACAAACAAATAGAAGTAACTCACTTTCTGCCGCTACAAGAGGAGGTTTTAATTTATTTGGGTAACTAGCAAGGGTAACTAACATTACGCACTTGGCATTACGGATTCGTAACGACAACATCACATCCTTTTCAAATACCTTACTATTAGAAATATCTTCTAATGACTTTTTTTAATTAAAAAAATAACAGATTGGTCAACTGGTAATGTTATTCTTCCACAACAACACAATCAGCAACAACAATCTTTCAATCAAAATGGAATGATATCAGGAGGGAATGGTCAATTTTTCAGTGGTATGCCTCCAACATCCTCGGAAACTCCAGTTTCAACTGTTGGTCAGTCTTCGATTTTCCAACCACCACCTTCACTTCTTTCTTCTATGATGGTAGATCCAATAACCGGTCACGCAAATTCGGATATTGATCAACAATCTACTGGTGGAAATGGAAGCGGAGAGTCAACTTCTAGAAAAGCAACTGTTAGTCCTCCGGATGGAACCAATTCTTTTGGAGGTGGAGTTAGACAACAGCCACAACAAACCACACATCGTCAAGCGAACAAGAAAGGTTTCTTTTATTATATGTTTATTTATAATATACATATCTGTCCATTTAAAGTAAGTCTAGCTGATGAGCTCTCCTCTTTGGTTGTAAGCAACAATCATGGACTTGGTGGTGGTATCTGGTAATTTTACCAGCGATTACATACTGCAGTTTATGTTGCTTTTGGACTCGAAAACCTAAAAATTGTCATCTCCTTTATTGTCGAATTTGATTGAGACAAAACTTACTGGAAATACGAACTTATACATATATACTGTTAGACCAAATGCGTTAAACTTCATTTTTATCAATTTAATCTAATCCAAGTTAAGCTGCTATTTTCTCATTTTTTCAAAGGTTTAATACAATTTTTGGATATTATATACATATTTTAAAATATTTTGCCAATATAAGAGAAAGCTTTGTTATTTTTGCAATTTAAATCAATTTCGAAAATTAATTTGACAAATAGTATTTATTCTGTTTGAATTATTCAAAATTGTCTCAATTTTAGGATTTTGAACTTCTTTTTTATGCGTCTCGATCTTTAAAATGTTTATATAACAGAATAAATACATTGTTAAATATGTGCAAAATTGCAAAATCGTCCTGAGCATCTTTTTTTTATTTAAAAATATTAACAAACAAAACGGGGGTTTTTATATTTTTCATTTCCGTCTTTAAATGTATTTTATATTTACTAAATTTATTTTCTATCATATATTTAGAATATGTTTGCCTCCAATAAAAAATCAACTTATTTACTCAATGACATTACATCCCACTTTTTGTTTTTTTGCTTTCTTATAATCACAATCAAGCTAACTTGTTTCTTTCATAAAATGTCTCTCCAAATTAATCTCTTATTTTACTTATAAATTAATAAAAACGCAAAAACAAAATTTTCGATTAATACATACATTAGATTCTTTACAAAAAAATTTGAGCCTATACCCTCTTCCAGTTATAGAATAATATAAACTTTTTGAGTATAACATGTGAAAGAATGTATTTAATTAAGACTATATAAAATTGTTTTAGAGCGATAATTGTGAATATTAAATTATTTTGAAATTTTTAGTAAATTTTGTAGCTCTACAAACAATTCTTCCTAAAGTAAAACTTTTATTTGTTAAAATTTGTGACTTTTCCCGAGCGTTTTTCTCTTTGTATATCACCTTTTTTATTTTAATTAAGAATATATACATCGTTTACATACCTAATTTTGGGATTTTTAATTCAGGGATTGGATTAATTTTTAACAAAAAGTGTGACAAAATAATTTTTCGATTCGACCCCTGTTTATATTCAGGGATTAATAAAACCTTCCAAAAATGTTATTTCTTTTTTTTTTAATTGTCAAAAAATTAATCAATTTCTATTGCCACACGAACCTAAAGTTATCTCACGAGTAAGTTGTTTCTTACAAGTTTTCCCTTTAAAAATATGTAATTTTGGAAAGCAAAAATCGTGTTTTTCCTGTCCCTACAAATTAGTCAGTATTGTAAATTATCCTTTTTTGTGACACTTGCGCCCTTATAATACTTTTGGATCTATGTTATTTTGTGTATATACCCTATTCATTTTGAAATTATCTATTTGAATATAAGAAAGAATGTTAACTACAAAAAAAAATCAAAAATTATTTATAATTTTTATTTATTAGTAGCCAAATTTGTATTTTATCGTCCGATAAATATACAAAATATATATCCAATTGTAATTATATAATATTGTGATTCAAAGGGATGTTCTGTGTATTAGATTTGTTTTTATTTTGACTAATCGCTCCAAAAAACTAATCAAAAAAGTGTTGAGTATTTCTTTTTAATATCTCAAAATATCTACTAAATCATTCAATTTTTCTTTAACAGTAAGGTGCAAAAGTCTATCCTATAAGCGGCGTAAACTTTTGTTCCACCAAAATTGGAGGTAGATAAGTTTTGGCTCTTATAATTTTTTTGGCACTTTTAACTTTTGCACCTTACTGATTATCCATTTAATTAAACTGGAGATGGGTAAAATTTTCTGTCGCTGAATGTGCTCTATACTAGTACTACTAACATTCTCTAAATTTCTCACCTTTGTAAAATTTATGTTAATCAAATATTTACTAGTTAAATTTTTCATTATTATAAATTTATAATGCACGTTGAAATTTAATTTTAAAAAGTAAGTTGATTCTTAGGTAAATGACATACATTTTAGAGCTAAAGTGCACTTTACCGGAAATTTTAGATTTTGACAATTTATATGTTTTTCGATTTTTGTTTTTCGATTTCGCTCACTACATACATATGTTGATATCCCAGAAAGTAAATACATAAACCTTTTTTTAAAATTCTAGGGGGAACAGTTAGTTTCGATTATTTATTTAATACTGCTTCACTTCAGGAAACTATTAGAAAATGGTTATATACAAGTTTTGCTTTTGCGGTGTTTAATGTTTTTGCCTATTTTATGGGCGGATGTGCTTTGAGCATATCCTGGCAAACTCAGTTTAGTACATATTATGCATATGAGTGACTAATACCCAAAAGACCAAAAAAGCTAAGCTCAGTTTTTGAAAGCAATTTTTATAAAAGAATTGGTCAACTGGATGTCGATTTTATGGCATGGGCAAGTCTATCTATCGACTTTTTTATATGCAGCTGGTGCATTATTCTAACAATATATGACTTGGAGAATGAGTGAGTAGATGTGGATAAGCATTGAACTTTTTTGTGGTTGGTTAGTTTTGAAGATTCCAGAGGAAAGCAGCCTTAAGAAATATTAAGAATTTTATGAGTTTCTATTGTTATCATTAGTCGATGCGACTAAATGTCCGCGACAGAAAAGTTAAAACAAATTTAGGAAATTAGAAACAGCAACAAATGAAAAGAAAACTCATTGTCAGCGTAGCACTTTTTTCAAAATACGATCAGAAGTGTTGTTTCACCCTAAAATTGTCTAGTTTACGAATTAATGCTGGAAATCCTTAAAAATTATTTAAATCAACTTAAAAATTTATTGTCAAAAATTTATGTATTATAACTTAATGTATTTAACTGTAACTATTTTTCATTGTTTATGCTTTTCATCAACTTTTATAAGTAGAAGCAATGACTGCATTATCCTAAATAATCAAATCTATAGATATTACTGCATATTCCTAAAGGAGAATGTTTTAAAGAAAATATGATATAAAAGGATGAGTCCATCGTTTGGCCTTTTTAGGATCCTGGATGAGTCAAAAAAAGGACAGCACGAAATGCGGGAATTGTAATAGAAAAGAAACGCAAAAAAAATTTTTTTCACTTTCTATTTTCATTTTTCCCGTCCCTCTTTGTCCACCCCAACATCTTGCAAAGTTAAATGTAGTAGTAGTAGAAACTGCTTCCCTTTCCCCTCAACTAGAGACTCAGCTTGAATTTCAGTAGTTCGACTACTACTACACATACATAAATATAAGGGGGGAGATGGAGGAGACTTTTTTTGTTATGTCCTTCCCTTTGTCATGAATGATGAGGAGTGGCAATAGCGCCGCCAAAGCCTTTTTCATTTAAAAAGAGTGCCCCTGAAATTGCGATTTTAATAGCAAGAGAAGCGGGACGAATCAATAAATTTTACTCGTCTTGAATTGTTTTTTATTATTTATTTCTTTTATAAATATTTGTATATGTATGTATTTTTATGTTCTTTTTTTTTCATTGTTTAATTTTTATTTATTTATTGGTATTATTTCTTTATAAGAAATTTTCCGGAATTAGCCGCTTGGGATTAGTCTGATTTATTTCAAATAATTTGTAAAACTTTAAGTTGATTTAAATTTTTATTATTTTACTATATTTTTAGGTATTTTAATATTTGAAAGTTTTGGAATATTTTTAAAATAAATCTTTAAATATGTGCATATATTCTTTATATTTAGTATTAATTAGTTATTAGTAAAAAAGATTATTATTATAATTAGCAGTAATTTTGAAATTAGAATTAGCTGTTGTTGTTGTTGTAGCGCTGTGCGCAATTCTGCAGCACTGCATCATCATCAAAACATTTGGGGGTCGTTATCTTAAAAATATTGCTCCCTAGCAGAGAAAGCGTTTCCGCCATTCCAAGGGAATGCGTAAACGACGGCGCCGCTGGAAATTTAAAGAAAAGGAACATTAAAAACAAAAAAAGAAAAGAAAATAAAGTTTTAAAAATTAATTGTGAAAACAACAAAATTTGTTATGAAAATGCAGCAACATCAAGTAGAGGAAATAATTTTACGTTGGAAGTGGAGATGGAGAATAAAGGTAAAAAAATTATTGTTTGTTGGTGGATTCTCGAAAGTCCTTGGATACTAGGAACTGAATTTTTATTTAAGCAGTGAAGGTTGTTCGATGACTGGGGGGGTTTGGATTCGTCACCCCCTCTTGTTTAAGAGTTTGGGGGAATTTTTACCATTAGTTGTAGATACATAAAGTTTTTTTGGATATCCCGAACATTTTTCGGATTCACCAACCCTGTCTAGCTAAAAACTTTTTATTAATTTTTCTTCTTAAAATTAGAATTTCCTATTAACAACATTAATTCTTGTATTAAAACTATTCCAAAATTATTTAACTCCAACAGTAATTCTCAGCATTTTCCCAGTGAAGAAGTTAATTTTACAATTGCAGAACATCGAAAAAGGCATAGGAGAAGAAATGAAATTTTAATTCCATTTTCTGAAAATTATCAAAAAATACGGGTCATTTCATCTAATATTAAACAACATTTTTTATTTAAAAATTCACTCCCTTTAGAAAGGAGACAAAAGCCATTTTGGGTAAAATTTAAAAAATTTATAAAATTTTAAATAGAAATAATAAATTTTTATTATCGGTCGTTTCATAAAAAACAAAAAAGTAAATTTATACATTAAGTAGCTTGTGCCCCTAACTGGTTTCAGCATCGTATCAATCGAATAAAAATCGCTTAAAACAGATCGTGTTTCAGGTCTTAACACTGGTCATTTGCGCCCTAAATTTTCATTTTTGATATTTCTCAATCCTTCATAATTTTCATAATAAAATTTTAATTTTTTAAGCGATATACAAAAACAATTAATTTGGTGCTATTTTTACAATTGCTTATTTTATTTTTAATACTAAAGCCTTTATCAACTTTCTTTCTTTATTCAACTGCCTCTGAAATTTCATTGAATGAAACAAATTCTTTTGAAGATTTTGAAGAAAATATTTATCAAAATTTTACTGAAAATATTTGGAGATTTCAACAATTAAATATTGAAAATAATTATTACAAAAGATTTAAAAGAAAAAATGATTGGAAGCAACGAAAATTATCAAAGCAATTATTTACAAAAATGGTAATTAATTAATTAATTTAGTTTTGTCTTCCAAAATTCTCAAACTGTACTAACATAATTGGACCTCACTTTTGAATACCCCTTGAGCTTAAAACTGAGGTATAGGAGTTGGAAGAAGCACCGGGAATTTAAAAAGGGCCAGGGAGCTATTGGGGGATGGAGGGATATCGGGGATTAAAGGATATTGAGGATTCACAACTCCTGAATCCTTCGGTGTTCTTTTTAATATTTGGAAATTTCATATGTATTATAAAAGATTTAAAAGAAAAAATGATTGAAAAATGTTAATTTGTACTTTTAACTGATTAAGAAAATTAATTTTATAATTTGTAGTTTAACAATTTTACAACATATTTATATATTTTTAAAGGGATTAATTGAAGAAAAAGGACTACAACTCGAAATGTGTCATGTTTGGAATAAAGGATCGCCTTCTGAACTTTGTGCATTGAATAGATGGGAAAGAATTAAACGAATGGAGTAAGTTTTGATTTGTATTTGTGAAATAGTATTAGGTGGTTTTGTTGCTGTATTATATCTGTAACAATTGGATCAAGAAAATTATGTGATATTATTCTATTTATTTTCTTATTTGCATACATAATTTAGATAATTTTTATTTTTTAAACATTTTTTAGTGAGTTATCTCTATTTACAATATGCGCTGAAGGCTTTTCAAATTTACAATTGTCTGATATTTTCCAACTAAACATTATCAACAATCATGAATCAGAATCTTCACTTATTTCATTTGTAGAACGTCATCTAAAATTGGGCCAATTAGGGCAATCCTGTATTTTAGGAGATGCCCATTCTTCTGAATGTTTAATTTGTTTTGAACGTTTGGGAACTTCTTTAGAAAAATTAGAAAAAACTTTTTGGTCATTTTCACAATTATTACAACGCTTTGATTGCCGTCAACAACAAAAAGATTTGGAAAAAGAAAATACAATAAAACAACAACAAATTTCGACAACAAGACCTTTTTCACCAAATACAACGTGTGACAATTGCGCGGTCATTTTTTAAATTAAATAAGTCCAAAATAAGGATAAGGTATCCGCCCTATTCCTTTCAAAGAATAAGAAATAGTCAAGAATAAAGGGCAATAACGGCCAAGAAAATAAAATAAATTTCTAATTACATTTTGAAATTAGTCGAGTTGAGAAAATAAATCTTTATAAAATGAACTATTTTCTACTAAAATTATTTTTAAAATTTTCTTTAATATTCCCAATCTTACATTATTCGAACTTTCGAGGTTCTTAACCCCCTCTATGTCTATAGTAAAAGAAATGAAATTCTAAAAGAGATTAATACTTTATAAATTTGTTTATTTTTAGGAATGGTACAGAAAATGGTTATTAGTTAATTTAGTTGAAATATGGAAAAGAAAAGGTTTTAAAAATATTTAAATTAATATTTAAATTTAATTTAAATAGTTTGTATTAATTGGTGCTATTACACACAACTTGCTTGTCCACATTTGGCAACAAATAAAGTTGTGGAGTTTGCCGGTCATCCTGTTTTTTTATGTAGAGGTAGGCACTATTAATGTTTGGTGTTAATATTTGTCAAGGAGCCAATTTTACGAATTTTATTTGTGTTCAAAACTTGAATGAAAATACTTTTTAATTTTTTCCGAAACAATTATTCAAATTTTCGAGGAAAAAATAAAAAATAATCTCGGTGAGGTATAAATGTTAAATAAATTTTTAAAGATCAAATGCTTTCGACAACAAAATCAACAAGCGCTCTCGACTGCTCTTGTCTTCATCCCTGTGATTTGATACGCAACAAAATTGCTCAATTCACCGTTGAATCTGAACAATTCAATTCTTCTTCTGCTAAAAAACAACCAATAACAACGACATTCGATTTCTTTCATGTTTCTGCTTATTGCCAAAAAAGAGAAAAGCGTTGCCATGCAAAAACAATTACCAAAAAGAAAAATTAGAGAACTAAATTTCGAAAGATATTTTTTGTTTGGTGGCCTTTAAAATTAAAAAATAGGAGCTAATTATGTATATGTTTATATATTTATGTTATAGTTAGTTGAATTAAATAAAATTTTAAATAAAGTGGTTGTTACCTAATGTAGGTTTTACAAAATTACAAGAGAATTGTTGCCTATTCTATCCCGGGTGTAAAATAAGATTTAAAAATATTTTTAAGTTAAAATTGTTTTTCTAGCAATAATTATTGTACAAAAAATAATAACACAAAAAGTCACAATACAAACAAAAAATAAATTTAATTGATTTCCTACAGGTATTTGGATTATTTTAAATTTTCCCTCTTTTTTGTGAAATAGCGAAAATGCAGAAATATTTTTGGGACTTGTTAAAAGACCACATTCTGAAGGGATCTTTAAAAATATATTTAATAAAGAATATAATATTTATTTAGTATTTACTTGTTGAATAAGCCTTTTACAATTTAAGTCATTTAACAAAGTTTCGTTATTCTCTGAACAATGAAGGAAAACATTTGGAGCTTTAAATTTAATATCTAAAAATTATTTTATATTCCCAAATTATTTCAAAATAATTAGTAACCTGCATTTAAATTTATTCCTTTAGGATTAGGATTGTGATAACGAATCTTGACAGGCAAATAAAAATAATCGTTCAATAAAAATGATTTTGTTGGGAATTTATTTGAATTGATAAAAATAATTATTGGAGAATATTGAGGAGATTCTAAAAAAAGAATAAATAATTAATTCTTTTTTTAATTACCACTATTTGAATTATATGGCTTTTCTACATCAAAATCAAAAGATGAAAAAATGCAATGTTTTGTAGAAGAAATATTTCTTTGATTAAAATGTTTTAAACTAAAAGAAATTCTTCTTTTTTTAATAAAAAAAAATTAAAATTTCTACCTTCTCAAATTAAGATAAGCACCTGGAGGAATTTCAAATCGATAGGAGAGAACACAACCAATTAATCTATTTTTACTTGATAAATGTGAAGAAATGAAGATTTGGCGATGAAAACCAGACCCCAAAATCTTTAAAGTTTAATTATATAAATTCACTTCTTCTTGTCAAAAAAATTTGAAAAATCTATTAAAAACAATACTTAACTAGTTTCCAAACACCTACTAGGTCTTAAAATATTGTGCCTGCTTGGATAAATTAAAAAAGAATATAAAATCTTACATCAAACTCCAAATTTGTTTCAATTAAAGGGCAAGCTTTGACAAAATTGAATAAATAAATTAAAGTAATACTAAAGAATATTGTAAACATTTGTGCAAAAAAATACATATATACTATAAAAATTATTTTTAAAAATTAAAAAGTAAATAAATTGAATTTTACAAAATATACATTACCTTATTTAAATAAACTCTTTTTTTAATTATTTTGACAATTTATGTAAACTACTAAATGATTTTGTTCTAATTTTTTTCTCACTTAATTCTTGAAGAATTGATAATCTTTTTTCTATTTCATTAATTTCTTCTTCTTCTTCATTGTTTCCCTTTTCTTCTTCCTCTCTCATACTTAAAATAAATTTTTTAATTAAAATATTATTTTAATTTTTACTTTATTGAAACAAGTAAACTTCTCATTTTTGAATTTAAAAGTTTTGTACAAAGAAAATGTCCCTTTTCGTCTAACAGTTGATTAAAATTTAATTGTTGTATTTGAATTGCCTTAAAAATAATTATTTTAAAAGAATTCTAAATCCTCCCCCATTCAAAATTACCTTCAAATAATCTTCTTTATTAATTACTTTAATAAATTCACAAATTAACTCAAAATCTTGCTTATTTGCCCAAGATGTTTTCAAATAAATATTTTTCGAATTATTATTTTGATATTGAGATAAATATTGTTGTTGTAAATCAGTAAATTTAGAAGAAATAAATATTAACAAAATAATTCTTAATTCTAATGCCAAAATTTGAAAATAAAATGACAAATCCTTACTTTAAAATTAAATAAAAATTAATTTTTATTTAAAAACTAGCTCAGGGTGAGTAGCTGGGTGGGTGTAAAGATACTGTGGGTTTGGTTACGCTGGGGGGAGCGTTTGGTTACATTACTGTTAAGTTTTGGTTGTTTGGGGACGCGTCCAGGGACGCGAGTGGAAAGCCTGCGGCTTTAAAAGGACGCTAGATTTTCTTTTTTGCTTGGCGATTTACGTTAAATAGATTTAAATTCTTTTCATTGCATTCGGGGGCCTTCGGCCCCCCAAACCCAAAGTTTAGGAGAATACTTTGCCTTTTGGCAGCTGTGATGGGTTGACTCGGGGCGTTTGGGGGGCCTTCGGCCCCCCAAACCCAAAGTTTAGGAGGATACTTTGCCTTTTGGCAGCTGTAGTGGGTTGACTCGGGGCGTTTGGGGGGCCTTCGGCCCCCCAAACCCAAAGTTTAGGAGGATACTTTGCCTTTTGGCAGCTGTGATGGGTTGACTCGGGGCGTTTGGTGGGCCTTCGGCCCCCCAAACCCAAAGTTTAGGAGAATACTTTGCCTTTTGGCAGCTGTGATGGGTTGACTCGGGGCGTTTGGGGGGCCTTCGGCCCCCCAAACCCAAAGTTTAGGAGGATACTTTGCCTTTTGGCAGCTGTAGTGGGTTGACTCGGGGCGTTTGGGGGGCCTTCGGCCCCCCAAACCCAAAGTTTAGGAGGATACTTTGCCTTTTGGCAGCTGTGATGGGTTGACTCGGGGCGTTTGGTGGGCCTTCGGCCCCCCAAACCCAAAGTTTAGGAGAATACTTTGCCTTTTGGCAGCTGTGATGGGTTGACTCGGGGCGTTTGGGGGGCCTTCGGCCCCCCAAACCCAAAGTTTAGGAGGATACTTTGCCTTTTGGCAGCTGTGATGGGTTGACTCGGGGCGTTTGGTGGGCCTTCGGCCCCCCAAACCCAAAGTTTAGGAGAATACTTTGCCTTTTGGCAGCTGTGATGGGTTGACTCGGGGCGTTTGGGGGGCCTTCGGCCCCCCAAACCCAAAGTTTAGGAGGATACTTTGCCTTTTGGCAGCTGTAGTGGGTTGACTCGGGGCGTTTGGAGGGCCTTCGGCCCCCCAAACGCAAAGTTTAGGAGGATACTTTGCCTCTTGGCAGCTGTGATGGGTTGACTCGGGGCGTTTGGGGGGCCTTCGGCCCCCCAAACCCAAAGTTTAGGAGGATACTTTGCCTTTTGGCAGCTGTGGTGCGTTGATTCGGGGCGTTTGGGGGGCCTTCGGCCCCCCAAACCCATCGTTTAGAATGTTACTTTGCCTTTTGGTAGCGTTGGTGGGTTGGCTCAGGGCGTTTGGGGGGCCTTCGGCCCCCCAAACGCGGCGTTTAGATCCCCTCGGCCTCGATTTGGGGGCGTTCGTCCCACAAAACCCCCAAAACAGAAAATCTGACCGCCATAATTTGTTCAGACTCAAGTGACCACCCAAACAGATAATATATTTTTCGATGCATTTATGGATGCTCTACAATATAACGTAAGTCTTTTCAATTTATTGCCCCTCCTTTGGTACCCCCACTGGGTATGGTACCGACCACAACCGAAAATTCGACCTTTTGTAACTTTGTACAAAATGGTCAGAAAAATTTGCAAAAAATATTTTTAAGCTCAGCTCGATGAGAGCTTTCGATTGATATAACATTGCCCCATTTCTACCCATGTTGAAAAAAATATTTTTTTGGACGAAAATTTTGGCCGAAAAAATCGACCAAATTTTCAAAAAATCATAACTTCCCCGAATTAGACCTTTTTTATAAATTTTAAAAGCTTGTCCGGTGCAGAAAATTCTGCTCTATCCAGGAAAAATACTTTCGGCGCGAACCGCCGGCAAAAATCTCGAAATTTTTTCGAAAAACCGAAAATTTTTCGAATTTTCGAAATTCGACCCCTACACCCCCAATTTCGAATTTTTTCGAAATGTTCTTCGGTCGAAAAATAGTTAATTTTTTGCTTGATTTTATAAAGCAAACCCCATCCCAATCCGACTCCCCCAAAAAAAGTTAAGGTCCCCCAAAAAATCCCGAAATTTTCCCAAAAGGGGTACCCCTTTGGAAATAGGGGGTGGGACAAAATTTTCGAATTTTGACCCAAAATTCGACTTATATGGTACTCTGACATGCGCTGAGTACGAATCCGGCGTCAGAAAAATTTTAAAAAATTTCCCCGAGACGTTAGAGTCTCATAAAGTTTTACGACATTTTGCCACACTGGCTATAACTTTTTGAGACTCAAGTGGACCCCCACCATATGATACCTTTTTCTGACCGCCAGGGGACGCTCTTTCGATCTGGGTATCGAAAACGAATTTGAATTCACGTTAAAAAAAGTCGACTTTTCGACTCCGACTCTTCGACCCATATGACCCCCAAAAGTTCACCCGAGACTCTAGTGGTCAACTATTCATAACTTCCCAACATCCAGCCCTACAATACCACTCCCGGGCCCCAAGACCCCCCAGTTCTCAAAAACGCATTATAACGCGTTGAATTTTTGAACCGGCCATTTCGGCGCCACACTCAAGTGCGGCACCAAAATGACCCGTCCCAAAAAATTTCCCATAGCCACTTACCTACTACCCCCCAGGCTCCATCTCAATCCGCCCAGCCGTTCCCGAGATATAGAAAACGTACAATTGACCGCTACCCCAAGCCGCGACATTTGCGTACATGTCAAAAACGCTTACCGCGGCACTTCGGTATTTAGACTTCACCGAATTTCGAAATTTTTTTTTTAAACATTATCTACTAATCGTGGCGCACGTGCCTCCCAGCGGGACTTTTCCGCTCCGACTTCTGGTTCACGAGATAAAAATTTTAGTGGGGTCGTTTCGGCGCAAAGGGAAAGTCGTGGCGCCGCCGCTATAATTTTCCTGAATGCGCCGTAAAAAGTTGCCCCCAGGATGTAAGGCTTCGGGGAAGCGGCCGGCCTTCGGCCGGCCGATATTAGTTTTTAAATTTAATTGAGCTTAATATTTTATATAATATAATTAAACAAAAAAACCTTAAACTTTTTAAAAATAAATTCCAATTATTAAATATTTTATTCCAAATTCTTTCTTCAAAATTCGAAATTTCTATCAAATCCAACATTTTATCAAATAAACATATTTTTGCAAAAATATCATTATTCGTTAATTTAAATGCTAAAAATAAATAAATAAAAATTAATTAAGTAATTAAAAACCTTTATCTAAAAAATCAAAACTTTTATTTAATTTGTTTAATTTCAAAAATTTATCAGCCATTTCTGAATAAATAAAACTTGCAAATTTTAAATTATTTTGATTAATAAATTGATTAGCTACATTTAAATAACATTGCTCCATCAAATGTTGAAATTCATTTTCAGCTAAATTAAAAAACTTTTTTAATTTTAAAATTAATCATTCACATGTGCTAGATGTGAGATAAAATCCCAGAGAAAATAGGAGGGTCTCTTACAATCAGCAAGAATGCTTCTGCTTCTTGGAGCTATTAATACCCATTAGGACCAAAAACCTCTTAAACTCTTTAAGAAAAACCTCGACAATTTATTTCTTTTCTATCAAATGCCATATCAAAATATAACCGGCCAGCATTCATCCAATGATCATTCGATTCAGATTGATTTCCCAAATTTAAATAAATTAAAGCAATTTCTTTATGGCACAAAACTTTTTGTTCATTATTTGCCCCACTTTCTCTAAAATTAAATTTTTAAAATTAATTTTTAAATTAAAGTTAAACTCCATAGAACGAAGCAAACTTTTAAGTTTTCCAAGTATTTCCTCTAAATTTGGCTTTTTTAACGATTTCCTTCTTGTAGATAATTGAATTGAACGTAATCGATTAGTAAAATCCTGATATTTTGAATAATTCTCATTCATCTTTTTGTAAAAAAGTTTAAAAAATTTAAAGGTAATAATTTTAAATAATTTATAGTAAATAACAACAATTTTTCCAATTTTTAAAAATTAAACAAAAAAATTTATTTAAATAAAAACATTTTAATATCTAAATAACGAATTTTCTGCCAATTCTTTATCGATATCTGTAATTACTAAACCAATTGAAATTCTTTTTCTGTTATAACTTTTTATATGTTCTAATTGTTTCTTTTTATAATCAGATTCTGCTCTAAATTTAAAAATTCAATAAATTTTAAAAATTCACTTACTGATCAATTGATGTGCTGATAAAATTAAAATCGCGAAGAATTAAAAATTCGCGTATATCACTAAAAAAATATAGAAAATTAATTCTAAAACTAAAATTAAAAAGAAAAGGCCAAAAATTGCTAAAAATTTGGATAGCCCAATTAAATTTAAAAATACCTACTTTGTAAGCATTTGTACTTCATCAGTTGCTTTAACCATTAAAGATGCCCGAGCTAACAACTCTTCTCTCATAGCATAATATTCACTTAATTGTCCAGTACTATTAGCTTTGTGTGAAGAATCATCATTTATCTAGAAATTTATTTTTTAAATTTAAAATTTAAAAATACCTTAACTAAACACAAAATTCTGTCAAAATTTTCATTTAACGATTTTACATTATTTTTTAATCTATCTTTATATTCTTGTATGAGTAATTTTTTTGTAACAATTGTTTTGTTTGGTTGTTGATGTTCACTCTTTCTAGCATTAATATTTGGTTGTCTGCTTTGCATTTAAATTAATAAATTCGAAAACTTTGCTGTTAAAAAAGGAGAGAAAAGAGAATAAAATTTTCTAAAAATATTTAGATAGGTAATTACTTGTTTCTATAATATTTAAAAATTTTCTCAAAATCCATTTATTAAAAAAAATAAATAAAATTCAAACAATTGTTTAAAAAAATAAATAAATTTTCGTCATTTTTTGTTTTATTAAATTTTCTGCAATCTTTTTTCAACAATCAAACTCATAACGGTAGCCACAAAAGCTTCTAAATGTATAATATCTTTACTTCCCAAACGAGTTGAATGTTCATATTCAGCAGCTGTTGAAACAATTGAAGGAAATATTGGCGAGGTATCTCGAATTTTTGATAATTCAAGAATTAAATGCTAAAAAAATAAAACAAAAAATTAGAAGTTAAAAGTTAAAAATAAACCGTAAAAATAATTGAAGAAGGAATACAACGACAAAGTAATTCATAAAAACGATTACGAATATCCAATAAACTTTAAAAAATTTATTTTAGAAATTAAAAAAAAATAAATTTTAAAATACCCATTTTGAGTTGGAGTCTGAACAATTAATTTAGCTATATCTCGTATATAACCTTCCCATTCTGGTTCAACAATTGGCTGCTTGTCTAAATTATGTCCACTAAAATATAAAAAAAATTATCAAAATAAAATATAATATATGTGACAAAAAATTTTTATAACTGGAAATATTTTTTTAAATTTTCTAAAAAAAACATAAAAATCCAATATTAGAAGAACGTATTTTAAAAATATTAACAAATTTTATAAAATTATAACCAAAAAAAAAACAAACTTTTGTGAAACACTGCATTCAAGTAAACAAAGAGCTCTACGCAAATTTCCATTAGATTTTTCAGCTAATTTTCGAAGCCATTCATGTGTTGCTTGGACACGCTCACGGGTACAAACATTCTCCACACAATTTAATAACTATAAATTGAAAACTAATTTTATTAAATTTAAAAATAAAATGGTGGCTACGCCCTGTTGGGGAGGCAAAATCAAGTCTAGCTTGCTTGTACTGATACAGCAAGGAAGCCTAGTAATAACAAGTAAAAATCCTTTAATAATCCATCCCACTCCGCAAAAAATAAAAATCAAACTTCTTCATCAGAAGGTGCAGACACTCGAATAACCATACAACGACTTCTAAGTGGTTCAATTATTCTGCTTGCAGATTCACAACAAAGAATAATTTTACAATTAGCGGCATATTTTTCCATAGTTCGTCTCAACGAATGTTGGGCTTCTTTAGTAAGATTTTCTGCTTCCAATAAAACAACAACTTTAAAATTAATTTAGAAAAATAATTCTTTCAAAAAAACCTTTAAATGCCTTTTGTGACGCTCTATTCAATTGTTGTACTTGTGCCATGTCTTTAATAATTTCTTGTACAATAACTCGATCATAAACACCAACATCGCTAAAAAATAATTTATTTCAAACAAAAAAATAAAGAATTACCTAGGCGTCAATTCAATATGATAATTACTGTTTACAACAAATATTTGCAGTTTTTTTCCGCTTGGAATTGAAAAATGATGAGTTTCGACATGAATATTTTCTACACCTTTCCCATAAATCTTCTTAAGTAAACAATTAATTCTTGTTCTCTTTCCAGCACCTGCTGGCCCGCAAAATAAAAGATGAGAAAAATCCCCGTCAGTTACAAGTGAAGATAATTTTTCTGATTGTTCCTTGTGAAAAGTAAGTTTTGACATTTCCCGTGGACGATATTTGTCAATCCAAAGAGCCATTTTCTTTTAATTTTAAATAAGAAAAACTAAATTTACTTAAGCAAAATTAAAACAATTAAAGAATTTTAAAAAGTTGCGCCAAAACGGTAAATTTAAAAAAGGAAAATAGAGAAAAGCGCACAAAACTATAAATTAAAGCACAAAAGTAGGGTTGCATCTAAACGCTCTAGGGCGGGTGTTGAAGATGGGATTTTCAATTTTTGAGGGATAATTGTGAAAAAATTGTTCAGGAACAAGGCAACTCTAGTTAAAATAAAGTAAAAAAACAAAAAATATAAATTATCACATTTTATTAAATATTAAAATTCACATTTATTAAACAATCTTTGGTAAAACTAATTGAAAAATGTTTTTAAAATTATAAAAATATACATAAATGTTAGAATATCGTTATTCTTTGTTTAGTAAGAATTTAAGGGAATAAAAGGATTATCCTATATATGTATATTAATATTAAAATTATGTAACAAATATTTAAATAAAGATACAAAAGTTAGAAAATTTCTTCGTTAGTATGGCATTAGTATGTGGATGTATGTAGGTATTTAATACAGTCACCCCTCATTATTGGAATTTTTATAAGGAATTAGGTACTTTAAAATTCTTACAATTAGCAATTAAAATAGGCTTTTGTTAAAATAAATAGATGAGTTTAATTATGTGTAGTAGAGAGTTGACTGTAATTTTGTAATTAAAAGAGATCACTAATTACCTAAATATTCTTCAAAAACAGATTTGCGATTTTTACTTAATTAATTAAATTATTTCTTAAATAATTGCTAATATCATTAATAATTTCTTCTCTTTTTTTACTACAATACATATTAAATATTCCATGATAAGCATCTTTTATTTTTAAAAAATAAAATTAATTAATTTATTTAATTAAATATTTACCTTCATAATGTTTTAATTCAACTTTAACTTCATCTTCATTTAATCTTTTTGCATATTGAATACCCTCATCCCGAAGAACATCAATACCCGCAGTTAATATCATTGTTGGGCAATGATATTTTAAATTATTAGCTAAAATAGGGCAAATATCTGGATTTCGAAGGTATTCTTCTATTCGGGTGTAAAGCTGGAAAAAAGAAAAGAATAATTTTTTGGATTTATTCTTGTGTATATCGAGGGGGATGTGCCGTTTAGCTTTTTAAAATCTGTTTCGGCATACCCCTGGTATATTCAACAAATATTCCCCCTTTCTATTTTAATCGTAACTTTGGACAAGGGTATTTAATATTTTAGGTAATTTTTGTTCAAACAATTAACCTTTTCCCTTTCTGCATTTTCTTTCTCATTTTTTGCCTCTTTTATTATTCCATTAAATCCATTTTTTGTTGTTTTCCATTTAATAATTGAAGAATGGCTAGGATTTTTTCTATTTTCCTCTTCTTTTAAAAGAAATTCTTTAGGAAGTTTTTCTGGGTCGAGAATTGAAGATAATTTAGCTTCATTAAGTAATTTCGGTGATAAATGTTGATTTTTAATCATTAAATTAATATTTTTTTGTGTTGGTTCTATACCCAAATAAAACAAATACCTAAAAATATTTGAGGAGGGAATTTTTAAAAATATTCTTTTAGATACCAACGGGCAAGCATTTTCGGATTTAATAAACCTGTCCTTGGATAAATACGATAATATAATTGATAAGAAGGAGATTGGAAGTCTAACATGTGAATAACTGGATAGATAAGTATTTGGCACTAAAATTTTGAATTTAAAAATGAATTTAAAGAGGAATACAATTCCCATGAGAACAAAATAAAATAATTTTTGGTTTGGAATCAAATTCCCCCCCCCCCCCTTCCAATCACTCACTTTTATCATTTCCTGTCTATTCATTCTCAATACTCTTTGACACAAAACAGCACATTGACATCCACCAGCAGAATCCCCCATTAAAGCTATTTTGTTTTTATCAATTCCAAGATCTTCAAATCTTTAAATAAAAAAAACAAGAAATATTCGTTGTTTTTTTTCTTTTTCTTTTTTACTTTTTATTATAAATTTCTTCAATTACTTGTTCACATTCCAAAAGAGCAACTGGAAATTTTACTTCGGGAGAAAGTGAATAATCAATAGAAATTATAGTTAAGCCTAATTGTTTAATTAAAAGTAATAAAGCACCATCATAAAATCCTTAAAAAAATAATTTTAAAAATTAAAAAAAAGCCTGAGGAAAGGGGAGGGGGAGGACTCTCCCCTTCCCTTCCCCCCTTTCTCGAATAGAACAAGAATTGCTTCCTCCCCCCAAATCATGAAAAAGGAAACAAGGATAAAACTAAGAAAAGTCCCCCCCCCCTCTCTGGGATTTATGTATACTGGAGGAGATTAATCCTGTAAATAATCAGAGAGAAATAGGAATACATACTTGCTTAAAAAATAAATTTAAATTAAATTATTTTTACTTGGTCTTCCCATACACCAGCCACCTAAAATAATTTATAAAAAAATTTTATTTTTAAATATACACACCTCCATGAATAAAAACAATTAAAGCATTATTTCTTTTAAATTCTCCTTGTGGAAGATAAACTAGAAATCTTTTTTTAATTAATTATTTAAAACAAACATCGACATTTAATTCCAGCAATATACCCAACATTAATTAAACACCAATCTGGCACTCGTACAGAAAAAAAATAAAATGGAAGGGAAGAGAAAAAACGAGTAAATTTGTTTCGCATAATTGGACCAGAAAATAATTCAACTAAATCACCCTTTAAATAATTAATTAATTTTATTTTTGTAGAGAGAAAATATTTAAAAGATTATTTGCTTAAAAATAAAAAAATATTCGTTCCTTTATTCTTCTTATAAACTTTAATTAATATTTAATTCCTTGTCTTTTTTAGAATTTAAATTTTTTAACAGAAAAAGTTTAAAACAAAGATAATTTGGAAAAATATGATTCATTAAAAATAGGTATTTAACAGAAATTTAAAGTAAGCGAGGTAATTTTTGTTCTTCAAAAATTATAGTTAAAAATAAGAGAGAGAATTGTCTGTTTTTGAGAAAACTACAGTAAGTATATTTGGCGTAGTGACAGAAGACCCACAGACAGAAGACCCAAGGACAGAAGAACCACAGACAAAAGACCCACAGACAGAAGACCCACAAGGACAGAATACCCACAGACAAAAGACCCACAAGAAAGTTTTTTAACTAAAACTTAGACACAAGAAAGTTTCTTAACTAAAACTTTAGCAGAAATTTTCTGAAATTTCTGAAAAAGATTTCCAATTTCTAAAGGCACAAAATTAACAAATTTTAAAATATAAAAAATTATTTTAAAGTTAATAAAAAGAATTTTTAACTTTAAATTTTATGGATGAGTGCGATTTAGATCACTTAATTAGAAAGTAATTTGAAAAGACGGGTGATTAATTAGGATATGTAGAATAGCATGGGATATAAAGAATATAGGGGTAAAATCTTGAATCCACCGATATCTATTCTTATCCGTAAATTGTGTATAACAGGAACCAGAAGAAGAAATTAACAGTAAATCGGATATGTCAGGGAATTTCAAAGGATGTTTAAACTTTTAATCTTTTACCACTAATCCGCTTTTATCCACAGATATCCCTCCATGTTACTCAGAAATATAAGTAATCTCTACTATCCCAAAGATCCCCGATATCCTTGCATATCTCCAATGCCCTTGATCGCTTCTAATCCTTCTATATCCCTCCATGTGGACTTAACTGACTCTCGCCATAGTCCAGTTAATCCTAAATATCCCTTGATTCTAAAAATCCCTTTGATCTACTTTTCTCTTTCATCGTTACAGACAAGAATTTTGGAAATTTTGGAAGGCCAATTAGCTATTTTTATACTATTTTTTTATATCTGAACCTGATCGGATCCATATTTTTTGACACGACATGTACCGGATTTTCCGGATAAAAATCCCGAAAATCCGGGAAATCGAGATCCCTCTTCGTTAAACAAGCTCTACGGTAATTGGGACAATATTCCCATCGTGGAAGTTGTTGCAACATTCCCCATTGTTCCCTTGGTTGAAACAAACTTCCGTCATTGGAACAATGAACAATGAACTACCCTCCAAATTGATGGAACAACCTTCCCTAATATCAGGGCTTCGATCTCGAATTTTTAAAAATCCGCAATTTTGATCGAAAAAATCCTCATTTTATATCAAAAATCCGCAAAAAATTATCAAACACAAAAATTGAATTAAAATCACTTTATGCGTTATATTTTTTAACTCCAACAATTGAATTATGCAATTTTTTATTACTAATGATAATCTTATAGAAATCCGAACAATTATCTGGACAATTACACTTGAATTTTTGTCGTTAAAGATGCCAAGAATTTTTATTTCTTTCTTTTTCAGCGCCGCAGGCAAAAATTTTTTTAATTTTGGAAGATCCTTAAGCCAAAAATCTTACATTTTAAGCGCCGCAGGCGAAAATTTTGAGGATTTTACAAGGTCTTAGCAGAAAAATAATGACATTTTATTCTAAAAACTACAAGAAAATATAAAAAAATCCTCATAATCTTTAAAAGACCACAAAAATCCGCAAATCTGCATTTTTAAAAATAATCCTCATCGCCCTATCTAAAAACCACAAAATGAGGAAAAATCCGCAGAAATCGAAGCCATGCCTAATATTGAAAAAACTTTCCCGCTGTTGGATCACCCTTATTGTGGAAAACAAATAGAACTAACAAGATCCCTCCGCCAAAATTTATGCACAATAAAAGGAAAACGAAAAATAGTTGTGGGTCTTTTGTCTGTGGGTATTCTGTCCTTGTGGGTCTTCTGTCTGTGGGTCTTTTGTCTGTGGTTCTTCTGTCCTTGGGTCTTCTGTCTGTGGGTCTTCTGCGTCGACACGAGTATATTTATTTAAAAAATTTTATTTACAAGATATTCATTAGAAATCCGCATTAGAAATTCAATAATCTGTATTTTCCATCTGTCAGCAATAAAATGAGGAAGTGGGCGGTGAAGGAAAAATAAAAATATTAAAATAAAAAATATTAGAATTAAATAAAAATAATTAGTTATCATTGAAATATTATTTTTGTTGTTGTTATTAGAAATCCAAAAAATTAAAAAATTAAAAGTTTCCGTTAAAGTGCTGAGACGAATCTTTAAATGAAAATATTATGGCCATTATATTTTTGAAAGAAAATTTTTTTAAGAAATAAAAAAGAGAGTACAAATTTTACTCAATTAATTTTGTAAATAATCGAGAATTTATTTTAGTTTTTTTTGGAGGGGGGGGGGGTATTTTACTTTTGTTGTTATCATTTAAACAACAAATTTTTTAATAATTTTAATTTATAGTTGATAAGGGAAATAAACGGTTTTTAACAACAATTAAAGTGCAAATTTAATTGAGAGAATTTATTTGGCTAAAATAATTTTAATGGAGGAAATTAAATTAATTTAAATTACCAAAATATTTTCAATAAAAGTTTGTTGTTTAGTTTCTCCTTCTCCATTATTAGCCTCGGCTCCAGGGGAAGATAACAATTGTGCAATAAATTCCCCAACAAATTCTCTGTAAATCTGACCGGAAGTAGCCAATAAAGAATAATACATTTATTTAATTTAGAACATTTAATTATTTAAATATTTTTTTAAAAGAGATTTAAGTAGTAGATGGATAGATCTCTTTAAAAAATAAAAAGAAAATAAGAAAGAGAATTTTCTTCAAAATATTTGTCGAGATATTTATTTTTATCTATTTATTTCAATCCAAAAATATATTTATTTATTTATTCATTGTCAATGTCACTTTAAATTTCGCGCACCAATTGAGTATTTTTAAATTATATAAATATTTTTTTAAAATTTAAATAATTTAAATTAATATACAGTTTTGGATTAAATTTAAAAAAATGTTTTTTTAATTTTATTTTAAATTTTTAATTTAATTAAAAATAATTTTAAATAAAAATACTCTAATTATTTTTTAGTAAATTAAAAATGCGCGAGAGAGGGGGAGATCGATCACATAAAAAGTAGACAAATATGTATTCTATTATATTTTTTTGTTTATAAAATTCAAATAACCCTCAAATAAAAAAAAACTAGTTTTTTAAAATAAATATTTTTTTTAAAACTTTTTTTAATTCAAAATTTATTTAAAAAATATTTTTAATTACTTTAGACAATAAAAAAAGTTTTTAGTGAAAAATGCGCAATTTTTTTATTTACGTCAGAGCACTATAATTATGTCAAAAATGTTTTACGTAAATTAAAAGGAACCTTTAATTAAATAAAAGAAAAACTTGAATTTATTTTTATAAAATAATTTTATTTTTAAATATAAAAAAGTAAAAAATAAAAATATATTTAATTAATCACAAATAATTTTTAACGATATATTTTAATGATTTCATTAATTGAAGCAGGAAGTGAAGTGACTGGACAACGACCGTTTAATATTATCTAAATATAAATTTCTAATTAAAATAATTTAAAAAACAAATCCCTAATAATAAATTAATTAATTTAAATTATTCCCCTCCTCCCTTTCAAAAAAACCAACAAATTTATAAATGCAGGAATAACAAAAAATATATCCAGAAATACTCAAAACAGCTTCCTCATTCCGAATTTGTCCACAAATAGGGCATTTTCCGGCACGGCAAAGGGATTGTTGATTAACGGGTAATTTCTTTAAATAAATTATTTAAACAAAATATATTTTCTATACATTTATTGGGAATTCTTCAAAATTAATTAATTTATTATTTCCATTAATTAATTTATTTAAAATAATTCCAAATTCATCTTTATAACAAATTTCAAGAAATTGGATTAAAAAAAGTCCCAAAGAAAGAATTCGGCCAATTGTAGAAGGTAACCAAAATAAAAGTTGCAAACAACGAGACAAAAAACTTTAAAAAATTTTTATTTTTAAATAGAATTTAAAAATGTAAAATTGTAAATAAAGAAAAAATAATTTTGGTACAAATATTCTTCTATCACACACCCCCCCCCCCCCATTTTATTTTTTTGCTCCCTTCCTTTTCTTCAAAGAAAGTAGATAAACTTACATACAGGCTGGCGCAAAAGTATATGGCCCAATGGCCAAATCCTTAATCCCCTTAACTTTCTAAAAGGAGTAGTACCGTAATTTTTTAACTTTAAAAATAAAAAACTTGCCTATTAAATTTATTTTTTCTTCCTTTATTTAATTCAATTTTAGCAAAATCATCACAATTCAACATTTCTAAACGAGTACCAGAAATTAATAAAAGCCATGAGGGAAATTTAATAAAAGAGAATGTGTAGCCAATTTGAAATAAAATAATGGCAAAATAATTAAAAGTTCTCAAAAAAGGAAATAAACGTAAAAGAAGAAAACGCCAACCAAAAATATTTTTTGAGCCAGAAAACTAAAAATAATTTTAAAATATTTTAAATTAAAAAACAAACATTTATTTTTAAATGTTCATATATTTTTGTTAATCTTTCGGCAATAAAAGGTAAAATAACCTAAAATAAAAAATATTATTTTCAAAATTAAAAGGAATTACCAAAGTAATTAAAGAACGAATTTTTTGACTAAAAGAAAGTAACGGGTTTGAATTATTAATTGGCACTCTTTTCATTCCATAAAAATTTTCAGAAAAAGAACCAGCTTTAATTAAAAAAAATATTTTTTAAATGAAAATTTAAATTAACAAAATCTTTGCAAATAATGAAATTCAATTGTAGATTGGAATAAAAGAAAAATTAAATCAAAATGTTTTTCCAAAAAACGAAATATTTCTGTTGTAGGGAATTTACTGGAGAATAACTGAAAATTAAAATGTCGATTTCAGAAAATAATCTAAAAATTTCTCAAAAAACTCCCTTAATTCCAGCTAAAATTCCAGGTTTTAATTGAGCCCTCAGCGAATCTTGAGCCAAGTAATCAAAGATTGAAGGCAAATGAGAAGCATTTTCACTGGATTGTCTATTAGTTGAAAATATTGTAATTGTTCCAACATTAGTCATTGTTCTAAAAAAGAATATTTTTAAAAGAATTTAAATGAAATTTAGTAAGATAGTTTAAAAATAAATAATTATTTAAAATAAATATAAACAAAAAACAATTTTTATTATTTAAATTTTCAGTACACGTATAATTTAATTTTTAAATATTTTTATAATTATATATCTTCTATATCAACATCCATTTCCATCATTTCTTTATCTTCATTTCCATTCATTTGTCCATGACTTTCCATTTTCGATTTTTTATTTTGAAATTTTTTTGTTTTTTCGTTGCGCAGATCTTTTAAATTTTGTAATTGAAAAAGCTTTTGCATACAATTGGGATCTTTGGAATGTTTGAGCACAGAAATTGCATATCTGAAAGAGAAAATATTAATTTAAAATAAATTAGAAAATTGAAGGATTCGGTGTCAAATTAAAAACAAAACTAACGTTAATTTCCAACGCATTTTAGACAAACTTGCTTTGCCTACATTTGCCGCCACATTGTGAGAAAGCTCTAAAGGATCTTGTATGTTAACAAGAGAAAAACGCCATCGTTTTTCAATTTCCGGTGATTTATCCAAAAATTCTTTTTTAAAATCATTAACTTTAATAATTTTGCCTTCTTGAAGTAACAAAACTAAATCAGATTTTAAATTCAAAAATAAAAATGTGAAGAGGTCCTGTAGAAAAAAAAGAAGGAAATTTTAGCTTTTAATTATCTTATTCCGTTTTTAAAATTAAAAAAAAAATATTTTTCTTTTTGTCAAAGATTTCTCAAGTTTAAACTTTATCACTCCGCGATGTTAATTAGGTATATTTTTTTACCTTCAAAAGTAACGGCAATTCCTCTTTTTCAATTGTAAATTTGGGTATAGAATATTCAATTGCCCATCCATTAATTTTACGCGAATTTGGATTCAAAAATTTAAAAATTGGCGGTATTCGATTAATTTTCTGTAAAAATCCAATTGTACACAAAGAAAGTGTATAAGAATTCCAGAATGATTTTGGCCCATCAGAATCGTTGTCAGACGTAAAAAGTTCATTAGAAGATGCCCATAACTTTAGGAAAAATAATAAACGGAAGAGAATACCTTTAATAAATTAAAAAAAATTCTATTATTTAAAATAAAATACCTGAAGTTTCAGCCTTAACTAAATCCCCAATTAAATTTGCTTTAAATTCTCCAAACAAATTTTGAACGGAAATTTCACAAGGAATTTTGACTTGATTTAAACAAATTGTCAAAAACAGTATAGGAGTACGTGCATCTTTAACAGGAACATGTGAAATTATAATTGAACTTTCTTTTCGTAGTGAATTAATTAAAGTATTTAAAATTCGAATTTGATCTTTAAAAAGATTTAAATAATTCTTTAAAAATAATTTATTTATTTACTTGTTTTTGTTAAATTTAAAAATGTTTTTGCATCCAAAGGAGATTTTAGTAATTCCTCTGGTGTAAATTCACCAATATCTATTTCCATATCATTCGAAGTTGTTGAAGTAGATGGAGATGAACAACCATTCTTATTAATTTCAACATTATCAAGAATAAAATTTAAATCCTGAAATAATTAAAAATAATTTTAATGAACATTCCAGAAGCTTCTTTTCCAAAAATTAAATAATTATTTTTATTTACCAAGTCAGAATCAATAAATCCAAGACCAGTTGAAGAAGAACCAAACAATCTAATAGAAAGAGGAGAAGAAAAATAGCGTTGAAAGTGTTTTTGCAATTTTAAAGTAAATGTTAAACGTTCATTAATCTGTTGAAAAAAAAAATAAATTTAATTATAAAAAATATCAAACCAAATCATTTGATAAAGAAAATTTTTCAATTAGACCATCCAATTGAGCAGAAAATTCAGAAGGACAATTTTCAAGAAATTTAAGTACATTCTCAGAATTTGTAATGGAAATAGATTTTTGCTTAATTGTTGAATTGTTAAAATCTACACGTCTTGGTCGAATACGCACCATACTCTTAAAGTAATATTTAAACATTTAAAATTTGTTAAAAAATATTTCTAAAAAATTACCTTTCCAATTTTTATTCGTTGCATAGCTCCCAAAAGATTTTTAGCAGCCTCTTCTTCTTTAAATTCAATAATTGAATAAGCATTTTTACCTGACTTGTCAATTAAAACTCTATCAACCTCACCAAATTGATCAAATATTTGAAGCAACAATTCCTCTCTTATTTCCTAAAAATTAATTTAAATTAATTTTTAAGGAAAAAATAAACTTCTTTAAAATTATTTAAATGAACAGAACGGTTTGATAATATCTCCAATTTTCTCTTTTTATCAGCCATTTGTTTGTGTTTAAATCCAATAACATGATCATCCCAAAATTTTTGACTAAAAACTTTTAAATTACAAACATCACAAAAGAACGTTTGCTCCATCAAAAAAAAATCAATTAGAAAAATAATTTTAAAGTAAAAAATATTTAAATAATTAATTTCTAAAAATTAAGTTTCTAGGCAAAAAATAAACAAAAAAAACCTATTAACATTTTTATTAAAATGTTTTATCATTTTTATTTTCTTTTTGTTCTTGTTTCTCTTTTAGTAATTGTTCTTCCTTCCATTTTAAATAACGCTCAAACACACGATAATTCTCGTCCTAAAATTAAAGATTTTTTTTGAAAATATTTAAAAATACATACCAAACCCGTTTTTCTGAATTCACTGCGATCTTTTATAAATTCATCAGTGACCTCCTTTCGGAGATTGGGATCCCGAAATCTTGAAAAAAAATAACAAATATTTTTGTAAGGAATTTAAATTAAAATACTACAAACATTTTAAATTAAAATTAAGAAAAAATATTATACTTACTTTTCCACCTTACAATCTTGAAATTTTTTGTAAAAAGGTCTGCAGTTATGCGTCCCAGTTATTGCTCCTCCATCTCGCATACATTCAGCAAATTTCATAAAAGTCTCCCGACATTCATTCTTTTCAATTCTTTTAGCAAGTATATCTGGAATCAATACATTTGATTCATATTTTCGTAAAAATCTAAAAAAAAAGCTCAAAATTAGATTAGTTATTTGACACTGAATTTCAATGTAAAAAGTCCTTACGTGTCATCTGGATCACCTAATAAATTAAAAATAAAAAGTAATCAAGGAATATTATTTTCAAAAAAAAAGTTTTGAAAAATTTATTAACCTAAATTATGCGGCCCAACAGTAACATGTGTTGGATACATTGTCTTCTTAACTCTATACCACTTCTTACGTCTCTCATCATAGACGATTTCACCTAAAAATTAATATAAAATGAAATAAAATTCAAGAAAAATTAACCTTCCTTTCGTTCGCGTATTGAATCGTGAGAATCAGTAAGTGTATTTATAACAAATGGATGTTTTGTTTCATATTCAGACTGAATATCTTGTTGTTGCATTATTAAAGAAATCTAAAAAAAATTTTTTAATTAGAAAATTTTTTAAAAAAGTGAGCAGTTGTCCACTGTGGAATTGTCTTACTGTTCAATTGTGTTTTTCAATTGTCTTACTGTTCAATTGTGTTTTTCAATTGTCTTACTGTTCAATTGTCCCGCACCAGCTGGCTAGCTTGACGTGAAATAAAATTCTAAAACATTTTATTTTTGATTTGGTGGATATTGTCTCTAATTACTGTAAATTTTTTATTAATGTGGGTTCTGTAAAATTGCTACAAAACTTTTTAGTTTAAAGCTTACTATTTTCTTCAACCCATTGCTTTTATAAGAAGTCTTGTTTATCAAATAAATAAACTCATTATGATGCCAACTTCTGATTCAGTCCCAAAGTGTTCCATAGAATCTTCCAGTGACAACATATCGCCCGAGGAACGACCAGAATCTTTAAAGCTTAATTCTGCACCATTTGATTGCTGTCATCTTGCACCTCCTACTTCCCTTCTTGGACGAACGTTGTCGGCTTCTGCAATTGATTATCGTGGCGCATGGCGTAGTAAAAGCAAACATTTGGCCGGAACCAAAAATTTTCAGGTTTGTAATTTTTTTATTTTTCATATTTTAATAAAAAATTTTTTAGGAACGTTTAATTTCTTCGCCAGCCACTTCGACTTCTTGTGTTCAGCAATCCTTGAAACGCAAACTAAGTAATTCGGGTGTCATAGCAGGTTCTGATCTTCCTGAAATCAATATCGGGGGTGAAAATGCAAAAATGTTCTTACCACATCATACAATATTAAATCAGGAAGGATTTGTTACTCCATTCCAACCAAAAAAGGTTTATAGATTAATAGTTTTACTTTATTTTAATGTTTAGATAAGTCGTCCGAGTTCGCCTGCCGCTGCTATTGTTGCTACGTCACGGGTGCCAATGCTTACACGAGGTAGAGTTGCATCAATTCGGCGCGAATCAGATTGTAGCACTGAAAATGAGGCTGCCCACGAGAAGTTGATCAAAACTTCGCAGCAAGTCTCTCTTGGCTTTGAGGATTTTTGTCTGGTATTTTTTTTAGATTTTATAGTATTAACAATAAACAAGAATCTTTGATTAAAATATTATTTTGATTATAAGGAAATAAATTCAACACATTTATAGGATGACAAATTATTTGAAGAACGTAAACGGGCCAAATCTTTGACTGAGCCTATTTCAGTTTTCACAAATGCTTTTCTTCCGCAAAGTTCAACTCCTTCGCCAACTCGAAATGTTGTTGACTCATTGCAAAAAGTTTTTATGATTTTTCATTTAAAATTTATTTATTTTTAAATTAGCAATGCTATTCTCCATCAACTCAACAGGTTGTTCGAGCGAATATTTCTTATTCGCCCATTCCGAGTCCAACAACTCCTGCCAGTCCTTATAATCGAATGAGGTTTATTTTAGCCTGATAATTCTGAATAATTTATTTTTCTTTAGAAGCATGTCACCTATTGCTGTTCGTCAAGTTTCCAAGAGACGTTATACAGCATCAAGTGGGAATGGATTTGGAAATCAAAGTTCTGGCTCTGGTTTAGATAGTGATGGTGAAAACAGGTAAATATGTTCTTTAGATCATTAACATAGGTACTTATTTTTAGTTCCTTTGTACCTTCGAATTCTAAACGTCGCTGTACTGCTTTATTACGATCGGCGATCAGTTCATCATCTTCACCTCTTGTTCGAGAGTCTACTTCAAATATGAATTTACTTTATTACCAACAGCAGCAACTAGAGCGGCTTTCAAGCAATTTTGATAAAGATTCAAAGCTTGTTTCAGAAGTGGCCGTCTCATCTTCGATTGATTCAAATACTACTGATGTTGTAAAATCTTCATCTACACAGAATCAACTACTTCACTTTCCCGATTATTAGTTGACCCACAAATTGCAATCGAATGGTTTTATTTTTAAAAACTAAACTTATTTTTATTTTACATTTATTAGTTTTCAATCATCTTCTGCTGCATCTCGTGAAGATGAGGATTCCTCGCCAATTGCTGAATCGGTACTTTGCTCTTCATTTTGTTCTGGGGCTGGTTATGATGCGAATTCATCCACAACTTTTTCGTCAAGAGCAAATACACCACATTCTGAAATGCTTGAAAACTCAGGAGTAGAAAATGTATTTTCTTATTAATATTTTTCTAATTTAAATAAATTCAGGATGCTTCCCTTTCTCTGTTGCTTCCACCGCAGTCGTCTTGCTCCTCTGATTGTTCATCCCAGCATTCTATATCGACTGGTGCCACTAATCAAAAGAATCTGCTACCAACCACAGTCAACTTATCTTCATCTAATGAAGAGCAAATTGGCAACGAGAAATAATTATTAAAGGAGATTCTATCTTCTTTCTGTTTTCAATGCCGCAATTTATATGTGTAGTAAGTCCAACTTTTTCTTTTTCCATCTTTTACAGTTTGCTCTAATACCTTTTCTTCATGTTCATTTCATATTTTGTTTTTTAAATTTTAACGTTCGGGTGACTACGGACCCATTTATTGTGATTTTTTAAATCAAAACTCGTGTAATTTTATGGGAATATTTTTTATTTAAAAACGGTTTTCTTTATTTCTTTAAAACTTTTGTATATTATATTTCCCTTTTTTATTTGAATATTTTGTCTTTATGAAATTTTATGTTTTATTTAAATAAAATCTCTATTTAAAATTTTGTTTAATAAGATTTGTCTTTATTTTGCTATTAGCAAACATCATTATGTGCTTTAATTTTTTGTGTTAAATTTTTACTAGTAAAATTAAAATTTAAACTTTTAGATGACAAAATCCTTGGATATATCAAAAATATTTTTTAGTTTCTATATATTTTTTGGATGCAAACTTTCTAAGATTATGATGCAACCACAACCTTTAGATCCAGCAATTGCTCTAGGAAAGGCTCCGAAGGCGCATGAACCTGTTTGATTTTTTAATATAAAATTTACTGTTTTTTCATATTTATAGGTAGTTATTGTTGGTGGTGGTTTGGCTGGAATTTCTGCAGCATTGGAGTTGGTTTTTTTGTTTTACGAATTTTTTTTATTTCTATGTTTGGATAAATGTTTTTACAGGGCACTTAGGTTTGGTGCTAGTGTCGTTCTTGTTGATAAAGAGGCGGACCTTGGCGGAAATAGTGCAAAAGCTAGTAGTGGTAAGTTTAATGTCTAAACATCTATTCTTTATTACTTCTTTACTTTTTTAAAATATTTGTTAGGAATCAACGGGTGTGATACTCCAATACAAGAGAAAATGGGAATTAAAGATTCTCAATTGCTATTTTACTCTGATACTTTGGCAGCTGGGGACAGAGAAAATGATCCTGTTTTAGTGGATATTTTGGTTCGAATTTTAAAATTTTTCAATAATTTTATTAAAAGGTTCACAATTCTGCTCAATCTGTTCAATTTCTCATTGACAGTGGTGTTAATCTTTCAGATGTTAATCTCTGTGGCGGTCATTCTGTGCCACGAACACATTGGTAATTTTTAGTGAAAATCCATATCTTTTACTCAATTTTTTAACTCTTTCCTTTCAGGTTATTATCACCCAAAGAGGGTAGACCTTTGCCAGTTGGTGTTGCAATAATTCGGGCATTAAAGGCAAAACTTGAGGAATGGCGTGATCCAGCAAAGTTTAATGAAAAAGAACCCCGTTTAAAAATTAAATTAAATCGGCAAGTTCTTGGTTTGGTTACTTGGAATGATTTTGTGACGGGTGTTAGAGTTCTTGGTGATAATGGACAAATAGGCAAATTATTTTTAAATTAATAATTACTAGTAGGATTTCTATTAATTTACTTAAATAATAGAAGAAATCGCCGGAAAAGCTGTAATCTTAACCACTGGCGGATTTAGCGCTGATCGAGAGAAGGATAAGACATCTTTACTTTTGGAATTCGCTCCTTCACTTCTGTCATATCCTACAACGAATGGAGGGTTTGCTACTGGCGATGGAGTCAAAATGGCACGGGCTATGGGTGCTGGGCTTGTTGGAATGGATAAAATACAGGTTGGGGATTGAAATAATTTAGAAATCTTAAATAATGAATAATTTTGGTTCCAGGTTCACCCAACTGCATTCATTGATCCCAAAGATCCTGGGGCTACAACTAAATTTCTGGCTGCAGAAGCTTTACGTGGCAAAGGCGCAATACTTGTAGAAACATTTTTATGTTTTGTTTTTAATTTTTATTTAGATTAATCATGAAGGAAAGCGGTTCGGAAATGAGTTGGGACGGAGAGATGAACTTACAAAACTTATCATTCAAGTGAGGGAATTTTAAAACTAACTTAAATAAAATAACATTTTCTTTTAATATTTTAATAAGAAGCTGGATAATTTTTTCAATTTTTAGCATTGTGCTCGTCAAAAGGAAGCAGGTGATATGCCGATCGCTTGGATGTTGATGAATAAAGAATCTGCCGAATCATTTGGAATGCCTGCTTTTAATTTTTATTTCAAAGTATTTTTAATTAGATGTTTTTTTTAAAAATATTTAAAATTTAGATTAAAGGCTTTTTTAAAGAATTGCCAAATATTAACAGTCTCGCTACTGAACTTAATGCTTCTGAAGATGATTTAATTCAAACAATTAATGATTACAATAATTATGCAGAAAAACGAAATATTGATAAGAACTTTAAAGATCCTTTTGGAAAAAGTTGGAAAATATAAATATTTTATTAATTTTTTTTTAATTTTTAGGCGTTTTTCCTGTTAAATTTAACACAAACGAATCTTTCTTTGTGGCGACAATAGCACCGTTAGTTTTTTAAGGAATTTAGTGGTTTAGTGTAAATTATTTATTTTTCAGTGCAATTCACTACACTATGGGTGGACTACAAATTGACAAAAACGTTTATTTTACAAAATATAAATACAAAAATAATTTTTTTTATTTTTAGGCATTTGTGTTTAGTGAATTTTTATCAAAACCATTCCAAGGTCTTTTGGCTGCTGGTGAAGTTACTGGGGGTGTACATGGTGCAAATCGTTTGGCTGGAAATTCTCTTCTTGAATGTGTTGTTTTTGGTCGTATTGCAGGGAAATCTGCTGCTGCTATAGATTATCAAGTTGTTTTTTAATTTAAAAATAAATGTAATGATCAGATAAAGTCCTGATAGTTAATTATTTTTAATTAAGTCGGCTCTTTTGGGCAAAACAAGTCATTCTGGAATAGGTGCAGATGCGCAGACAAATGAAGAAAGGCAGGAACTTTGACATTAAAAAGTATAATATTTATTTGTTAATTTATTAAAAATTGTATATTTTTCAAAAATATTTTTAGTAAAAATTTGCTTAAAATATTATTTTAAGAAAAAGTTTGTGTAAATATTTAAAAGTATTTTTTAAAAGGAAATAAGGAAATGAAAGGTATTTTTTTTCTTAATCCTGCCGATTTAAGGATAAACAAAAACTTTAATGATTCACTTTTTTAATAAAAATAAAATTTTATTTGGTAAAAGAAATATATTTTTATTTAACTAACAAAAAATGCCTTCTCATCAATTTATTGCCCAAAGTTTTTATTCAGCAGTAATGGCAGCAACTTTGCTTTTTACACTTATTTCAATGTTAACTCCGGGTATTTTAATTAAAAAATTAAAAATAAATTTATTTAAAGGTTGGCATTCAATAATTAAAGGAAATCAAATTGGAGAATATGATAATTCGAAAACAATTAATTCTGGTATTTTTATTTGTGAGACAGAAGGAATGTCTGAATGTATGGCGGTAAATAATAAATTAACTATTTTAAATTTTATTTTAAAATTTTGACAGAAACGAAGCACTGTAGATACTTTAATTGGTGTTTTCTTAATTATGGCTGTTTTACTTGAATTAATTGCTTTGGGATGGGTAATTGCTTCCTTTATTTTTTCTGATAGAGGGGAAGGGGCATCGAAAGGAAAATTAATTTTATTTGCTCCTTTACTTGTCTTCTCTTTTTTAATTTGTGGATTGTTTTTACTTATTATTCTTTTGTTTTCGCTTAAACAAAATGGACAAATTGGATTTGGTAAATTTTTTGAAAAAATATTACCTAACAAAGGAACATTTCGAACTGTCATCAAAAATTTTATACTTTTTTTGCACCATCTATTTGGTAATAAATCGACCCTGCTCTACACTATGAGCAAAAAAGTACAGAATTTTTGGTATCAGTTCTAGATGTTCTTTCGTAAACTCAACGCTCTAAAATATTTATAAATATTAGCTATTAATATTTATTTTTTAAATATCTAAAAGAAAGTTAATATTCATTAGGGTCCTTAAGCTTAAATCCAAATTTTCAAATATTTTCAGATTTAAATATGAGCGTTGCAATGGGAGCAAATGTTGGATATTCTTTTTTTATTTGCTGTTTTGCATTTATATTAGCAATTTGTTCTGTACCTGCGGGATTGTTTTTAACATTCTTAAAAGAAAATACTTGAATGGAGAAATAATAATAATTATTATTAACTTTCTTATTACAATATTTTATATTCAATTCTTTTTCAAATAAAATATTTTGAAAATTTTTTTTTCTATAAATTATTAAATGTTATTTACAACATAAAAATATTTTTCAATTAATGTTAAATTATACAAAAATTGTAACAAAACAAGTGTCTGCTGGTTTTTTTTCCTTATCTCATTTTCCTTGATAGTAGTAACCCTCCCCGGACCGTATCAAAGGGAAATGCCGCCAACCTATAGGAGGGGTGTCGGGGGAGGGGTCTGGGGGAGGGTTCCGACAAAAAACAAAGGGTATAAGGGGGTTTTGTCGGCTTTTTCTTTTGATCATTTTGATGACTTTCTTTGATCTTACCGCCGGGGTAATAAATTATTAATCGGGGGAGGGGTCCGAACTAATTTGTACCTCATAAATCATTTCAAGGGGAGGGGTCTGCCCCCATTAACGCGAACCTATTGACGGATTTGGCGCGCGATGGGGGAGTGGTAAGGGGAACTAATTAGTACTAATTGGTTTGGGGGTTGGGTGTAAGGGTGAAACCAATTTTGTTTTACAAATGGTTTTAGGGGTTGGGTGTAAGAGGAAATCAATTAGTTGATTGATTGATTAATTGATCTGGGGGAAGGGGCAATGAAAATTTTATGACCGACAGGTGTTAATTGCTTGACTAATTGGTCTAGGGGTTGGGTGTAAAGGGAATTAATTGATTGACTAATTGGTTTGGGGGAGGGGGTAAGGGTGAAATCAATTTGTTTCAAAAATTGGTCTGGGGAGGGGGTCAAGGGAATCTAAGTTGTTAATTGCTTGACAAATTGGTCGGGGTTGCGGGGTTGGGTGTAAGGGAAACCAATTTGTTTTACTAATTGGTGTGGGGGGAGGGGGCGGGAAGGGTCTACCATATCAAAGGATGCCGCCACTCCTTTGATTGATGATCAAAGGAAATGCCGCCGAGTCTGACGAAAAGGGGCGAGGGGAACCAATTGACTAATTGGTTTGGGGAAAGGGTAAGGAGAAATTTTTATTTCTGAGTTACGTAATTGGTTGGGTGATCTCAGTGGTGTTGATCTTTTGGGTTTAACTTCCTTTTCTCTTTCTTTTCTTCACTGGAAAAATTGAGATTTTTGGAAAAATATGGTCTTTTGTAAAACGGTCGTAAAAATTTTTCTAGGACCTAACTTAAAAAACTGACCGGTCATTTTCTAGAGAATTCTTTGCCCTATCAGATGCAAAAGACCGCATCTGTTTATCTTTTTGATGAACAAAGTTATTAACCAAAATGTCCCCAAAAAATGAATAAAATTTTTCAAGGTCATTCGAATTGTTTAACGGAATAATAATTTTCAAAAATTAAACATCTGTCGTTCAAAATTAAAATAAAATTTTAAGGAATGAATATTCTCAAGGTCATTCGAATTGTTTACGAAATAATAATATTCTTAAATATATTATACATCTGTCATTTAAAATATTCTGCATAATCGAGGGACCGTATAATTTTTAATTAATATTTTTAAATATTAAGAATTAGTAAAAATTTGGGTGAGTATAAAAGCCAAAAAATTTTTTTAAAAATTTCATTCATTAATTTCTTAACTTCAAAATGCGTCATTTAATCGATGAGTGTGCTGAAATACTTAATTGTCACCCAAAGTCTCTTCGAGACCATTTAAATCACCCGGCAAAGCGTGCCCTTCTACATTCAAAGCTAAAAGGAAGGATTGTTCGAACGCTATATACTTTCGAAAAACTTTCACGTTTCATGGATTTACTCATAAAGGTTCCTAATCATTTCCCACGTACATTAAAATTACATTTAGGAGCGCATACTCTAATGGCTTATGGAGCATTGTCTCGTCCATATAATGTCTCTGTCACGGCTCACTACTATTCACGGCATAGGATCCGTTTACGTTATCCTTATCTTCAATGCGTGGTTGAGAAGTTTCCACGGCGTTGTGAGGACCGTTACTACCCGCTTGAATTACTTGAATTAGTTGATGATAAAGAAGAGGATTATATTAGCTTCCCAGTTATGGAAAATGATAAGCCATTGTATGTGGATGTTTCCGACAAACTTCGAATCAACAAAACAACAACTTCTGATTCGGACAAAAATGATGAACCATTAGAATTTGATATGCTGGATGAGATGGAAGGTTGGTAACGTGTACACAACACACATGCGTGCACGTATGTGCACATGTGTATATTAGTTAATTTTAATTAAATTTTTCAAATTTTATTTTCATTTTATTAATTCTGCAATTTTACCCCTAAAAATGACTACTTCTAATTGTTAATTTTTAACTTGTGCACACGTGTGTGCACATGTGTGCACACGTGTATGTACACATCACACGTGCGCACATAAACTTAATTGTTAATTTTTATGAAATTTTCCAAATTTCATCTTCGTCTTCTTAATTCTGCATTTTTACCCCATAAAATGACAACTTCTAACTGTTAATTATGTAACAAGATTTTTTAAAATTTTAGTTGTATTTTTTGCACTAATTCCGCATTTTATCCCCTAAAATCTAACACTTCTCTTATTAATTTCTAAATGTTATCTTCGTCTTCTTAATTCTGCATTTTTACCCCTAAAAATGACTACTTCTAATTGTTAATTTTGATCTTGGTTTTTAAATTTTTAAATGTTATCTTCGTTTTCTTAATTCCGTAATTTTCCCCCTAAAATCTACTACTTCTATTCACTAATTTTTAAATGTTATCTTCTTTCTCTTAATTCCGCATTTTTACCCCTAAAATCAATTACTTCTTCACACTAATTTTGCATAAATTTTATTGAAATAAATAAATATTAACAATATGAAATTAAAAAGTCACAAAATAAAAAATAAAAGATAGAAAAATAGATACAATAATTAATTAGAATTGAAACCATAATCGAGTACAGAAAAGTCGCTCGGGCGTAAAACACCCTTGCCGACAAAAGGAGCATAATTCTTTTTCATAGGTTGAGTTAGTACAGAACCTCGTTTAACAGTCGGCCTAAGAAAATTTGGGTACAAAATATTTATAGGGGAACATTCCTCAGTAGCGAAATTTAGAACTTTTTCTTTAAAATTTTCATACTGCATTCCTTGATTTGTAACAACGTCCCAGTTAAGAGTGATCCCACGGATCTTGAGAACATATTCCGGTGCTGCATCCATCTGGTCCTTACGTTGTAATTTAAGCCCATATTGCTTGGCGCCACCTGAGCAATACTCAATAATGCAGTGTTTCGGGTACTCATCGGTGAACTGACCCAGATGTGGCCCTAGTTGAAGTGGGCAGGATTCTTCTGGGTGGGCGAAAATCAAAGAATCCGTGTCTAAAATTTAATTTATTTACAATTTTGAAAAATTTCTATTTACCCGTGTAGAGAAGAGTACACCCGGGGGTCCGAACCACCTTTTGCATTGCTTTAAGCAAATGGAGACGTGCACAAGACGTCGTCCACAAAGAGATTACTAAAAATTTTATTCAAAAATTTCAATTAAAATTATGGAACTTACCAACGTTGGAGCAGTCATGCTCCTCTATCCAGTCCTTCTTTGTTAGATGACTGATAAGTACAACATCCGGAGTTAACTCATCCAATCCTGTCACTTCTTTGCTCACATCATCCATTAAATTCCTAACTTTAGCTGGATCATCGGTCACCGTGCACTGAGAAAGTCCAAAATTTCTCAGGGAAAATCTGCCCCCTAAAATAAATAGATAATATTTTAAACTTGTTTAATAACTTACAAAGGTTATTGAGACATAATTTTGCCCACTACAAAACACTTAATTGGATAGAAATTTTACCGAAAATTTTGGACGGTATCAATAAGGCAAGGAGTAGGGTTCACGGAATGAGACCAATTGACGTTAACTTTAAAAATGCTCAAGAGGTGTGGGAGAGGATTTATGAAGATGAATTGTCTACAAAAATTAAAAAAGCCAAGCCAAAATTTAATAAAGGAGATTTTGTTCGTATGAGTGTTAATAAAGGAACATTTGAAAAGGGATATATCCCAAATTGGGGTGACGTAATAGTGGAAGTTGACAAAGTCAAAGACCAATCAAGACCCATTCGTTACAAATTAGTAGATGACAAAGGTGATAAGTACAAGGGATCGTATTACAATGAGGAACTCACTAAAGTGAAAAAGGATGCGGGTACCGAGTACAGAATAGAGAAGGTTTATCAAAAAAGAAAACGACCAGATGGTGCATATGAATTACTTGTAAAATATATAGGTTACCCCGAGAGAGAATGGATACACGAGAATCAATTAGTATAAAAGACATTTGTTTTCACATTGTATAATTTTATTTGAGATAAAAATGTCAAACAGTTTTTACGTTTGCTTACTAAGTAATACAACTGATTATCCCGATAATCAGCCTAATAAGTTTCGAGTTCATCTTCCGAAACCAATTTATTTTTCTGGAGATTGGGTTTGTGGACTACATAGCATTTCATACCCCTATTCATGACCTTCAACCATTGGTACACTTGACGAACAATGGATTGCTATTCACTGTACAGATTTTCAAGGTAAAGCTAAAATTATAAGAGTACCTGTACCAAGAGGTTCACACAATAAATCGGAAGATTTACTAAATTTTTTAACATCAACATTACAACACCAAAGTGGATCTCTTGAAGAATCTCCTCAAAATAAAACTGATAGTTTTGTCGATAAGCCTACTCTAATTTCACCACCAAGAGTTGAACGTCCAAAACGAAGTTTAGAGGAGACTCTACCTTCGCCTCCAAGGATACAAGCTGGTTCTCCTCCGCGATGGGTTGATCCTGCAAAACCGTCTTCTACTCCACCGGCAAAGAAACCTGCACCTCAAGAAAATGAGAATTCTTCAATTAAACTTCCCTCCCCTCCTAGAGTGCAACAACCTCCAAAATCTACTACACCTCAACCGACTCCTACTCCACAATCATCTCCACCTCCTCCTACTCAAAAACCTACTACTACACAGCCACCTCCTCCTACTCAAAAACCTATTCCACAACCACCTCCTCTTACTCAAAAACCTCCTACTCCACAACCACCTCCTCCTACTCAAAAAGCTCTTACTCCACAGCCACCTCCTCCTACTCAAAAACCTACTCCACAACCACCTCCTACTCCACAACCACCGCCACCTTCTACACAAAAACCTCCAACTACACAACCGCCTCCTCCTACTCAAAAAACCCCTATTACTCAACCTCTTCCTGCTCAAAAACCTCTTACTCAACAACCACCTCCTCCTACTCAAAAACCCCCTATTACACAACCCCCTATTACACAACCTACTCCACCTCCCCCTGCTCAAAACCCTTCTACTCCACAACCTCCTCCACCACCCCCTGCTCAAAAGCCTTCTACTCCACAACAACCTCCTCTACCTCCTCCTACTCAAAAGTCTTCTACTCCACAACCTCCTCCACCACCCCCTGCTCAAAAGCCTTCTACTCAAAAACCCTCAACCCCTCAAAAACCACAACTTTTCCAACCTCAAAAACCTTCTACTCTACAACAACCTCCTCCACCTCCCCCTGCTCAAAAACCTCCATCTTCACCTCCTAGAATTTTACCTCCTCAAAAATCAATTCCCCTCCCAAAACCTACTACTTCACCAAAAACTCCACTACCCCCTCCTATGCAAACTCTTCCTCCACTCCCTGAAGCTCTTCCGTTAAAACAAAATCAATCAACCGTTCAACAAAAAATAAAATGGACTGATGATATGGAGAGAGTTCTAACACATGTAATTGGCAAACCCCCTACTGACTTTCAAAGAGAAAATTATTTACCAATGATAGAAGGTCTTCTGAAGAAATACAGTTATCTAAGAAAAGACAAAATAGATGCTACAGTCCAGAAACAAATTATAGATTCTATTTCTCTGTCCTTTCACAATGATTTTAAACGTTTTAAAATGGAATATTCTCATCCAAATATTAAATATATATCGTTTTCTCCTCAACTGGGTTATGTTTTGGGCTTTGAAAATACAAATATGGTCATGAATAATGAGATTGCAAAATATGGAAGTGACTTGAGAGGAGGATTCTCAAGTTTTGCTGTGTACTCAAAAGGTTTAACAGAAAATATGATCGTTGGCAATTCCCTAAGCTCTCTATTAAGAGTTGTTTCAGTGTCTGGTAATCCTGGAGAGTATCAGGAAAAGATTTATGACTCACCAATATACATTCGTGTGCTTCCTAAGGAAATCAACGAGATTGAGATAGAATTAAGAACAATGGATGGAGGAAGACTCGTTCCCTTTGCATTTGGGACAGTGATGATAGTTTTAATCTTTAAGAAAGTTATAAATTTTTAATTTTCACTTGTCGTGTCTATATAAATACCCTCAAAATTGCAAATTTCATTTATTATTTTGAATAAAATATTTTTAAAAAATGGTTCATGTAATTTTTGATACAAGATCTGTCGGTTATGAAGAATTTCTTCCTATGAAGGGAAGTGGAATATCTGATGAATACAGTTACTTTAAAGGTTCATCGCCCTTTCAAAGAGGTTACGGTAATTATCAAAAAGGAGCAGGGATTGGTGATGTAATGAGAGGACTTTGGCGTTTTTTCCTCCCAATAATAAAACAAGCGGGTACTACTGTAGCAGGGGAAGCGTTAAGCACTGGTCAGAGAGTGTTAGAGAGAGTAAATCAAGGAGAGCCAATTAAAGCAGCACTTAGAGAAGAAGGAAGAAGAGGTATAGATACAGTACTCGAGAAAGGAGGGCTACCAAAACAATTTGGTACTGGGCGTAAAAAGAGTATAAAAAGGCATGCCATACCTTCATATCAAACAATTATTGGCAAAAAAGTTAAAAAACGTTTAAGATCAGACGCATTTGGACTCTATTGAAAATGGCTTTTCAAAAAATCGATAATGAAAGCATAAATTCTATAACTAGTGCACTTGACTTCTTTCAAATTCCTCCTACAAATGTTACAGTAACGTCTTCTAAAGTATTTGAAATTCTTCCCAGCAATCCTCTTACAGATACACCCTACCATTTTAAAATTCATTCAAGTCAAAATTATATTGACTTGTCAAAATGCTACCTTTTTACTGAACTTAGAATAAGAAAAGAGAATGAAAACGGTTACTTGGTAAACCTTGCTGCAACAGACAATGTTGCACCAATTCAACTTATAGGGCAAACGTTTATTAACAATATGAAAATTAATATTAATGGGCGCGAAATTTTTAATTCAAATTCTTTGTACGCTTACAAAACATATTTGTCTTACGAGTTATCGTATTCTCAAGGAGCAAAAAGCTCCCATCTTAATGCAGCAGGGTATTATTTTGGTTCAGATACAAATTTAGAAAGCGGAGCTGGATATGAAGCTAGGAGAAGATTATTTTCATCGAGCAACACAGCTCAGTTTATTTCAAAACTTGATGCTGATATTTTTAATCAGCCTCTTTATTTAATTAATCAATGCGAAGTGGATATTGAAATTTTACCAAATGATGCAAAATTTGTTCTAATTGCCCCTCCTGTTCTCGGTCTTGCCCAACCTACGCGTTACTATTTTGAAGTTGTGAATTGTAAACTTTATGTAAAGAAGATGGATCTTATGGATGGTTTAGCTTTGGACATTGCCCGAAAACTTGACATTAAACCAGCCCGTTATGCTATAAGAAAGACTATGATGAAACCCCTCTTTATTAGTCAAGGGAGATATGAATTTAATGCCAACCTTTTTATGGATCAAATACCTAGAAGAATAACACTTGGACTTGTCTCTAACTCTGATTATGTTGGAAATTATGGACGCAGTCCTTTCAACTTCCAACCCTTTAATGTTCGCGAAATTACAATAATAGCGAACGGGAGAAGTTATCCTCAAGCCCCCTATGACTTTGATTATATGAATGGAAAATATGTTAGAGCATTTAACGATATGAATGATGCCATAGGGCTAGCAACTTCGTCAGAAAGTAATGGAATTACCTATCAGCAGTACGGTAGTACCCATTGTATATACATATTTAACCTGACAAATAGTGGTGATGACCAAGGAGGACTATTTGATTTAATAAAGAATGGGACAACTGCTGTGAATATTAAATTCAGTCAACCAGTGCCCGAAGGGGGAATTATGCTTGTAGCTATGGGCGAAGCAGATTCATTAATTATTCTAGATAAAAATCGTACTATTGCTAGTGACACTACTATATAAATAGATTCAGATTTCAATATTGTATTAAAATTTTAAAATGAATAAAATTTCAATTGTTATTTTTCTTATTCGAATTTTTTCTCCTCTTGTTGAATCACTAAGTATAGATGATATTTCAAAAGTGGAAAATTTACCCGAATACGCAGAATATTTAGCAAAAAGAACAACAACATCTACATCCTTTCCTATTAAAATGGATTTCCCAAACTTCCCTACCATTCAACTTTGCAAAGATAGCCCCGGGGAAAATAATATATATGGACATATTTTTTGCTGGGGAATGATAGTCTTATACATTTTGTTTATAATTAGCCTACTTATTTTTCAATTTCGCTCAATACTTTGGTTTAAAGTAGTACTCCCCCGAAAAAAGTTCGAAGGTAAATGAGATAAACTTTGAAAAATATATTTTTCATTTAGCATACGATGAACGGATACAAAATAACCCAGATATTGAACTCGAATCCAAGGACAAGACAAATTTTTCGGGGATGCTTCCCGTGTGATTTAATTCCAAAGAATGATTTCAAAAAATCAATATACATTGTCAATTTAGATCCAAGAGGAAAGAAGGGATCTCATTGGATTGCAATTTATATAAATCTTAATAAAATATACTATTTCGATAGCCTAGCCCTTCCAATAAGTACTTGTATTTTTAACTCATTTCTTAAAAATTTTTCTAATATTAAACGTAATGTTAAGCCCTATCAATCCCCCTTAGCTAAAACTTGCGCTCATCATTGTATCTCTCTAACTTATTTTCTATCTCAAGGTCTATCTTTTGAAAAATATTTAAAATTATTAGATACAAAACAAAATCCAGATTTATTTGTAGTTAAATTAGTAAATAAACTTTTACAATGAATTATTTTTTAAATTACACAGGTGTTGTGGCAAAAAGTGCACAATCAGTGCAAAGCCAAAAAGAATAAAAGAATAAATTTTCGGTAATCGGTATTAATGTCTTTCTTTGTTTCTTCAATAAATTGAACTTTAAACATTCTTCACACCAGTGCCAACCAAAGAAATAGTGATAAATAAAACTGCAACGAGTACCTTTATCGAGTTTCTCCCCATTCTTCAGAGATGTATTTAGAGCCGTGAGATAACTGTGTCTTACACAGGATTTGTATTGACAAAATCCCTACAATTACATTTCCATTTAATTTTATAAATTTTATTGCTACCTCTATATCAAAATATTTGGTCCCTTCTTCTTGTGACATTTTAAGTAGTTAAAAATTTTTATCTGAAAAATTACAGTAATTAGTTTGAAACAAAAGGAAAAAATGGTAAAGTGTAATAAATTAAATATGTATTAATATGTCATGAATTATTAATGAATGATACAGGGTGGCACCCTTTGATCTTTACCATCTGTCGACAGATGGTAAAAATGATTGATGACCTTTACAAAAAGCCCGCCAAATTTTAAGATGAGGTTTAAAATTTTAGTTTAAACATGCAAGGGAAAGGGAAAGTAGGTCAATGACGAGGGGTCCGCGACAATTAATATTTACTGACACAAGGCGGCACCCTTTGATCTTTTGTTTACACTTTTTATTACACTAAAATTCAAATATTTTTAGCGTCCTTTTTTGAACCATGTAAAAAGGAAAAGTGACATGTGACATGTCAAGAAAAGGGCGAGGGGTCCGTCAAAGGCGGCACCCTTTGATCTTTTTTTATTACATTGTTTACTACTTTTTTATTACATTACAACCTGTCAAAGACAAATTACCATCTGTCCAGGACACATTAGCATCTGTCCAAGACATAAAATTCTTAATGATTGATGACCTTGACATTTAAAAAAGCCCGCCAAAATTTAAGACGCGTTAATTGACAGAATATTGAAGTATAAATATCGTAAAATTGTAATAACCTCGTCATTTGCGTATATTTTATTAAATTTTTACACTTTTATCGATAAATTTTTACTTTTATTAATTAAAACATTTTTTATATTTTTAACAAAACTATTTAAACTTTTATTTTTTTTTATTTTTTAACAAAATTATTTATTAAATTGCTTCATATTTTATCACTAAAACTATTTAAACTTTTATTTTTTTTATTTTTATCACTAGAATTATTTATACTATTTCATTTTTTATCACTAAAATTATTTAAAATTTTTTTTATTTTTAACAAAATTATTTATTAAATTGCTTCATATTTTATCACTAAAACTATTTAAACTTTTATTTTTTTTATTTTTATCACTAGAATTATTTATACTATTTCAATTTTATCACTAAAATTATTTAAAAATTTTTTTATTTTTTAACAAAATTATTTATTAAATTGCTTCATACTTTATCACTAAAATTTTTTAAATTGCTTCATATTTTATCCCTAAAATTATTTAAACTTTTTATTTTTATTACCAAAATTAATTAAATTTTTATTTTTATTACCAAAATTTTTAAATTGCTTCATATTTTATAACTAAAATTATTTAAATTTTTATATTTATTACCAAAATTATTTAAACTTTTTATTTTTATTACCAATTTTTATTTTTATTACCAATTATTTTAAATTGCTTTATTTTTTATCACTAAAACCATAATTTTTTATTTAATTGAGCTTAATATTTTATATAATATAATTATTTAAATTGTTCATTTTTTTTATTAATAATTTTTTAAGTTTTCTATAATTTATTATAAATGGATCAACAACCACCAAAAAAATATACTCGATTCACTATCGAGAATTTATTAGGACTTCAGTCCATATTTTCTATTTTTCAATCTGGAAGCGGTGTGAAAAAATCGGAGGAATATGTCGAACTTCTTGAAAACGACATTTCTCACAACGCTAAATTTAATTTTGTTAAAACTCACTCCAAATTTTCTATCAACGAATTACCTGAGGACCCCGAAGAATTATTAAAAGGTCTAATTTATTAAATAATTAAAACTGATTTATTTTAGGAATTTTTCAATCATTAATTGATAAAGCAGTGGATGAGAGCCGCAAACGCGGCTTTGAACCGGAACAGATAGGCTGTGTAGTGAGTAGCCCACGATTGGATCATGATATATGGGTACCAGTGAGGTTGGTTTAGATTTATTAAAAATATTTTTAATAAAATTTTGATTTTTCAGAGATAGAAATGAAAATACGGTTGAGGCAATCCTCAACCGTTTTCTACTCGTGGCCCAGAGTTTCCGACAGAAAAATGTTACTCTCTGGGGGCAGCCGTTTACTGTTACAGTTACGACTGTTAATAAAAGCGGACTTCCAAAACAACGTAAACTACCCGGAGCAGGACGCAATCTTCCACCTGTTCGTCATCGAATCAATGATCAATCATTGATTAAGGTCAGTTTACCAAGTTTTTAAAAGATTTTTGAGATTTAAAACGTATAAAATTTCCAATATAATATTTTTGATTTTTAAAATTAAAGTGGGAAAATTAAAGTGGGAATGAAATATTAGGCTCGGATAAACGTATAACATTTAATGATATATTTTATTTAGATTCGAAATCAAGACAGTTTCTGTCTTTTTTATGCTTTAACTGCAACATTGATTCATGGAATATGTAAATGGTCCAGAGTCAAGTTCTCTCGCTACCTCCGTAGTGAGCATGGAATGACAAATCGATTCAGAGAAGATACTGCTGAATTAATGGAAGAAGTTGGAGCACCAAATTTTCAACAAGATTACAACGCTGAAGAATGGGTACCTATTGTGGTCGACTACTGGAACAACAAGTATAGAGGGCAACACAAGTTCAAAGTGTTTGTGTTTGGTTCGCTTGGTCACTACACACCAATCTTCAAGTATGGACCTAATGACTTTGATATTCCTATCATAATTTACTATGACAACAAACACTTTGATGGTGTAAAGAGTGCATACGGGCTATTTGGAAGACCATACTGTTTATCGTGTGAAAAAGTATACGATAAACCCTTCAAACACCCAATTAACTGCAAGTCCCGTTGTAATAAGTGTTCAAGAATCGGGCCGAATTTTCCCTGCAAAATTATCGAAGGGTTTGAGAAATTGTGCCAATTGTGCAGCAAAATTTTTTACAACAACAATTGTTATCAACATCACCTTCAATCTGGGTTCTGCAACAAATCAAAACAGTGTGAGAAGTGTGGAGTCATCTGGAATGTAAAGGATAACAACAAAAGAGGGCGAAAGGGTCATGTTTGCGGCGAACGTCATTGCTCCACCTGCAATGATTATCATGTACCAAAGAGAGGATGTTTCATCAAGCCTCTAGATCCCAAAGACAACAAAAAATATCGCATTGTCGCATTTGATCTTGAAACAACACAACATCGTCAATCAGGACCTGGAAAGATACATGAGCCTAACTTCATCTGTGCTAAAGTCACTTGCCCTGAATGTATCTTGGAAGTAAGTTTTTAAAATGAAAACTAGTAATCTCTAACTTTTTTAGGAAAAGGAATGTAAAGTTTGTGGGGATAAAAGGATTGTTACCTTCTCTCATAAAGCCTTTACCAGAACAACAGTTGATAAAATGGTTGTAACTCCTAATCCGCTAGAATCCTTCATCGACTGGCTTCTAGATGAACTTCCACAGGAATTTGATACTTATGCCTTTTCCCACTTTGGTGGACGTTTCGACATGGTAATTGTCTTCAAGGAAATATTTTTGAGAGGTGAATTTTATTTAATAAAAGAAAATAGGAAAAAATTTTAAGGTTTCACACCTGAAATGTTAAAGAAGGGAAACAAAATGTATGAAATGAAACTTGTTTCACGTGGAAAGAATAAAGGGAATATAATCTTCCGTGACTCCTTCAATTTGATGCCAATGTCCTTGGCATCACTTGTTCCTGCCTTCGGCCTTCAAGTTGAAGACAAGCCGTTCTTCCCCCACTTGGCTAACAATCCGGAGAACTACGGCAAGGAGATCTTCCCATCTCCTGCAGATTATATGGCTGATGGAATGATGCCGGATAAAAGGAATGTGTTTGACGACTGGTATCAACAACATCGCCATGAACCCTTCAACCTTGAGGAGGCTCTCGCGTCTTATTGTACCAACGACGTAGTTATTTTAATGGCCGCTCTAATTGCATTCCGCAATGAGTTTATAGAGGTAATTGTTTTAGACAATTAAAACTTTTTTATTTTCAGGTTTCAAAGCGTGAGGCAGGACAAAGACCAGCCTCAGACAAGGCTCATGAGGGAATTGACGTGCTCCGTGAAGCCATGACCATTGCTTCAGCATGTATGAAACACTTTAGAACAAACCATCTCAAGGTTGATCATGTTGGCATTGTTCCAGAACGTGGGTACGACAATATTGAGAATCAAAGCAAAATGGCTCTAAAATTTCTTGAATGGTATGGGGATGAAAATAATGTTCAAGTTCAGACTGCTATCTCCGCAAACGGAGAAAAAAGGTAACTAAATTACTTTTTATTTTACAATTTACTTTTAAGAGTTGGGAATTACCATTTGGACGGCTGGGTAGAAGAACAACAGCTTGGAATTGAAGTGAACGGTTGTTGCTGGCATGGGTGCATACAATGCTATCCAGATGACAACACTGTTCTACCAAATGGTAAGACTGCTGGTAGACAACGTGAATTGGACCAACAACGAATTAATTTCATCAAACTTCAAATTCCTAATATACAAGTATATTGGGAGTGCGAGATCGAGAACATGTTGAAAAAAGACCGGAATATGCGGCGAAAGTTCGAAAACTACATTGACAACGGACCCATTGATATTCGGGCGAGCTTCTTTGGCGGCCGAACTGGGCCTTTGCGTCTTTTCTACAAACCAAAAGATGGAGAAAGTATTAGCTACTATGATGTAACGTCCTTATACCCGTTCATCAATGTATCAACAAAATACCCAGTCGGACACCCAACTGTCCGTATTCTGAATGAAGATGTTTTATGGAATTGTTCCTCTGATAACAAGTACAATTTGGCCATCTTGAAGGTATTTTACAAAGTTAAAAAATATATGAGATATTTTTAGGTTTTTGTCATCCCGCCACGCAAAATAGACGTGCCAGTTTTACCTGTTAAACTGGACGATCGTCTACTTTTCCCGTTGTGCGCAGCTTGTGCTCGCCTTTATCCCAAGGGAAAGGTTGACGAGAAATACAACTGTCAACATACCGATGAACAACGGGGTTGGGTTAGCACTTGCACTTCATTGGAGTTGAACGTCGCACTTGATGAGGTCTATTTTTAATATAACGTTAATTTAATCTATTATTTTAGGGATACAGAGTCACTAAATTGTTCCGTGTACTTGAGTACACGTCATCCGACAACACACTATTTCGCTCTTACATCGCCGAATTTATGGCCCAAAAAATCCACGCTTCCGGCTTTGACAGTTCAATTAAAGGCAATACTGAAGCTGAGAACAACTTCATCAAAGAATGTGCAGAAATGTTTAATATTAATATCGAGCGGGAAAAAATGGTAAAATATATTTCTATAAAATATTTTTATTATAAAATTTTAGATCCCGAATAAAGGGAAAAGGACGCAGGCAAAATTATGTCTCAATAACCTTTGTAAGTTATTAAACAAGTTTAAAATATTATCTATTTATTTTAGGGGGCAGATTTTCCCTGAGAAATTTTGGACTTTCTCAGTGCACGGTGACCGATGATCCAGCTAAAGTTAGGAATTTAATGGATGATGTGAGCAAAGAAGTGACAGGATTGGATGAGTTAACTCCGGATGTTGTACTTATCAGTCATCTAACAAAGAAGGACTGGATAGAGGAGCATGACTGCTCCAACGTTGGTAAGTTCCATAATTTTAATTGAAATTTTTGAATAAAATTTTTAGTAATCTCTTTGTGGACGACGTCTTGTGCACGTCTCCATTTGCTTAAAGCAATGCAAAAGGTGGTTCGGACCCCCGGGTGTACTCTTCTCTACACGGGTAAATAGAAATTTTTCAAAATTGTAAATAAATTAAATTTTAGACACGGATTCTTTGATTTTCGCCCACCCAGAAGAATCCTGCCCACTTCAACTAGGGCCACATCTGGGTCAGTTCACCGATGAGTACCCGAAACACTGCATTATTGAGTATTGCTCAGGTGGCGCCAAGCAATATGGGCTTAAATTACAACGTAAGGACCAGATGGATGCAGCACCGGAATATGTTCTCAAGATCCGTGGGATCACTCTTAACTGGGACGTTGTTACAAATCAAGGAATGCAGTATGAAAATTTTAAAGAAAAAGTTCTAAATTTCGCTACTGAGGAATGTTCCCCTATAAATATTTTGTACCCAAATTTTCTTAGGCCGACTGTTAAACGAGGTTCTGTACTAACTCAACCTATGAAAAAGAATTATGCTCCTTTTGTCGGCAAGGGTGTTTTACGCCCGAGCGACTTTTCTGTACTCGATTATGGTTTCAATTCTAATTAATTATTGTATCTATTTTTCTATCTTTTATTTTTTATTTTGTGACTTTTTAATTTCATATTGTTAATATTTATTTATTTCAATAAAATTTATGCAAAATTAGTGTGAAGAAGTAATTGATTTTAGGGGTAAAAATGCGGAATTAAGAGAAAGAAGATAACATTTAAAAATTAGTGAATAGAAGTAGTAGATTTTAGGGGGAAAATTACGGAATTAAGAAAACGAAGATAACATTTAAAAATTTAAAAACCAAGATCAAAATTAACAATTAGAAGTAGTCATTTTTAGGGGTAAAAATGCAGAATTAAGAAGACGAAGATAACATTTAGAAATTAATAAGAGAAGTGTTAGATTTTAGGGGATAAAATGCGGAATTAGTGCAAAAAATACAACTAAAATTTTAAAAAATCTTGTTACATAATTAACAGTTAGAAGTTGTCATTTTATGGGGTAAAAATGCAGAATTAAGAAGACGAAGATGAAATTTGGAAAATTTCATAAAAATTAACAATTAAGTTTATGTGCGCACGTGTGATGTGTACATACACGTGTGCACACATGTGCACACACGTGTGCACAAGTTAAAAATTAACAATTAGAAGTAGTCATTTTTAGGGGTAAAATTGCAGAATTAATAAAATGAAAATAAAATTTGAAAAATTTAATTAAAATTAACTAATATACACATGTGCACATACGTGCACGCATGTGTGTTGTGTACACGTTACCAACCTTCCATCTCATCCAGCATATCAAATTCTAATGGTTCATCATTTTTGTCCGAATCAGAAGTTGTTGTTTTGTTGATTCGAAGTTTGTCGGAAACATCCACATACAATGGCTTATCATTTTCCATAACTGGGAAGCTAATATAATCCTCTTCTTTATCATCAACTAATTCAAGTAATTCAAGCGGGTAGTAACGGTCCTCACAACGCCGTGGAAACTTCTCAACCACGCATTGAAGATAAGGATAACGTAAACGGATCCTATGCCGTGAATAGTAGTGAGCCGTGACAGAGACATTATATGGACGAGACAATGCTCCATAAGCCATTAGAGTATGCGCTCCTAAATGTAATTTTAATGTACGTGGGAAATGATTAGGAACCTTTATGAGTAAATCCATGAAACGTGAAAGTTTTTCGAAAGTCGTTACGGTCAGAATATAGCGTTCGAACAATCCTTCCTTTTAGCTTTGAATGTAGAAGGGCACGCTTTGCCGGGTGATTTAAATGGTCTCGAAGAGACTTTGGGTGACAATTAAGTATTTCAGCACACTCATCGATTAAATGACGCATTTTGAAGTTAAGAAATTAATGAATGAAATTTTTAAAAAAATTTTTTGGCTTTTATACTCACCCAAATTTTTACTAATTCTTAATATTTAAAAATATTAATTAAAAATTATACGGTCCCTCGATTATGCAGAATATTTTAAATGACAGATGTATAATATATTTAAGAATATTATTATTTCGTAAACAATTCGAATGACCTTGAGAATATTCATTCCTTAAAATTTTATTTTAATTTTGAACGACAGATGTTTAATTTTTGAAAATTATTATTCCGTTAAACAATTCGAATGACCTTGAAAAATTTTATTCATTTTTTGGGGACATTTTGGTTAATAACTTTGTTCATCAAAAAGATAAACAGATGCGGTCTTTTGCATCTGATAGGGCAAAGAATTCTCTAGAAAATGACCGGTCAGTTTTTTAAGTTAGGTCCTAGAAAAATTTTTACGACCGTTTTACAAAAGACCATATTTTTCCAAAAATCTCAATTTTTCCAGTGAAGAAAAGAAAGAGAAAAGGAAGTTAAACCCAAAAGATCAACACCACTGAGATCACCCAACCAATTACGTAACTCAGAAATAAAAATTTCTCCTTACCCTTTCCCCAAACCAATTAGTCAATTGGTTCCCCTCGCCCCTTTTCGTCAGACTCGGCGGCATTTCCTTTGATCATCAATCAAAGGAGTGGCGGCATCCTTTGATATGGTAGACCCTTCCCGCCCCCTCCCCCCACACCAATTAGTAAAACAAATTGGTTTCCCTTACACCCAACCCCGCAACCCCGACCAATTTGTCAAGCAATTAACAACTTAGATTCCCTTGACCCCCTCCCCAGACCAATTTTTGAAACAAATTGATTTCACCCTTACCCCCTCCCCCAAACCAATTAGTCAATCAATTAATTCCCTTTACACCCAACCCCTAGACCAATTAGTCAAGCAATTAACACCTGTCGGTCATAAAATTTTCATTGCCCCTTCCCCCAGATCAATTAATCAATCAATCAACTAATTGATTTCCTCTTACACCCAACCCCTAAAACCATTTGTAAAACAAAATTGGTTTCACCCTTACACCCAACCCCCAAACCAATTAGTACTAATTAGTTCCCCTTACCACTCCCCCATCGCGCGCCAAATCCGTCAATAGGTTCGCGTTAATGGGGGCAGACCCCTCCCCTTGAAATGATTTATGAGGTACAAATTAGTTCGGACCCCTCCCCCGATTAATAATTTATTACCCCGGCGGTAAGATCAAAGAAAGTCATCAAAAAGATCAAAAGAAAAAGCCGACAAAACCCCCTTATACCCTTTGTTTTTTGTCGGACCCCTCCCCCAGACCCCTCCCCCGACACCCCTCCTATAGGTTGGCGGCATTTCCCTTTGATACGGTCCGGGGAGGGTTACTACTCTTGATACATTTGTTTATTTGTTTAACAAAATTACAGAGTATATTTATTGACTTTTCTTTGTTTAATTAATTTTTATCCAAATTATTTCTTATTTTTTAAATGCCATTCTTTAATTTTCTTGATATTTTAATTATTGTTAGGAGGTACAGTATTTTAATTATACTTTAGATTTCCTTCAATAAGAATATTTTGAATGGGCACACAAGGTTATGAGAATAATACACGTTCTTCATCAACTTCATCTGACATGCCAGAAATGGAATCAGTCATTGGATTGGGAGAAACAGAAAATGAGCGGACATTAAGGATTATCAATTCCCGTCGCAAACCTGTTAATTTTTATCTTTTTTTTTTAAATATTTTTTCAAAAAATTTAAAGGTTTCTTTATGCAGTGTTGCCCCTTCTCTTGTAATTTCTTGGCATTCAATTACAGCAAAGCCTCGACACGAAAAAAGCATTTTACCTTCATTTGTCTCCAATATTTATTCAAAATTTTCTTCAAGTTTTGATGATATTGAAAGTGGAACATCTCCAATATTATATGGAAAAAAATTAATTTTAAATAATGGTTAGTATTTTTAAATTAAATTAAAAAATATATTTTGTTTAAAATAGTTTTTGGCGTTGCTTATCCCGGAGAAGTTCTTGCCTTAATGGGAGCTAGTTAAGTTTTTTTTTAAATGACAGGGGTGATTTTCTTTATTTTTTAGTGGGGCTGGTAAAACTTCCCTTTTAAATATCTTAACTCAACGAAATCTTTCTTCTCTTCGTGTTTCTGGCCAAATACGCATAAATGGTGTAGATGTTGGGAAAAATGTTTTACGTAAAATTTCTGCTTATGTACAACAAGAAGACCTTTTTATTGGTTCCATGACTGTTATTGAACATTTAAGATTTATGGTTATTATAAAAATATTTCTATTAAAATTTATTTAAAAGGCTATAATGAGAATGGGAAGACATTATTCTGCAAGAGAACGTGAACGACGTGTACAGGGAGTTATTGCAGAACTTGGACTTAAAAACTGTGCAAATACACTTATTGGTTGGCCTAATAGATTGAAAGGGTTATCTGGGGGAGAAAGGAAACGGTTGGCTTTTGCTTCAGAAGTAAGTAAAATTTTTCAAAATACACATATCTTTTCTAAATCGTTTATTAATCATTCTTTACTTAAAAATAATTGACAAATTAAATCCTTCAAACATTTTAACTATTTCTCTTTTCATTTTTTGCTACAGAAAAACTTTATAAAATTTCTATTAAGATAATGACAGGACCTCCAATTTTATTTTGTGATGAGCCAACATCTGGTTTAGACTCTTATTTAGCTAAACAAGTCATTCAAGTGCTTAAAGATTTGGCAAGACGAAAAAACATGACAATAAGTCTTTTAAAAACAAAAATATTTCTTTTAAAAAATTCTTTTTTAAAGTTGTTACAATTCACCAACCAAGTTCACAATTATTTGAAATGTTTGATAAAATATGTCTTTTGGCTGAAGGTAAATTAGCATTTCTTGGAACAACTGCTGAGGCTATTCCTTTCTTTGAAAGGTTTTTTAAAATATATAATTTTATTTAAAATAATTAAAGTTTGGGGCATACTCTTCCTGATAATTTTAATCCTGCTGACTTTTTTATTGGAGTTCTTGCTGATGCCGCTAAAGCAAAAGGATCTAGAGGAAGAATACATTCAAAAGTCAATGTTAGTTTGTTTTTTTTTATTTTCTTTTTTTTGTTCACTCATTCTCTCCCTAGTAACTGTAAATATATAAATCTACCATTAAGGCTCTCATTATGTCTTTTCACCAATTAAAATATTTTCGATGTTTGCAGAGTTTATTTCCAACATTTGATTAATATTTAATTTTAATTCAAATAAATTTAGAGTGATTAATTAAAGAGAATTAGTGTTTTGCTTATAAAACTTCAAAAATTCTTATTTTTAAGAATATTTTAATTTAAGAAAATTTGTTCAGCATTTACTCTGAGTGATACAGGAAAACAATTAATGAACGAATTATCAAGTAATACAAGCAGTGAAGGTTCTTCTCCCCCAATAAATACAGAAATAATTAAAGAAAATAATTTAAATGGAAATAATGAGGTTTTACAAACTTTTGATATTTCTACAGACGAAAGTGCTTTTTCTACACCAGAATCTGTTGAAGAAGTAATGGAAGATAATGAAGAAAGAAATGAAGGGGTTCCTTTATTTGTAACAACATCAAAAACAGACAAATTGGAATTGTATACAAAATCGAAGACAATGCAAAGATATAAATCGACGTTAGTAATAATATTTGGGGATTTTTTGGAGAATGAAATTGTTTGGTAGTGGGAAAGGCCGTATTCATTATAGCTGAGGGGGCTATAGCCCCCCCCCCCCCCTGAAATGGGGAAAGGGAAAAATACTGGGAGAAGGATGAACGACAAAGCTACGCCCTTGGTAGTGGGTAGTTTTAGAGGGATTAAGGGATGGGGGGAGTGAAGAATCTTTTTTGAAGTTTTTAATGAAAGCGGAGGAAAAACTTTTTATATCTACTATATTTCTGGGGATATTTGTTTAAAAATAATTTTATTTTTTTAATTTTTAGTTGGTTACAACAGTTTCGAGCACTTCTTAGACGTTCATTTTTTGTTACTTTACGTGAACCTATGCTTCTAAAAGTTAAATTATTCCAAACTTTATTGATAAGCATAATTCTCGGAACAATTTATTTTCAAACTCCAATAAGACAAACAACAGTTATGAATATTAATGGATTAATTTTTCAGTCAATTGCAAATATGAATTTTATGTAAATTAAATATTTAGTAAATTTATTTTTATTTTCATTAAAAGGTTTCAATTTGCTGCTGTTCATGTTTGTTTTTTAAAGTTTTATTGTAAAAGAATATTTTTATTTGTAATTACCGTGGGTATATCGAAAGGAGTTTATTAAAATATTTTTAGAAAGGAAAATATTTTAATTTTATTCTGAAAAAATTTTGGGAGATATATATTTATAAATTCTTTTTAAAGATTTTCTGTGATGAATTGCCTATTTTTATGCGTGAACATTTATCAAGTTTATATAGAGTAGATACTTATTTTATTGCAAAAAATATTGCTGAGTTAATTCAATATATTATTTATCCTTTTATTTTTTCTTCAATTGTTTATTGGATGTCTGGTAAATTATATTTTTAAAAATTTAATACCAATTTTTTTTCTTTTTAAAAAAGGTTTTGTTCACAATTCCCTAGCTTATGCCTCTTTTGTTGCCAGTTGTGTTTGTGTTACAAATGTGGCTATTTCACTTTCTTATGCGGCTTCTTGTATTTTTGGGACAACAGATTTAGCTCTAGCAATGCTTCCTGTAGTTGTTATTCCTTTACTTGCCTTTGGGGGGTTTTATATTAATCAAGTAAATTTTTAGAGAATTTAAAAAAAATATTTTATTTTTGTAGCAATCTTTGCCTTCTTATTTTTATCCAATTAAATTTATTTCTTATTTTGGTTATGCATATGAAAGTGCAGCAATAAGTCAATGGACACGTGTAAACACAATATCTGGTATTTATAATTTTATTTTAAATTTTAATTTGATTAAAGTTAATTTTAAATTTTTATTTTCAACAAATATGTATTTTTTTAAAGGTTGTAATCAAACAACAATAAATAATAATAATCTGACAGAATATAATACTTGTTATTTAAATGGAATGGATGTACTTGACTCTTTGGGATTTGAACCAGAAAATATTATTTTTGACTATACAGCTTTAATTTCAATGATTTTAGGTATTTTAGTTAAATAAAAAGGAAATTTTTAAATTAAAAGGACTTCGACTTGTTGCATTTTTTGCACTTTGGGTGCGAGCTGTTACAAAGAAATGAGAGACTATTTAATTTTTTAAATTTTAATAATATTTTTTAAAATATTTTTATTCCTACTTTTTTTATTTTTTTTGTGAATATATATGTAAAAATAAATTCAAAAAATATAAGGAACGATGACGGAGAATAAATATATTTTTAAAAAATAGTCATTTTTTTAATTTTTTGTTTTTTAACCTTAAAAATAAAATTATTTAAGGTTAAAAATATTTTTTGGCCGCGTCAGACGACGAAATTTTTTTCGAAGGCGGTGTAAAGAATATTTTTTCGAGAACAATGAGTAAATACAAAAAGCGGCGAGGACAAAAGAAAATTAAATTAAAATATTTTTTTTACAAAAAACCGGTCCATCAATTTTTGTTTTATACGCCCTTGACCGCAACGTAATAATAAAATAAATAAATTGATTTTTCCGTGCTTGAATGATTTAAAATACGCGCATATTTATTTTTTATATAAAAATGTTTTGTGGTGTTTTTTCACTGTAAAAGCAGGAAAATGTCGATCGAGAATATAAATAATCTACGTTTATTTATTTATTCAGTTTTTCACCTTTAAAATAAAATTTTAAATAAAAGTTTTTTTAAATTTATTAATAAAATATTTTTTTTCAAATTTAATTTTCTAAATGTTTTATTTCCATTTATTGACGTTAATACACGTATTTAAAATCAATTTAAATCTATATCGGATTTTAATATTTCATTGAGAATTTAGAAATACATATACATATGTATATTTTATTTATTTAATAAAATATTTTTAAAAAATATTTCTTTAATTTTATTACAAACTTTTATCAACTCAAAACTTTTAAATATATTTTTTATATTATGTAGATAAATTATTTGACTAATAACCAACCATTTTTTCTTCTTTTAAAAACACCAACCAGCCACTTCAAACAATCGTTGACACTTATTTTTGTAAAAATGTAAGGGGAAAGAATGATTGCTTAAAAAAATAAACTGTCAACCGTTTCAGTTCTCAAAAAACCTTTCTTTTACTAAAATTTTTAAATGTTAGATTGTTAGTAATATCTAGGAAATTTTTAAATATTTTTTTATTGTTATTTTATGGTCCTGGTCTAATTTATGCCTCCAATGATAAGTGTGTTGTTTAATGCAACCGAGCATTTAACTGTAAACTCAAACAGGGAATCTGAATACACAACCAAGGGCCGTAGTACCAGCCCAAGGAGCTGTCTGAGACTAGTTTAAGGGCCCTTGCCTCAATTCCCTGACTATCTACCAAATGATCTGCAGGATTCACAAAATTAACTTTGTGATTACAATGTAATTGGAGATTATTAATACCACCATAAATGGACCATCCCATCATTGACAATAGTTATTGGACTCATAAACTAAAACAGAGCCTAACTAATTTTATTTTTAAATTTATTTTAACTCTTTTTAGATAAAATTTAAATTATTCTTTAAATTATTTATTTAAATGTGTATTTCCCGAATTGGACAAATAGTTTATGGAGGGTTAACTGGTATTACTATTGCGCTTATTTGTGCATCAATGTTCACTCCAGGTAAAAAAAACTTTTTAAACGATTAATTACAAAAAATATTATTAATCAATTACAAAATTAACCTCCAATTTATTTTAAAATTAATTTTTAAAAATTTTGTTAATTTCAATAGGTTGGCGCCGTTTAACTCTCCATGTTAACGACTCCTTTAATTCTCTCAAAGAAGGCAATCCCTCTGCTATGCAAAATATAACAAATATGAATTTTGGAATTTTTCTTTGTCAAATACCCAATCCCCAACAATCACCATCCCCAAATTCTTTGCCTTTATCTGATAATAATTCTCCAAAAGAAGAAAATGAGGATTCTTGGAAAAAATCTTTAAATTATTGCGAGCAGTGGTTTAAGGTGTGGTGAAGGAGGGAATGAGGGAGGGAGAGTAGGGGAGGGCGAAGTTGTTAATTCGAGGGGAATGAGGGAGGGGGGGTGTTAATTAAGGAGGAATATTTATCTAAAAAAGGAAAATTTATTTTAAAAATAATTTTTTGGATAAATCTTTTTTTCAAAAATTAATTCAAATTATTTTTTTACAGTTACGTTCTGATTGGGAAAAAGTTGTAATTATTGCGATGATCCTGGCTTTTTTACTTTCATTAATAGCTTTTATTTTAAATTTCTTTTCTTTCTGTTCATGTGCTTGTCGACTTTCTATTTTAATGAGACCACTTCCTTTACTTGCTGGAATGACTTTTATTTGTTTGGTTGTTGGGCTTGGATTGTTTTGGATTAAAAATCAAGATTATATTGGTTGGTTAAGGGGAACGGGGGGGGGGGGGGAGTGGGGGAAGGGTAATTTAATAAATTCTTTTTAAAGCTCAAATAAAAATAAAAGTTCATAATTTGGATATTGACTCTTTAAAAACTTCTGCCGTTGATGTAGTTAAATTTGTTAATAGTTTGGATGAGGTAATTACAAATTAATTTACAAAATTTCTCTTTTTTGTTTAGAAAACAACAACAAAAGGAGGAAATGAAGACAATCAAGGAAATGTTGACAATAAAGTTTCTTATTCATTTTATTTGGGTTGTGGGGCTGCTGTTGCAGCGTTTGCAAATATTGTTGTTGGGTCTTTAATTGTTTGTTTTGCTTGAAAAGAAAATATTTTTGAATGAAAGAAGGAGAAAGAGTTTTTAAATAAATTATTTTTAATGCATTTTAATTTTAATTAATTAAATTTTGGGAAAGGGTTTGTAAATAAATAAATAAATTGTTTTTTTTTAATTTTAAAAAATTTACAAGCCTTTTCTTAATTTTTTAAATTAATTTCTAATTAATTTTATAATTTTAATTTTTTTATTTACCGGTGTATTTATAGACTTTTAAAAGTGGACTTTTTTTATAATGACCATTTAAATATTCGGGTTTTTAATTAAATAAATATTTTAATTTTTGGAATGATTTTTTAATTATTGCAGAAGAAAAAGTTAAAAAAATTAATTAATTTTAATTAAATTTAAAGACAATTAATTACATAAGCAAATACTTCTATTTTTCGATCCTCTCGTAAAGTGTGCTTCTATTAGAGAATTTACGGTATAAATAAAAAATTATTTTTTTACTTTTTTTTCATTTATTGCGCAAGAAAAAAATTATTTAAACAATTGTTTAGTCTATTTAGTAATTCTCTTTATTTGTCCTCTTTACAATATTTGCGCGAATTTATTTGACCTTTTTGAAAAAATATTTCTCTTGTTAATACACTTTACTTTTTTAAACAAAAATATTTTTTCATAAAATACAGTCACGGACAAAAGTTTGGACGCAAACGATTTTCAAACTTTATTTTCGAGTATTTTATTAAAATCAATAATTTAAAAAACAAATTTTTTGTAAAATAATGCTCCTTTTATGAACTTTAATATATACATGAACAAAATTCTGGTAAACTTTATAAAAAAAAATTTTTTTTGATAATTAACCAAAAGAGGGGTGGACAAAAGTTTGGACGCAAATTTTTAGAAAAAAATATCTTACAGTATAATGTTCCAAAAATTCTGAAAAAATTTCTGTGGACATTTCCATTGTGATTGAGTAGAAAAACAAAAAGAACGAAGTCCTTAACTTCTTCCATCATCGAGATCTCGAACCTCAAAAATCAACGGAAAATGGGGGTACAGTACTTCAAAAAATATTTTTACCCCCTAGAGCTTTTATAAAAATTTTTCTTTTGGGCCCATTAAAAAGCCCATAAAATTTGCTACAAAAAAGTACAAGTCTAAGTTGTTCCAAAAAATAGTTGTTCGAACTGCAGACACTTTCAGATAAAAATGGTCAAAAAACCCCTAAAATACCCCAATAATGATAACTTAGAAAATTGCCTCGACTCTGTCTCCATGAGTTTTTATTGGAAAAATAAGAACTTGTACTTTTTTGTAGCAAATTTTATGGGCTTTTTAATGGGCCCAAAAGAAAAATTTTTATAAAAGCTCTAGGGGGTAAAAATATTTTTTAAAGTACTGTACCCCCATTTTCCGTTGATTTTTGAGGTTCGAGATCTCGATGATGGAAGAAGTTAAGGACTTCGTTCTTTTTGTTTTTCTACTCAATCACAATGGAAATGTCCACAGAAATTTTTTCAGAATTTTTGGAACATTATACTGTAAGATATCTTTTTCTAAAAATTTGCGTCCAAACTTTTGTCCACCCCTCTTTTGGTTAATTATCAAAAAAAATTTTTTTTTATAAAGTTTACCAGAATTTTGTTCATGTATATATTAAAGTTCATAAAAGGAGCATTATTTTACAAAAAATTTGTTTTTTAAATTATTGATTTTAATAAAAATATTCGAAAATAAAGTTTGAAAATCGTTTGCGTCCAAACTTTTGTCCGTGACTGTATAAACAAATTAACTATTATATATATTTTTTAAATATTTTAAAAACAAAAAAAAAATTTAAATTTTTATCAAAAATTTTCTTTCAGCTTTTTAATTTAAAAAAAGTCCCCCCAAAATTATTTTTTGTTTAAAAAGCTTTTAGGATTGGAGTGATGACTAAACACGACCTTTTTTAAGAGAGAGGTTTGTAGTGGCAAAGAGAACATCTGCCATTCATTCAAATTGTTTGAATGATAGAAGCAATTATAAATATTTTTTGAGTGAGGAAAAAATTGGAATAGTTTAGAGAGAGGGAGAGAAAGGGCTTTGTAATTGGTGGGAATTGATTATTAATTTTTTTTGAAAAATTAATTTAATTTTTTCTTATATAAATTAAATCCAAAACATTAATTCCCATCACTTTATCCCTCTAAAAATTTTCTTGAAGCTTAAAACTTATTAATTTTTCCCAGATTAATTATCCTTATATTTTTTGCCTCAGAATGGTCAAATTTCCTTCTTTATAAATGTTGATTTTTGCCGTTGCCAACTATTTTTTCCTTCCTAATTTTCTTACAATGTTTGGCGGAAATAAATACTTGACAGTAAAAAAGGAAAATTAATCAGAAACTCCATTAGGGGGAGGATTAATACTATATATTAACAGTATAGTATCTTTTTTAAATACAAATTTAAAATCCAATTATATTTAGACCCAATTAAAGGGAGGTTGGATTTAAAGTAAAATATTTAAAAAATTTTTTTAATGTTAGCTAAATAAATAAATAAAATTTTAAATAAAAAATTTTTTTTCCTTAATACTTATTTACCTCCTCTCTCTACCATCATCCATTAAATTAATTTATTTTTCATTATTTTATTAAAATATCCACATTTCATTTAATTTATTTAATTTAATATTTTAAAGAGAAATTTTAAAAATGATTAAATTCTTTGAAGTTTTAATTTTATTTTTTAATTTATTTTTTTTAATTTATTCTGAAAGTGGAGGAGATACTAAAGAATGTTTAGAAAAGGTTTAGTTAAATATTAGTTTTAAATATTTAGAGGGCCTTTCCAGACTAAAAAACGGGATTTGAGGTGAGAGAGGGAGAGTGAGGGAGAGGGGGGTGGGGGAGAGAGAAAGTTTTGTTTTTGTATTTCATAACTCAATTTATTCAAAACCAATTTATTTCCTCTCAATTATTTTTAGGTAAATAAAGGTGATTGTGGAGCTTTTATTTCCTGTTGCAATTCAAAATGCAATCCAAACCAAAATCAAAACCACAAATGTTTTGCTTTTATGGATGAAATTCAAAAAGACCAGACTTTTTGTTTTTGGTTAATTTTTTGAAAAAAAATAAATAATTAAAAAATAATTTCCAATTTCTAGTTCAACCCCAACAATAAATAACAACCCTCCTCCTTCCCCTCCTTCCCAACCCCAACAAAATCAACAATCTTTTAATAAATTATTTGACGATTCTTTTCCATCAAAATCTTTATTTTCTTTAAATAATGAAGGTATTTAGTTAATTATAGAATTAAAAATTAAATATTTTTAAGATTTATTTGATATATTTTAAATAAATGTAAAATTGTGCCCCCAGAATGGCTAAAAGTTGATGAATTAAAAAAGCTAGTTGTGGGGGAAACAGAGAGGACAACATTCTCGCCTTTACCCAATTGCTTTTTTGAAATTGCTCACATTTTAGTTACAAATGCTTACTCTGATTTGGAAAATGTTGAACAGTTAAAAATGCTTGTTAGAGACCTACAAGACAAAAGGGAAGCAAAAATGCGAACTTCTATAATTAAATTTATGGAGCAATTTCAAAAGGAGAAGGACGACATTTTTTCTGACAAAGCTGTCATTCACGCAAATGCACAACTGAACAATCTTTCTAGGCTAGAGATATGCTATTTTCGGGCTGCTCTAACAGAACCAAGCAAATGGCTAGATAAACTTTTTTCAGTGATGCAGGGAGGAATGAAATCACAAGAAATTGATGACTGACCATTTTTGACATTTTTTTGTATAATTTAAAAATTGCCAGATATAAACACTATAAAAGGCAAAAAAAAAAAAAAAAAAAAAAAAAAAAAAAAAAAATACTTTATAATTAGATAATTCAAAATTCTCTTCTTCTTCTTCCTCCTCCTCTTCTTCATCATCATCTCTTCCTTCCTTCTTTAATAATAATTTATGGAAATCCCCTTCTTCACTTTTTGGGTTTTCTTCGATTCCTTCTTCCCCTCAAAATAATTTTCAACAAGAAAATAATAATATTTTTAATTCCTCATTTTTCACTAAAACAACTGAAAAACAATTTGGGTTTGTAGTTACTTTTTGACTGTAAAAAATATTTAATTATTAAAGTAATCAACAACAACAAAATAACCCTCCCTCCTCTCCTCGTCCAAAACCGGGAAATCCCTCAGATGGAAGACATTTATTTTTAACTTCAACCCAAACTTCTTCGGCTATTGGATTAAAAAGAATAATAAACAAAAAGGACGGGGACAGTTTAATTGGACGTAAAATGGATTTTGTTGGGGGGATTATTCTTTTATTTGTTTTTGATTTATTATTATTAAGTTTAACTATTTAATATTTAAATTAATTGGTAATTAAGAATGTAAAAAAAATTGGGTTAACAAAAAATATACATACTATATACTATTCTAGTCTTTACTTTTTAAATATTATCGGCATTCTTTTTGGAAATAATAAATAGTTGTGTTTACATTTTTATTGGTTTTACTTTAGGTTTTGATTAACTGACCGAAAGGATTCACAAAAAGATTCAAAAACAAATTGAAGTAGGTATTATAGAGAATAGAGGAGGGGATATAGCAAAGGACTTCGTAAACACAACTATTAATTAACCCCCTATTTTCTATTTCACTTCGGTTTATTTAATTATACTTTGGAATTTTTAAAATAAATTATTTATGGCTTTTATTTTATAAAAAAGAATTTACATATATTTAATTATTTAATTGTGCAATCATTAAACGAATAAAAACAACAAAAAGAAAAATAACCAAAATTCTAGCCAAAATAGATAAAAACAAATCCCTCAATCTGTCAGCTCTATATGTTGGTGAAATTGAAGAATTTTCGACATCATTATTTTGGTGATAAGGAAATATTAATTGAGTTCTTCCAACAACATCTTTTAAAATTGGGAATAAATTTAAAATGGATTTTCGATTAAATTTAGGGAAATTTTAAATAAATTTAATAATTAATAGGGTTGAAACACGGGCCGGATATGGGTCGGGATTTTCCCGAAACTGGATTCGGCATTACCCAAACTTTCAACTTTAATAATTAATTTAATTTACTATTATTATTTCTTTGATTGTTACAACAACAATTATTATTTAAACGAGAATTACAAGACAAATTATGTCTAGTATTTTGTTGTTGTTGTTGTGATGTTCTTCTACTATTATTTGTTTGTCTTGGTGTTGTTGTTGTATTTAATTCTCTTCCTCTTCCAGAATAACTTGGAGGAGGAGTATCTTTAAAATTAAAAAAAATAATTATTTTTAAAAACAAACAGACAAACAAACATTGAGTAATTGAAAATATTTGTTGTTGTGGTTGGTTAGTAGAAGATGATGAAATTGCTTCTGAATAACTTGGTGGAGGACCTAGAAGCATTTTATTTTTGTTAAAAAATAAATAAACTGAAAATAAAAAATTTATTGAGAATAAAATTAAATAATTTATTTTAATTAAAAAATAGATGGTATTTTCAACAAAAATAAATTTAATTTTCTATAATTTCAAATTTAGTTTTTTATATAGGAAGAATGATTATGTATATTTTCTCATAAATTTTATACAAAAGATTAATCCTTTTTAAATGATTTAGGTGGAAATAAAAGATGGCAATACAGAAATTAATTAAATAAGAAATATTTAATTTTTTATTCTGCTATTAATTAATTAATTAGAAAATATATTAAAATATATAAAAATATATTAAATATATTGAAATTATTGATAATTAATTAATTAATGCACAAATATGTATTTGATTAAAAAAAACTTTTTTTAATAGTTTAAATCAACAATTTTTATTTTAAATTAAAGGAGTAAGTATAGGTGTATTGATCTTCTTCTTTTTTTAAGGTTTACTCACCCAAAGATGGTATGATGCTGATGATTACTACATAAATATGAGAAATAAAATTGAAAAGTAGGAGGGAAATAAACGTTTAAGAATGAGGGAAAAATAGAAATTGGGGTTGTATTTAAATAAATAAATAATTAAAAAGTTAATGTTTAAATTTTCTTTTTTAACAATTTCTCAAAATTCAAAAAATCCTTTTATTACTAATTTTAAATTCTTTAAATTATTTATATAAAATACAGATAATAACTACATAAATATAAAAATATTTTTTAGTAAATTAAAGAAAAAGGGGGAACACAAACAAACATAACGAAAAAAAAATTAAATGTGCGCCTAGGCATTAAAAGAATTTTTTGATAGAAAATTATTGGTAAAGAATATATATTTATTTATGTATTTATTTATTTATTTAAGTGATTGGGTGTTAGTAAATGACGAGAATATTTAAAATAAATTATTTGGAATTGAAAAAAATAAAAAGAAAGTAAAGTTTAGTTGGAGGAGGAGGGTTTTCACTTTATTTTATTTGTTAATTTCCGTTCAGTGTAAAAACTTTAAAATAATAGTTTAATAATTAAATAGAAATAATGGAAAAATTAAACGAAAAAAATTTTTTAATTGTAAAATAATCTAAAAGAAAAAATCTGAGAATTATTTTAAATTTTTTCGTCTGTTTCCTTGTGTTTAATTTAATAAATTAATTTTTGAATGAAGATCCAATAAAAATTTTCTTTTTACTTTTGCATAAAACGTGATTAATAATTAAATAAATAATATATTTAATTTATATTAGCTTTTTCTCTATGAGTCAAAAAAAGAAAATTTAAATTAAATAAAAAATAAAATGAATAATATTTTTTAAATGGTAATACATATATAAATAAATGATTTTAAAAAATATTTAATCATTTTACATTTATTTTTTAAATTTAAAACACAAAAAAAGAATTAATTATTTTTAATTTTTAAATGTTTAATGAAGAAGAGGAGGAAGAGGAGGAGGAATATGAAAAAAATGAAGAGAATAATAATTATCGTTATCTTCGACGTTTTTGGAGAATTAAAAGGCAATTTGAACAACAAAATTATATACAAACATTTAATAATAATAATAATAATCAAATACCCTCAATATCTGCAATAATTAATTTAAATGGAGGTAATTATCTATTTTGTTAAAAAAATAATTATTATTTATTTCAAAAAGTTCCTCAACAACAAACATTCCCTCCTCCCCTTCCTTCTTCTCTTTCTCAACAATTTTTACCAACTTTCCCTCAATATCCCCAACAACAATTTATTCCACAATCTCCTTCAGACAGTCAAAGTATCCAAATGCAATTAAGTAATGAATCAACAACTGATAGTAGTAATAATTCATTTAAAAATAATAATGAATTTGGAAGAAAAAAGAGAAAAATAAATAGTTAAATTAATTAATTAAAAAAAACAAATTATTTTTTTAATTTAGAAAATCATCACCAATTCCAAAATTCCCCAATATTTAAATCACCACAACAACAACAATATCCATACATATTCCCTCCCTTGGCAAAAACAAAATTATGTTAGTAATTTTTAAATTTAAATTCAAAAATAATTCCTTTAAAGCCAAATTCGAGATTTAACAAAAGAATATTAAATGAAAATAGATGGAAACAAAGAATACCAAAAAATAATTTAATAAATAAAGAAAATAAACAAAATGTTGGAGAAAAAATATTAGGCAATTAATTTTAAAGAATATTTTTAAATTAATTTAAATTATTTTTTAAAGTATCAAAACAAAATACTCAACAACAACAACAATATTCTCCTCCTCCTCAACCAACTATTGAACAATTAAATAATAATCACAGATTAGAACAGAAAAAGAAAATCCGTTATAATAGAACTAATTTACTTTTAGGTGTAACAATTATTTGTATGTTATTTAGTGGAATTTGTTTTGTTATTATATTGTTACGAATTTAATAATTTATTTAAATATTAATTTTGGTAATATTGTACCTATCTTTGGTTATTTTTAGAAACTATACTTCGATAACTCTGGGTGAAGTTCGATAACTCTCTATTCCCAAAGATTTCATGGGAATACAGTGAACCTATTGCAAATAAAAGTGTGGTACACACAACCAAGTTGGCTGGTGACTCTTGGTCCGGTCTCTATTTTGGAAATTTCTTAAAGATATTTTTTCCCTTTCTGCCGGATAAAATTGTTTTTATTTAATATATTTATTCAAAAAAAAAAAGAAAAGGCTTTTGATAATTGTGAGATTTCAATTAGAGTTATTCTGATAAAATGAAAGTAACCCTAAATAAAATAAAATTATTTACTGGCAAACAAAAGCTTGAAGTAAATTTTGTTTAAACAATTCAAACAGAAAAACCCAAAAAAGCTTTTTGTTCATACGTGAGATTTAAAAAAAAATAAATTTGAGATTAAATAATTGAAGTATTATAGCAAAAAAAGAATTGTCAATTTAAAACCTTTTAAAGGTTTAATCTCTCATTTTAATGGTTAAGTGAATAAGGCAAGTTGAGATTTGACAAATAGATTTCCTTCATTTATATTACCAGATTGGAATATCCATTTTCATATTCATCATCCAATTGCTCGAAAATATCGAAATTATCGTTTGCCTTCGAATCAGAATTATTCGGCCAATCATCTTCAAGTTTCTCAAACGACTCCTTCTCCAACAAACGAATGAATGTATCCTCATAGAGATCTATAAATAAATATTGTTTTGGGGAAAACAAAATGGAATAGAAAAAGAGGAAGTCATTTAACTAATTCAAAATACAGTTTTCTAAAAAAACCTTTAAAAATTAAAAAGAAAACCCCTACCAGGCTTCACATTTCCAAAATATGTGAAACGCATATCCGGATCTGGATTAACATATGTAGATGTTGCCTTCTTTTCCTTCGTTTGTTTCAATTTATTCTCATTGATGATTTTGCCATTTTTCTCAGCCGTTTCGGTTTTCAAGTTGTTTTGCTTTTTCTCTCCTTCCATCTTGTTTCGCAAAGCCAAATCATTCTCCTCACCATCATCAACACCAAAATCAATAGTACGTCCAACAGACTTTTGAGATTGTTTGACAATATTGATATTCCTTGGTGTGGATGTTGGTGTATTGTTCACAACGTTTATATTTAATTGACTAAGCATTTCTAAAATTAAAAAAAAATTTGAGTCTGTATTGTGTAGAACACGAACAATTTGTCTTAATATTAAAGGAGAGCGAGGATTAAAGTTGAAACTCTAAATAATATAAATCGTGTAGCTAGGACTTTGAATTTCTAGGACTCCGTATAACTACATAAAAATAATTATCTCCCAATAGAAAATATTAAAAATTAATATTTGCATATAATAATAACGAACCGGTGAATCGTTATAATTCCAAAGCAATTTTGAGTTGTAATATTATCTAAATTAAGTATAAAATTTAATCTTTTAAACTAAAATAAATATTAAATAATGAATTTAATAACAACAAAAATATTTAAAAAAATAAATAAAAATTTATCACAATTTATCACAAAAAATATAATTATTATTTATATATTAAAATCACCAAAAAACACAAAAAGTATTAGATTCTTAAAAATTTAAAATTAAAAAAAATTAATAAACAAATATTGCCCAAAACAAAAAATAAAAAAATGCAACAAAAAGTGAAAGTCGAAGCAAAAATCCAGTAAATGTGCCATTAACAGGAAAGGGTAATTGGTGAACCTAAATATAAATATTATTTATAAAAAAAAATTATTTAAAAAACTAACAATAATTCTTTTATCAACACTAATTGAAATAATTGAAGTTCTCGAATTTGCACAAATTCCAGGTAAAAAGCAATGTCCTTTTCTGTCATCTCCACCTCCAATACGTCCAAGATCTTTTGCATCATAAGTTCTTTGTGAAAAGAAAGATAAGGCTGTTACAAAAGAAGAATGAACAGAACGTAAAAATAATAATTGATTTAAAGTTTGAGTGTCGAAAATTCCAATACTTCCACTCATTGTTCCAATTCCAATAAATTTATTACATTCATTTAATTCAATACAAGATATTGCCTAAAATTATACAAAAATATTTTTAAAAAGACTAGTATTTTTAACAAAGAAAAATAAAATTTTTTATTTAAAAATTACTTCATTGCAGGCCTTCTTCCATTTAATAATTTTACAATTTAAATTTTCTTTATTAAAATCCCACAAAGCAATACATGAAACTTCTTTTGAACTTCTAACTCTTTGATTATGGATTGTAATAAAAATTGAATGTTTTCCACTTTTATCAAGTGAAGTAAAACGGAGAGAGCGAACCTAAAAAAGAATCAATTATAACAAAAAAAATTTTTTTAATTTACTTTAAATTTTTTTGTATTTATTTCTTCAGGTCCATTCTCTGTAGAAAGTGTTAATAAACGTGGTTCATCATCTTTATTCTTATTTAAACTCCATAAAATGGTTGATTGTCCCAAAACTGTTGCCAAAATTTTCCCGCAATCAGAGACATCAATTTCTTCAATTGACCCTTTTCCAGTTTCAATTTCTAATTCAGGCAAGAAATTATCCAAAATATTTGGAATATCAGTTGAAGAATATTTACTGCTATTTTCTAGTAAATCTGCTGTAATAGACCAACAACGAACATATCCATCGGTTCCAGCTGTGACCATTTTTATTTGGTTGGGAATGTCCTTCGTCCAAAATAATCGAACACATTTCTGTTTAAATATTAACAAATTAAGGAAAATATTTGTATAAATCAATAGAAACCTGATAAGAATCCCCGTCTATTCGTTTATCAGTCTCTATTCTAAACAAGCTATTGAAATTAAGTGATAATCCACCACCATTTGTTTCATCGCCCAAACAAAAACCAGTCGTTTTATATAAGGTACAAAACTACAAAATAATTTTAAATTAAAAAAAACACATTTAAAAAACCTTATCCTGCCCAACAGCTAAAAGATAACAGCCCTTTTCTGGTTGATTATTTAAAACAATACAATCTAAATTCATATTAGCAAAATCACAAGTATTAATACAACAATTTAAACGAGCAATTAATTTTTTTGGTGCCCCAATTGTTGTTAAAGATTTGAAATTAAATTCGTTTTCATATGTAAGAAGATAAAGCTGCAAGAAAATAAAAGAAAAAATAAATAGAAAAAAAATACTTCAAGTTTATTAAGAACTCCAGTTTTAGCACTTCCACCACCTCCTCCAATAATTACATGACGGCTGCCAAGTGTTTTAATACAATAAGCTGGTATTGAAGAATCTGCCGCAACTTCAGAAAATTTTTGTTGAGAAAACATTTAAAGTTTCTTAGTTAAACAAAACCAAAAAATAGAAAACATAAATCTTTAAAAATCGGTACACCTCAATTGAGTCCGCACGATTGAGTCCCCACGATTGAGTCCGCACGATTGAGTCCCCACGATTGAGTCCCGGCACAATTGAGTCCCCACGATTGAGTCCGCACGATTGAGTCCCCGTTGTATATACCTCAATTGAGTCCCCTAGATTTAATTATATTAAAAAAGATTAAGAGGGATATTTGGGGATTTGGAGGGATTAATGTTAATATCAGGGGACTTGTATGCGACATCGAGGTATCAAGATGGATATTGGTGAATATCAAGGGATATAAGTAGATTTAAGCGGGGATATCGGTTGAATTAAGGCAGATATCAACAAATTCGGAGAGATTAAGATGGATATTGTGGGTTTGGGGATTAGGAGGGATATCGAGAGATTTTTTGAATGACAGCTCATTCGAAAGTAGTGAGTCGAATGACACCAAAATCAACATTGTTGAACAAGTTCTCGCCGAGATATGGGGCTCGAAATGGTGGATTTTTTGGTGGAATTCCATGGGGAATTTTTGTTGCGAAACATTCGAATAAACAAAAAATAGCTCATTCGAAAGGGATCGACGAGATGAGTTGAATAAGACCAAAATCAAGTTGATTGAATGATTCTGAACAAATTTTGACCAACAGAATCTTCGCTGGAAAAACTTTTTGTGCTGCTATGGAGGGTAGGGGAAACTATCTAATTTACGAACGTAAAAACTCCTTCCTAATTTCCGGACTCCGGCAGAATTTACCTGGATACGGGAGAAAATCAAAATGTGAAAAAAAAAATAAAAAAATATTTTTTAAAAATTTTATCAAAAAAATTAAAAAAAAACCAAAGTCTAGCTTCAATTATTGTGCCAAAGAAGGGCCTTTCTTTCGTTTTTTGTTCTCCTAAGTTCACCACCTTCGTTCCTTCAGAAACTGTGAACTTGAAAATCGCCAGTCAGAAACTGACGAAAATCAACTAAAAAATTTTAAAAATAAAAACGAAAAACAAAATAAAAATTCCAAACCTTTTCAAATTTCCCATCGTTGCAGCCGTGGGATGAAGTCCGACACGTGATGAGCAAAGTTAGACCAACCTGAAATATAAAATCTAAAATTAAAAAATAAAAATTAAACTTTTACCTACACAAGATTCTCGTCCTCCCTCTCGTCCTCATTGAGAAAATTCAGTGCTCGGATGGACTTGAGTGGATGCTCGGTCAACTAATTAACAAAATTAGTTGCAAACCCCAAAAGAAAAACAAAAAAATAAAAAAAAACAATAAAAAAATCTAGGAAAATAATGCGGGTACACAAACGTCCCCCTTTGGGTGGGTACACAACCGGCGGTACACAAACGGCCGGTACACAAGTGTCCCCTACCGGGAATTTTTAACGGGGACTCAATTGAGGTATATACAACGGGGACTCAATCGTGCGGACTCAATCGTGGGGACTCAATTGTGCCGGGACTCAATCGTGGGGACTCAATCGTGCGGACTCAATCGTGGGGACTCAATCGTGCGGACTCAGTTGAACTGCTCCGTTTAAAAATTATTTAAAACACAACGCCAAATAAAAAATAATAATAAAAAGAATACAGAAAGAAGAGAGACGCTAAGAAAAAGTAGAGAATAATTTTTGATGACTTTTTTCTTTTATTAATTTTCCCTTATCTTCATTGTTTTATTAATTTTTTTAAAGATTTTGCTTAAATATGAATTCTGATCCAAAATCTATGGATGAAGTTGGCCAATTAGGTATTCAACGTGATTTGAAATCTAAGGTAAAATTTTAGAAAGCTTTAAATTTTCACTTTTTTATCCAATAAGGACAAACCTTCTTTCTTGAATTTCTCGCCTACAATCGCTGATCATCTCAAACAAACCGAACTTCTAGTTGGTCGAGCTTATGCCGAACACATGGCTCTGTAAGTTTTTCTAGAAAAATTTAAATTTTGGTTATTCACTCCCCCTGTCAATTTATATAAATATGTAAAAATGGTCAGTCTTGGGTTGACCCCCGGTCTTAACTTTGGGCCAAGATACAGACCACCGAAAATTGAAAAACAAAGGGGGGACCAAGCTCATTTTTTGGGCTAAAAATCCGATTATATGCGCAAATATTAGCTCACTCGAAATAGCTCGTCGAGCTACGTCGAATGACACCAAAATCAACGTGATTTAACAATATCCTAAAATTTTTTAAAATTTTTTTAGTTTGTTTTCTTCTGCTTCCCAAATATCTCGTGATCCGGATGGAAATGTTGGTTCAAATTTGCATATGGAATTATTTACCGGGATGGACGAACGAATTGGATTTTCATTTTTGACTCGCGACGATTAATTTTTTTGGTTGGTATTAAAAAGTTATTCAAGTACTTTTTTATTAAATTTATTTCTGTCCTGATTTATAAATATTTGGATATTTCGATAAAGTTTGGGGGAATTTTATGATTCGGAAAATTTTAAATTCTAAAACTTCCAGCAACTTTTCTTCACTTCTAGTGTCAAAAAATTTTTTTAATTTACTTTAAGTATTTTTTCTACTATACAAACTTTATGATTTTTACTTTATTCCGACTAAATTTATGTTAGCGATTTGAAAAATTAATTAAAAAAATAAATTTTATTTTTAAATATTTAAGAATCTATTTATTCATTAAAAAATCCATTTTCTTTACAGCAATCATCAAATAAACATTTCATTCTATTTATAAGTTTTTCTCTTTTTCTTTCTTCTTTTTCTTGTCCCAAAATATTTGCAATTAAAAATAATTGAAAACAACATTCATATTTTGAATGATAAATTGCTATTTCTTTAATTAATTTAAAAGATTTTAAATTCTCTTCTTCTTTTCCCAATTTTTTAATTATTTTATTAAATGATTTTTCATAAATTTGTAACCATTTAATTGAATTTAAACGGCGTAATTCAGCATCAACACAAATAAAAATAAGTCTAACAATATCATTTATTCCTGTACCTATGTGGACTACTTGCCTTTTTTGTTAAATATTTTTTAGTCTAACAAAAATAATAATTTATTTACCAATCAAATAAAGCATCAAATTCTGAACTATCCTTATCCTCAGTTTTTTTAAAGAAAAAATTGTTTGTCCTGAAAATAATTTTTAAATTCATTCTCATCTCTAATAATCGAGGGCAAATATTGGATAAAATACTCAAAATTTTATTTGAGTACCCAATAATTGATGGATGGTCAGATGTTTTATTTTAAAATAGTTGATCGAATAATTTACTGGACTCGAAAAGATTTTTTGAATTATCCCTGCAAACACGAAAAAATAAATTCCCCTGGACAGCGGAACATTTCCCCCTCCCAGAGAATCCATAGAGCTCTCTAGGTTTAACTATTAACAAACCAAGTATCTCCATGTACAATAACTGGATCTAATCCAAACTCTTTGTGTTGATCTATTCTATAATTACCAAAATTATCAAATAAATTTAAAAGTTTTTCTTCATTTCCTTTAAACATTTCTGCTGTGTCTGGAGTAGAAAATATTCTTTCTTTTATTTTTAAACTTTTCTCGTCGATATCCAAATTTGGATGATTTTTAAAAGAATCAATTAATTTTGATGGAAGGCTTAAACTAAGGGCGTGAAAATGTGCAATTGAAGAAATTGCCGATTCAACCTTTACAAAAATATTTTAAATTAAATTATTTTTACAAAATAATTTACTTGTTCATTATTAAGTCCATCAGCCAATTCTACTTGAAATAATTTTTGATTATTAAAACATAAATCCTCCATAAGTAAAAAATCCTTGGATTGTTCAGAATATTTAAAGGCATAAACTTGTGGTATTCGAAAATTTAAAGAAATTGGTGAAGTTTGAATTAATGGCAAAACCTTTTGTTTTAAATTACTAAATATAAAAATAAATTAATTATAATTACTTCATCATAAAATCGACATTCTGATTTATGGACATGATCTATCCATTCAATTAAATCTTCACGCTGAAAATAGTAAATTTATTTAAAAAATTTTATTCTGATTTAATAATATAAAATCAGAAATGTCTACCCATCCTTTAGGAAATAATTGCCAGGATTACTGACAACTTTTATTATTAATTTAAAAATAAAATTAATTATTTCCTCACTCCTTTACTGTCATATTTTACTTCTCCATCCAATTTTTCCATTGTTGGTATCTAAAAATTAATTTAATTTTTTTCCAAAAAAATTATTTATTTTACTTTAAAAATACAATTAAATTCTTCTTTTTTTCCATTTTTATTTAATTTAATTTTAATTCTAAATAATTTAGAAATAAATCCACCAATTCCCATTAAATTAACATTAACACTTTCAATCTCATTAATTCCTTCTAAACCTAAAGGTTTTTGTTTTGATTTAATTAATTGTTCCAAAATAAATTTAATTGTAAAATTTGGATTGGAAGAATCGATTTGTTGTTGAAAATTACTAATCATTTTTTTAAATATTTTTTGGAAACGAAATAGATACTAAAATAATAAATATATGTATGTAATACCTACATTATATACTAATATTAATTTAAAAAAATCTTTCTTTTCTGTGTTCAATCATTTAAATAAAACAAAAAGTAGTAAATCAATGTAAATATGTATTATTAAATAAAAAAATTAGGGAAAATTTTTTTTAATATTTTACAATAAATATTTACATAATTTAAAAGAATTATTTTATTAAAGAGAAAAAAGAGGGGAAGAAATGAAAAATATTTGATTTTTTTGTAATTGATAAGAAAAATAAATTAATAATAATAATTTTAATTTGTCTAGATTTTTTTAGATAAATTTTAATTTTAAATATGTAATAAACAAAAAAACAATTAAATAATTCTCTTTAATTAATTTTACAAAAATTATTTTTATTTCCTCCTTCTTCTTTTTTATTTAATAATAATTTATATTCTTTTCTAAATTCTTCAAAAAGAGTTTCAATTCTTTCTTGTAAATCTCTTTGATGTTTAAATGTTTTAGCTCCAGGAAAGACTGTTGTTAATATTAAAAATGAAATACTTAATTCGAAATGACGCTGAAAATTTAAAAAGAATTAAATTTAAATTTTAATTATTAAATTAAAATTTAAAAAAATTAACATAAAATTATTTAAAAAAAATTACTTGTTCCGAATAAAGTAATATTCTCAATTCTTTTGAATAATTAATTGAAATACCCAATTTCTGACTTTCTTTTTGTAAATTATCAAAATATAAATTCTTTTTTTTAAATTAATTATTTATTTATTTTTACAATCACAAACATCTCTCTCTAATAAATACATTTTTGCCTCTTCACTAAGGTTGTCGGATCCGGATATTCGAAGATTTCCAACTATCCGCCAACCTTACTCCTCGCATAATTATTTTTCCCTACATTTTTCTAAATTCGGCTCTGAGGTGTGATGATATATTTATTTATTAGAGAGAGATTTTCCACTTTACTTACTATCCATTCCCAAAATTTTTCTTTTCTTAATTGAGAATTAACGCCAGTAAAAATTAAACGAAGAATGTCATTTAAACCTGTATCTAAATTAATTAATTAAAGCAAATTTTTATTTTTTATTTTACTTGCGTGGGGTGTTTGCCAATCTAAAATAGCAGAAAGTTTTTCATTTTTGTTTGAGAAAAATAAATTATTAGCCCAAAAATCTCCATGACAAAGAACTGGGGGAATACCATATTTAGTATGTAAATCTGTCTTTAATTTGTTGTGCTTTTTTAAAAAAGCCAAAAGTATTTTTTGATGACAAAGAAAATAAGAGGATCCAATATTCAATACTCTATCTAAAATATCCTCTTCTATCCCTCTAATATCACCATAATGTTGTAAATTAAATTTTTTAATTATTTCTGAAGGTAAAAGCATTGAAGAAGCGTGTAATTTAGATAATTGAAGAATTGCTGATTTTATCTGTATAATTAAAAGAAAAAAGGCTGTAACTATAGATATAAAGGTTTATATTGCCTGTTCATTATTTAATCCTTCATAAATATTTGGAGATATTCCCTTGTAAGACATATCTTCAATTAAAATAAATCCTTTTTCAATCTGTATTTTATCTGGACTTCGCCGTAAAGCATAAAGTTTTGGTAAAATTAAAGCCAATTCTTTATCTTTTAAAAAATGAGGGAGTGCCTAAAAATAAATAGTTTTAATATTATTTTATTTTCAATTATTTACTAATTCATAAAAATCAGCCTCAGCTTGACAAAATTCAAATATTATACTTGATACCTTTAATTTAAAATTTTATTTTATTTATTTTTTTCCCAAATAATAAATAACATTATCAAAAGCTTTAATTTCTCCAGGTCTAAATCTTTCCAATTTTTGTGTTGTTGTAACCTTTAATATTGCATTAAATTCTTCCTCTTCATTTTCTTCTAATAAAATACAAATTTTAAAAGTATGGGACATTAATCCCTGGCCGTCAATTGGCAAAGATTTTATTAATTTTATTTTTTTATTTTTTAATTTATTTAAAAATCCATTTGAATTAATTAATTGATTAATTAAAGTTTGGAATGAATGTTGAGTGCCCGGAATTAATTTTGTTAAGTCTGAAGTTGTTAATGAAAGGAGGTCGTCAGATTTTGGAAATGACATTTTTTTGTTGTAAATTTAAAATTAAATTGAAATATTTACATTTATTTATTTTATATTGTTAAAAAGAATTTTTAATTCATTTTAAATCTTTTTTTTATCTTTTCAGAAAAAAAATAAAATAAAAAGATAAGAAAAAAAGCAAATGATTTATTTTACGTATTTGTATTAGTCAAAAATAATTATATATTTTCCTGTCTAACTAATTTAAACCAAAAAATAAGTTTGTTTTAGGGGTTAACTTACTATAAACAAACAAACAAACTATTTTACTATTTACATATTACAAAGTTTCTTTTACAAAAAAATTATTTAAAATATTTTTATCAAAAAATTAAATAACACAAAACAGACAATATGTATATACTACATAAATTTGTTTATTTTTTAATTGTTTTATAAAAAATATTTTAATTTAATTTTAAAGATTTAAATGTCATTAGAAGAAGAATTATTTAAAATTCCAAAAATTCAATTTCCCGAAGATTTATCAAAAATTTCTTTTTTATTTAAAGAAAATGGATTTGTTAAAATTGATGGAGTTTTTAGTAAACAAGAAGTTGAGGAAATGAAAAATGAAATGAAAAAAATAATTGAAGAATTTGACCCTTCAAAACATCCAAAAGCTATATTTAATACTAGCAATGAACAAAAAGTTTTTTTTTGAAAATTAAATTAAAATAATTTTAAAAAGCACGTTTCTGATAATTATTTCCTTGAAAGTGTTGACAAAATTAGTTTCTTTTACGAGGAAGGGGCAATCGATGAAAATACTGGAAAATTGGTTGTTGAAAAAGAAAAAGCTTTAAATAAAGTTGGACATGGTTGGGGATTTTTTGAATTAATCAAAAATTAATTTTAATTAAATTAAAGCTCTCCATTGGATAAATCCAATATTTAGACATTTTACTTTTAATGAAAAAATTAAGGTTTTTTTTCTAAATATTTATTTATTTTTTAAATATTTTTTAAAAGAAAATAATAAACAATTTATCACTATTAAAATCTCCAAAAATAGCCCAGTCAATGTATATATTTAAACAACCAAAAATTGGGGGTTATGTAAATGAACATGTAGATTCTACTTTTTTACATACAAAAAACCCTGAAAATTTAATTGGAATTTGGATTGCTTTAGATAATTCGAAAATAGAGAATGGATGCCTATATTTTGCTCCCAAATCACATAAAGGTTTTTCAGAAAATTATTTTCCTTTCAAAAATTATTTTTTAAAGATTTTTCTGAACAAACAAAAAATTACAAATTTGTTAGAAATCAACAAAATATTGCCAAAAATGAAGGGCCTTTTTTGGAATTTAAAGGAGAAAAACCTCAAATTAATAATTTAAAATATATACCGATTGAATGTGAAAGTGGTTGGTAATTTTAATTAAATTTAATTACCCCCCCCCCCCCCCCAAATTAATTTTAATTTAAATTAATTATTTAAAGGTTCTTTAATTTTAATTCACGGAAATGTTTTACACAAATCAGAAAAGAATACAAGTAATTATCAAAGAAATGTTTATGCTTTTCATTTAATTGATTTGGAAGAAAATGAAGAATGGGAAAATACAAATTGGTTACAAGAAAATAATAAATATAAATTTCCTGAATTATTTAAAAATTGAAAAATTTGTTTTGAGAGAAATAAAAATTGAGAGAGAAAATACTTTAATTAACTTAATTATGGACAACAACAAATATCCCCTCCCCCTCCCCCACAATCAACATTTCCACAATCACACCCAGAATTTGTATTAGAAGCTAATGAACAACAACAAAAAATATGCCCTAAACATTCCATACAATCTGTTGGAAGACAATTATTATCACAACAATCAGCTAAAAAACATAAAAAGTTAATTTTTTGTAATAATTTAAATTCCATTCTTGAAAAAAAATTATTAAAATATGTATTGCTTTTTTTAAATTTAATTAAAAAAATATCTAACCACATCCACAATCACCACAAAAACAATTTAAAGGACCAGAATCATTATTCTTTTTTCTTTTCTCATTTTGTTCATCGTCTAATTGTTCGGCATATCCCGTTAATTGAGGTTGTTCTGTAATGCATTGTTGTTGTTGTTGTGACATTTAAATATTTTTTTTTTGTTGAAATATTTTAAAATTTAAAGAGGAAATTTAAAAAGTAATGGAATTAAAGGAATAATAGATTTTTTAAATTTGTTTGAAAAGTTAAATTTTGTGTTTTTCTTTAATAAAAGAAAATTAGGTAAACTAAATCAATATGACTCACAAAAAGAATTTATCTTTCTTTCAAGAATTTGACAAAGAAAACAATTTATTTTAAAATTGATTTTCGCCATAATCCTCAGCTACTTATAAAAATATTTAAATAAAAATTACATATTTTATTTATCAAAAATATTTTTCTCCATCAAAAAATCATTTTATTGTGCAAAAAAAGTAATTCATAAACAAAAAAAGTATTTATTTATTTATATCAATATCAAATTGTTTATTTAAATATTCTCAAAAATTCCATTTATATTCCTTAAAATAATCAATCAATTTCTTCAACTTTTGTTTCCCGTAATTCATCATTAAATATTGAAATTGGAGCCAATTCATTATCAGGCACATCTTCGCTTGCACGGCCACAATATTCGAGAATCCAAGGATGTTTAAGTAATTGTTCAAATGTCATTCGTTGATTTGGATCTTTACGAAGAAGCTAAAAAGAATTTCTTTGTTAGATTTAAAATTGTTGGATACGATTAAAATAACTAAAGATTATTATTCCCGAAAAAACGATTTTTCTAAAATCTCACGATTTCACTAAAAATTAACAAAAAAATACCCGAGAGATGAGATCCATCGCTCCTTTGCTAACATGTCTCGGAAAAACATATTCAACGTTAGTTATTCGTTTGTAAGTGTGCTTTTGATCATCTGTTTCAAAAGGTGGCTTTCCAGTAAGAAATTCATAACAAAGAACACCAACAGACCAATAATCAACCTAAAAATTAAAACAACTATACATATAAAATTTAAACAAAACCTTTTCATCGTGATGCATCTTGAAAATCATTTCAGGTGGCAAATAATCAAGAGTGCCACACATTGTCTTTCTAAAAAGTCAAATTATTATTCCAATAAAGCCTTATTCAATTAGGGAAAAAGAAACAGAGATCCAAAAACAACTATTAATAATAATAGGGCCGTAGCAGGACCTCTGAGACAAAAATTTTTTCTCCCATAGTTTAAACAAAGTCAAAATTATTTTTGAACAATCACCGTCTATTCATTGCATGAACGGCCCAGCCAAAATCAGCAATCCGGATTTGCTCATCATCACAGAGAAGAATATTTTCAGGTTTGATATCTCTGTGAATGATTTTCTTCGAATGGCAATAATTGAGAGCATCAGCTACTTGGAAAATGTACTGAAGATTTGAAAAGGGTTAAAAAGTTAAGACAAAAACAAATAACCCGAGCAGTTCGAGATTCGCTAAATCTTTTGCATCTGTTCAATTCTTTAAAAAGTTCTCCATGGACAGCATATTCCAAAATAAGATAAACCTTCTTGTCGTCATGAAAAAAATTGTGGATGCGAAGAATGTTTGGATGTCTGTCAAATTAATTAAATAAATTTAACGAATTTAACCTCAAATGTGCATGAATTTCAATTTCTCGAATAAGTTGATGCTCAACATTTCCTTTAACAAGTTGTGACTTGAAGAGAATCTGATAAAAATATATTTATTTTTAAAAAATTTTGGATAAAAAGAAACTTTAAGTGCAACAGGAATTCGATAATAACGATCCCGTGCCAAGTAAACATTTCCAAATTTTCCTTTTCCAAGTGGCCGACCAATCTCAAAATCAGAAAGTTGCCAACGATGTTGACTAAACAAAAATAAATATTCAAAATTTATTTTAATTTTACTTCCAATCAATTCCACAATTTGTGTAATCAATCCCATCATAACATTTATTGTTGCTCTTTTCAATTAATTGAGTGTTTCCATGCTTTTGTTGAAGCTTTTTAGATTTTAATGTTTGCGCCATTTAAATAAAAAAAAGTAACTGAAAGAAAAAATAAAAAATTCAAACGATAAAGGGAATTTTAAACATTTTAAGAAATGGGGCAAAAATAGATAAAGGTAAAATAACAAAATTAATAAAATATATACAGTCGTGGAAAAAAGTATGGAAGCGCTAGAAAAATTTTATTTAATTCTTAATTTTTCATTCAAAAAATACGTTCTATATACCAATCGAAAGCTCTATTCGTATCTCAGTTGACATGTTTCTGCATTTTTCATGAAAATGAAAATTGGCCGAGATAATCCGGATCTACCGGATATACCAAATCCCATTTTTTCGGAAAAATTTTTCGGAACAAATTTAACAAACCCAAATGATAAAGCATATTTTTCTGAGTATTTTCCACAAAACCGCTTAGAAATATCTTTTTCCGGAGCAGAGATATGATTTTTTGAAAATCGCATTTTTCCCTTAAAAATTGAATTTTTTGCAAAAATAGACAAAAAACCCATTTTCAAAAAATCATATCTCTGCTCCGGAAAAAGATATTTTTAAGCGGTTTTGTGGTAAATGCTCACAAAAATATGCTTTATCATTTGGGTTTGTTAAATTTGTTCCGAAAAATTTTTCCGAAAAAATGGGATTTGGTATATCCGGTAGATCCGGATTATCTCGGCCAATTTTCATTTTCATGAAAAATGCAGAAACATGTCAACTGAGATACGAATAGAGCTTTCGATTGGTATATAGAACGTATTTTTTGAATAAAAAATTAAGAATTAAGAAAAAATTTTCTAGCGCTTCCATACTTTTTTCCACGACTGTATTCAAACCACGGAAAAAATAAGTACAGAAAAAATTAATAGAAATCGATCGCAAGCAGGCTTACATCATCGAAAATTTTTAAAACGATTTTTAGCGCTCATATTTTTAATTTTGGCAAATTAAATTTGGCAAAATGTTGCTCAGTCAATTGAGTACCGCCAAAGGACAAGCTGAGTATCATTGAATTTCTGAATGTGATATGATTCTAAAGTATGTTGTAACCAAATTTCTTGATTATAAGAATAAAGCCATTGATTAATAACTCCTGAAAATCCTTATTCTTTAGAAAACCCAGAAAATCCTAATAACTTTTTTTTATTTTGATTTTTAATCAAGGAAATTTTAGATCAAACTTTTTTGTCTTTATTTTTGAAATGGATTCTGATGATTATGATGATATTGATTATGAAGATCCTGCTGAAGACTTTGAAGACGATTGGGATAATAATGATATGATGGATGGGGCGAATGTTGATTTACTTGACGAAATTGAGAATGTTGCCCCAATATTAAAAAAGAAGCAAAAGTCGAAAAAGAAAATAAGTGAACCAGTAAAAACTGACGAAAAAGAAGAAAAAAAATCTAAAAAGAAAAAGAAACAATCAAAATTTGCAAAAGTAGCAAAGATTCTCAAGGCAAAAGGATTGCTTCAAAAAAACAAAAATAATTTTATGGATTATGTGACATTTGAATTAAATATTCCTGTTGGCATGACTGGGATAGTTACAAAAGAATTGAGCTGTGGATTCTTTGATTGGTTAGTTTATTTTTTTTTACTTTATTTAAAATTTTAGGACATTTTCTTTCTTTTTCAATGACGAAAACAATTCTTCAAATTTCTTTAAAATTGATGAGAATCATCCAAATCCTAAGAGAGCAGCAAAGCAAGCTAAAAATTACAAGCGTCGGGAAAGAAAGCTTAAGAAGTTGCTTATGGTTAGTGGTCGGGTAAAAAAATTAAAGAAGTTAAAAAGAAGCCGTAAAGGAGGAGAATATGTTTCTGGGAGCTTTCGTCGTTTTATGCAATGGAAAAAGAAAAAAGCCTGGCTTCTTTTCGCAAAATGCCAACCAAATCCTATTTGCTCAGTTGATTTACATGGAAATGCTTTTTATAATTGGGGTTTAGTTTCATCGTTCAAAACTGTTTGGAAAGGCTCAAAACGGGATACACAACAAGTTTATGGAAAAAAAGTTAAAATATTTTTATATTTAATTTTAAAATTTCATATTAAGAGGCCTTCTGTTTTTTCTTCACTATTACCTGCAGCACCGATTCGTTGTTATAGTTGTAGACGTTTTAAGAAAAGTCAAACATTAATTGTTCATATGTGGGTAAATAGAATTAAGACAATTGGGTTTGTTATTTTTTAGTAATATTTTTTAAATTTAATTTTCTAGTCTTGTTCCACCATTACAATTTGATCAAGAACTTCCAAATAAATTGTCTGTCTGTCTTCGATGTGGGAAAGAATATTTTCATGTCAGCAAGATAAAGGTTTATAAATTTTATTTTTAAAATCGACACAAAAACAACAAGAGAATAATTATTAAGATCTAGTTAATAGAATACTTGCAATTAATTTAAATTCTAAAAATGTTCTGCTTGCTCTATAAAATCTATTAAAATTTTTAAAAATTTTAGTTGGCAATGTTCTCTTTAGTGTTCCGACAAAAAATTTTTGATGAAAAATTAGGAGATGATCTCAAAAATCCAATAAAGATTGAAGAAAGATTTAAACCTTCAATTGTCCATTTGGCCTTAAAAACTATTTTTGATATTAATGCTCGAATTCATTGTAAATAATTTAAATAAAATTTAAAAAGAAAATAATTTTTTTTATTTTTTCAGGTTTGAGAGTTGATAAATTATTAGATTTTGCAAAAGAATATAAAATTCCCTCTATTTTAGGAAGTATTGAGGATTCTTTAATAAACAGTAGAAAATGCAAACATTTTAATTTTCAACAAAAAATTGAATTGGCTTACAAATATGGATTGGATGACTTAAAGGTTTTTTTAAATTATTTAAAATTTTAACGATTTTTTTAAAGAATAATTTTTGTCAACTTAATAATTCAATTGAATTGATAGAACAGAATTTAAATATTGAGAAATTACATTCGGAATTTAAAGATCAATTACAAAGAAAATTAGCTTGTATGAAAGCTGCTGAAAAAGCTGGATTAGCAAGAACTAATGAGAGGAAACAAGAAAGAGCCAGAAAGAGAAAGGCAAGTAAAGCAATTAAGAAAGCAAAAAAAGCAGCGAATGAAGAAGAAAGTTCAAAAGATAATGGAAAAACTTAAATGTTGAAATTTAAAAGGTTTAATTTTATTGTTACATATTTTTAATGTCAGAGAGTGATTTTAGATTAACAATAATTACTTACCAAAGCCCGGTAAAGATAAAACCACTCTCTATTATTATATTATTCAAACATTGATCTTTGCCTTTTGCAAATTAATAAATTATTTTATTTTTATTTAGATTTTGTTAAAATTATTAAGCGTTGGGAGGAAACTAAAATTATTTATTCTGGCTTTGTTTGACATGTTTCCTAAATAAAACCGAAATCATATTATTGAAACTTTATTTCAGAAGAAAAGGCGCAAAAATAACAGAAAGATCGATTTTCTCATCTTTACTTATACCAAATGTGTCGGCGTTATCTCCCCCATTACTAACCTCAAAAATTCTCTTTCGATATCCAGATGGATCAAGGCCTACAATTAATTGATAATATTTTAAAGAATTTTATAAATAATTACCCAAAATTTCTGCGATTTTATAGGAGTCTATTTCAACGATTGGTTCACAAAGTCGCATGACAACTGGGTGAATTTGTTGAGCCAAGTAGTAATTCTTATCTAAAAAATGTTAATTTAGCCATTTAAATTGAGAATAAGAGAGAATGCTCACCAACAGATAATTCTTCATTAGCTAAAATTTCAGATGAGTGATATCCTCTTTGAGTTGGAGGGTTATTTGTCCCATCCTAAATTAAGTACATATATCCTTTTAATAATCAAAAGAAATTCTAACCGTACAAATAATATATTTTACAATATCACCCTGCCGTAGTCTAAACTTTTTGGATTCATTCAATCGGCGTGCAATAACTGCATGTGGTTGTGATTTTATGTCTTTGTAATCAGCGGGGTCTCGAGTTAATTGCTTTAAGATTTCAAATTTTTCTAGTGGGAATCGTCCATCCTCTAAATCTTCTCGTCGTAAAGCTAGAACAGAAGTTATTCGTTCAATAAGTGTTTTTCGATCAATTGAGGAAAGAATTAAATTGACAATCTCTCTAAAAATATTTGAAGAAAATTAAAACTCAAATAGTACTACTATACAACTCCAACCCCATCTAATCAAAAAATCATTCCACAAAAAATAAACTACTCACAATCCAATATCTTTTGCCAATTCAGACCAATCTCTCCTCACAATATCCAATCCTTTCAATTCGGCTGTAGTTAAATTTTCATCATTAAAATCAACAGAAAGTGCAGCATATTTCTTTTTCTTCAACAAAAGAAGTCTTTTATAAATTCCATCAATATCTAATTCAAGAAGAGAATAATTTTTATTAACAACTTGTTTAAGCTAAAAAATAAAAAAATTAATAAAAAAATATTTTTATTTAAATAAAACTTTTTGTCCAATTTGTTTAGCTTCCAAAAAGTTTGTTGTATTTGTATTAACCATTAAAGAATCGGTGTCACCATAAATTACAGAAAAGTTTTCATTCTCAACCAAAGTTTTTGCATGCAAAAGTAACTTTAAAAATATAATTTTTAAATTAAAATATTTTTTTAATTTTACTTCTCTTCCCTTTGAGGTAATCATTGCTGCAAGAGTTTTAGCAAAAAAGCGTGATTGTTTGAAGCCTAAACATCCATACATACTGTTAGCTGTTAATTTAAGACCGAGTTGTCTTATATTATACTAATAAAATTTAACAAAATATTTTTAATTAAACAAAACAAACTTGTTGATATTTTTCAGAATCGTGTTTCTCTTTACTCATTAATTTCTTAACTTCTTTTCGCCTATTTACAAGTTTTCGAATTTCATTTTTTAAAATTCCATCTGGACGACTTGAGCCGGGTGCATTAGGTAAATCAATTTCTGCCTAAAATTATTTGAGAAATGATTTTTTATAAAATTTTAAAATAACCAAATCATCAAAAGCCTGGTCAACAGTAGTAAAACAAATATTAAATTCTTGAATAATACTTGGATATAAACTGTTAAAATCCAAAAGTATAATAAATGTCTCATAAAGTCCTAAACAAGTTATTAAATAATTAAAAAAATAAATTTAAATATAATTTACCTATTTTTGGTTCCAAAACCAAACCACCAGTATATTGTGTTTTTTTATTATTTTTGGTTATTTTCTCTTCTTGTTTGGGAAATGTTATTTCATTTTCTTCTTCCTGAATAGGTTCAGTATCCACAACTACTTCAATATCTCCATCATTTATTTCTTGATTATTTTCTCCACTTTTTGAAGGCAATTTTTTGTCTTGGATTTTTTTCTTTGGCACATTTGATTTGACAGATTTTATTGCTAAATAGTTTGAGGGATTCTAAAAAAAATGCAAATTACCATTGAATTTATCAGGTGGAATACAATTGTTTCGATGGCACGCGTGGAGTAGTAAATATTCATTTCTTTCTGCACGACCGCCCATTAATGTACGTGACTTTAAAATTATTACAAATTTAACAAAATAAATTTAAAAATTAAGAAAAATACCAAAACTCCACCAACAATTTGTGTAATTTGTACAAACAAAGGAATAGAATTAAGATGCTCAACAAGTTTAAGTGTATATAAATTTTCATTCCAATTCCATTTAATTAAATCAATTAATTTAACTTTTGGATTTGTTATTCTAAAAAGTAATTTTTTAAAAATAATTTTATTAATTTAGAAAAAATTACAAAAAAGGCTCTGATATTTGTTCTGTGCTAAGATTTTGTCTGTTCATTTTCAATAAAGTTTCAACTAAATCTTCCATTTCATAACTTCGGCAATGTATCAGTTCAGAAGCAGCTATTCTAAAATGAATTGAAAAATACATAAAATATTTTTTGAAAATAAACTTCGAATCTAAACAAAGCCTTCCAGCAGTTAATTCCCATTGAGCAAATTTCGATCGACCAATCTTTTGAATTTGGTCCTTATTCTTTATTCGACCAAGTCTATCCCATTTTTTAAGTTTATTATACTTTTCAATTCTCGTCTGAAGTAATGTTAATTGAGCGTTTAAATCATGTGCCTAAAAAATAAAAGTTTTAAATATGGGTTAACCTTTAATAGAGAAATAACTTAAATAAAAAAATAATTATTAAATAAGAAATAAATTTCTTATTTAATAAAAAAATAAGAAATAATTAATTTTTTAAATAAAAAAATTAAGCTTTAATAGAGAAAATACTTATTAGTTACCCAAATCTTGAGTTGTTAAAATTTATATATTGGACCACATGTTTGAAGGAATGATAAACTTGAGAGAACCCCAGGAATTCGTATGTGTCATCTCAATTTCCACTGCCATAATAAATTTTGAATTAAAAAAATACCAAAATCATATCTGGATCAAGTTCTGCAATTTTTGATAAGAAAATGTTTAGTAACGACAATTCATCTCCAACTTTACGAACCATTGTTGAAATTCCATTATTTTTTAATTGGTCCTCCAAATCAAATGGAAGAGGCAATCCTTTGTTGAATTTTGAAACAACTTTTTAAAAATATTTAATTTAGATTAAAAGATTAATTTACCACAAAATCGTTTAGTTATTAAAGATTTTGGATCAAAATTTGTAGACATTTCTAAATTACAGGAGTGATGAATTAAAGAAATCATAACAATCTAAAAATTAAATTGAAAAGAAAATTTTTCCTTTAAAAACCTGAGTGTCTTTTGTTTTTGGATTTAAAGCAGTCAAAATGTTTAAAACAACCAAAGTAATTGAAGGTGGAGGTAATGGAGTAGGCAATGTAGAGGACATAGAAATATAGTCCATTTGATCCATATTTAGTGAATATTCATGTTGGCAATAGGAAACGTGAGGATCCCCATCTTCTTTTTTTCCTTTTCAAAGAAAAACTTTAAAATTTAATTTTAGAAACAAACTGGCATTTCGAATTTCAAGCCAACACGGACCATAAATTTCACGCTCAATGAGAACACGTTCTAAAGCAGTAGTTGTTGTGTTCATCACATGGCTGAAACAGTCACCAGAAAGATTTGTAGGGATACGCCCAAAATTGCACTTAAAATTTTTAAAAATTTTTATAAAATAAAGCTTTAAGGTACCTTAGCCCAAACTTCAACTGTTTGACATTCTTTTGGCACAGAAGCATCAGGTGAAATAAAACATTTGGTTACAAACTTAAAAACTTTAATAAAATTTAAAAAATTAAACAACCTCCGGCTTTATTTCAAATTCATTAATGCCAAGATTTTTGAATGTTTTTTGTATATCAGAAAAGAGATCATCTTTTGTTACAGGGTTTTTAGAAGATAAAGACTTAAAATATTTAAAGAGAAATTAATTTGTTTAAAAGTTTCTTACAATTTCCCGTTTTAGGAAAAATAATTGTTTTGTAATATTTCTTAAAGTAATGCAACAACTTTGGGGTTTAATATCTGTTGAATTTAAATATCCAAATAAATAAACTGTCCCTTAAAAATTAAAATATTTTTGTTTATTTCAAAAAATTTAAATTTTTACCAGGTTTTGTGTAAATATTTTCAAAAGCATCGAGAAAATAAAATTTGAGTGAATCAGAATCAACACGTAATAATTTCATTGGCCTTTCTGGAATTGAAATAGGCGAAGCATCCCTTTTTCTTTGAGTTGTTGTTTTTGTCTCAATTGAAGGAGATTTTGGAAATTTTTGTTTTTCTGTTTGTAAAGTTTCGATATTATCTTCAAAGTTATTTTTCCCATTTTCAACATCAATAATTTCATTTTCAGTCAAATCAACATCATCAATATCTGGTTCGTCTAATTGAAGGGAGGTAATTGAAGTGGACGGAGTACAAGGTTGGGCACTCTAAAAATATTAAATTTTTTCCATAAAATAAAAATTTCTAGAACTTTTGAAAATTTAATGTTCTGCGTCGATTTAGACAAAGCATCCGTTTTAAAAGGATTTATACTCTGAATATCTGATTCATTTTGAGAAGCTTTTTGAGGAGATTGTTGTTGTTTATGTAAGGAAGTATTTAAAAATGGATCTTCAAAAACTTGAAAAAAAATAATTTCAAAAATCAAAAAGGAATTAACAACCTGAAACTGTTTTTTCTGTAGATAAATTATTTGTTCCAATAATATCTGCCAAACATTCGTTTAAAATATCGTCGTCTTCAACTCGAATATTTTTCTAAAAAAAGAAATAAAATATATTTTATAATTGATAAAATAACCTCGTCTGATGGTTTTTTATTATTTGAAATTGATTGAAAATGATGTTTAATTGTCCCCGGTTTGACTAAAAAAAATTTTTTTAATAAAAATAAAATTATTGTTAAAACCTTTTTTCCCTTCTTTTTTCTTTTTAATTTGTTTTTCATTTTCCTCATCGTCTTCAGAATCCTCGTCATAATATGAGGCACCAACTAAAATAATTTTAAATAAAAAATGGGAAATTTTCATGGGAAACCCCAATTAAAAAACAAAAAAAATTTTTTTTTAATTGCATTTGAGGGAATTTAAAAATTTTATTTTAAAAATAAAATAATTTTAAAGAAAATATTTACCATCATCCTCAACAAATTCTCTATAAAATTGTTTCTTTGCCTGATATTCTTCATCATCAACTTCAACATAAACATCTTGTATTAAATCATCAACCTAAAAATTAATTTAAAAAAATTAAATTTTTTAGAAAAAATAACCCGAGCACGAAAAGCTTTTCCAGTCATTCTTGCTTGTTTTAAACGTTCTAATGTACTTTGACGTGAATTTGCTTCAGAAGCCGTTGACCTTCTAAGCCGTCTTGAACCTTTTGGAGAATCTTCAGAAATATCATTTTCAAGTGAATCTGCCATCTAAATAAAAAATATTAGAGAACAGCAAATTATGATAAAATTTCAACAAAAAAATCCAACAAAAAAATTGTCGTTTTACGAATGTCTAAAATTAAAGAATTCCCTTTTTCTTATTTAAAATTTAAAACCCCTTTTTTCCATTAAACAAAAACATATTTGTTTTTATCAAAACACCTGCATTCACTTAAATTAAAATGTATTTTTTAACCGCCTTTGTTTGATTGGTCGTTCTTTGTGCCTTTTTTTATTTTTGTTGTCCAACCCTTTTTTTTATATATCTGCTCTATCCTTTCTGTTTTTCTTCATTCTAAAAATATTCTAAAAAAATTGCTTTTCAACTTTTGACTGAACTTTGCTTTAGCTAATATATTTTTGTTGGAAAAACTTTTAATTGCTTTTAAATAAAATCTTAATTTGTTTTTGCTTAAAATTTGTGTGAGTTATAAATTTTTATTATTCGCGGATTGCTTTTTCCGCGACAGCTCAGCCGGTGAAGTTAAACAAACCTCTTGCACCAATTCAAAAAAAAAAATATAAAATTTTTATAGTGGGAAAAAATAAAAATGTCTGCTGGGTACCGCACCGAAATCATTACTTTGCTTGAGGACGCAGACACACTCCTTGCAGCTCCCAAAACATTCAATGTTCCCTTGAAAGGACCCACTCAATCAAACGCCCAATTTTATGATGCCATTCAAGCTTCCCTAGCAGACCTAAATCTTGAATTCCAGAATTTGTGCGAAATAGCTGATGACCTTTCCCACGCACACACTAATTGGATGTCCCTCCGCAGCAACATGACAGGCCCCGAACGTTTGGCCGATAATTCAATTTATGACCAGTTTTACGCGCAACATCCCTATATCGAAACCCTCAACAAAGTAAAGCAATACAAACGAAAATTACGCTCATCACAACGTTTACTAGAGGGAGCGCTACCCTCCTCCTCCACTCAATCCTCCTCGCACGCTCATATACCCAGAATGAACCTTCCGTCCTTTAGCGGCAAATCTGCCGACTTTCTTTCCTTTTGGAACCAATTTTCCGCCGCTATAGGAAATATCTCTTCCCTTTCCGATGCTGTGAAACTGTCGTATTTAAAATCCTGCCTGAGCGGCCCTGCTCTTTGCTTAATCGAAGCGTTGCCACTTACTGACGATTCCTATGGCCAAGCGATCCACCTTTTAGAGAATAAATTTAATAATAAAGAAGAGATTGTCCGCAGCCTTTACCAGGCAATTAGAAATCTTCCTAACGTTAGAAGGGGAGAATACTTTAATCAGGACTTTGCTACACTTACTGACAACCTGGAAGCTATATTAATCCAATTCAAGCAACATAATTCAGATTCAAATATTCCATCAATATTAATGGACATTGAAAGTAAACTACCAAATTTTGTACTCGAAGAAATTTATAAAAATAAGGAACAACTTGCCGGGCATTGGACTACCGAAGATTTGAAAGAATGTTTAAAAAATATTCGTAAAAGAAGAGAAGAAATTAATTCAATACATCCTTCTCGGCCGACTACTTTAAGGCCAAATGTCCAACAATCGCCTCCCAATCGAATGGAAACGCCGGTAAGTAATAGATTTTCGTTACCTTTTAACAGGCAGCTCCAAACTAGAAACTTGCAACCATCTCCGCCTTTAAATTTTTCGGCGGTAGCTAATCAACAGATCAGTAAAAATCCCGGTTTTAGACACCCGTGCCTTTTTTGCAACGACCCCAGGCACATTACAACATATTGCGAAAAATTCCAAGATTATAATTCCCGCATTTCCCGACTTAATGAACTGAAATTATGTTCCCGATGTTTGAAGCCTAACCATAATTATAGAAATTGTCCAAATCCTTCTCAATGCAAAAACTGCAACAAAACGCATCCACGACCTCTTTGCGGTCAAATTCTTGCTAAAAATAATCCAAATACAAACACGCGCAAAAATCAAATCCCTGCAGCAAATTACACTTCCCGCAATTTTTACATAAATAATGCCCTCCAGCAAAAACAAACACGAGTTTATGAAAATAATCAGCAAATTAATGCTAATGAGCAATACATTAACCGATCCCGTCCGCAGTCTCTAATACCTTCTACAAGCACAGTAATAACCCCCAACCATCAAAACCAAGATTTCTCTCTCCTCCCGCAAAATACAAACATAGAAAGTAGAAATGCTGCCGAATTCTCCGCACATACTCTGCAAAAAACAGCTACCAATTCAATTAGTACACTAGCCTCTATCGCATATCCCGTTCTGTTAAAATGTGTCTTAGGAAAAATTTTTAACCCGAATGATCCGTCAAAGCAAATAATAGTCCCGTGCTTATTAGACGATGGCAGCACGAACTCCTATATTCTCTCTGCGGCAGCGGAAGCGCTAAAATTACCACTTGAACCGATAAATATACAAATAGGCGTTTTTAACCAGCAAAAATGCGCTCAATCTCCTGCTTTTGCCACAAAAATTGGCATTCAATTAGTCAACGGTCGTACGCTCACCGTTTCAACAACCACGCTAAACTTTCTCACTCATCCCTTGCCTGTAGCGAACATTAGTCCTCACCAATTATCCCCTGATTCAATACCTGCAGAATTGCTAATACAATGGAAGTCACCGATAGTTCTGCTAGGAAGTGATGTTTATTATGATATAGAACCAACTCCCGTTGCTAAACTCCCTAACGGCTACAGATTAGTGCACACGCTCCTCGGACCCTTAATTGCGGGAAAATCAGAAATAAATTCCCCTAACCGATTAAGCAACACAATTTACAGAACTCACTCATACTTTACCCAAATTTGCGAAGAACTTACAGACAAAAATTGTGACCGTCAAATAAACGACCTATTCTCGTTAGAAAACATAGGCATAACACCCCCAAACCCCGCTACAGAAAATAATGACGATACAGTACACAAAGCCTTTCTAAAAACAATAAAAATGGTAAACAAGCGATACCAAGTAGCTTTGCCTTTCAAAAGCGATCCCAAACAAATTTCGCTTTCTTCAAATTTCGGTTTAGCCTGGGGACGCCTCCGATCGACTCTCAACTCACTAAATAAAAACCCAGAAAATTTGACTAAATACAATGCAATTATTAAAGAACAGCTGGATTTAGGAATAATTGAGCCTGTAAAAAATATTAAAGAATTTTCGCCTCCCTTGCATTACTTACCCCACCAACCCGTAATTCGGCTAGATAAAAATAAAATGCGCATTGTTTATGACGGCTCTGCGCGCGAATCAAAAAACTCTCCCTCTTTAAATGACACGCTCTACCCTGGCCCTCTTTTGATGAATGAATTAATCGGAGTCCTACTGCGCTTTAGATTGCCAAAAATAGTGGTTGTCTGTGACATTGCCAAAGCTTTCCTGCAAATAGAAGTCTCCCCAACTCATCGTGACGCAACCCGATTTCTTTGGGTTTTGGACATAAACAAGCCATTCTCTTCCCAAAATATACAGTGCTATCGCTTTTGCCGTGTTTCTTTCGGTTTAACCTGCAGTCCTTACCTACTAGCGGCAACAATAACTCATCACCTCCACCAAAATCTATCCCCACTCTCGAAAGAAATAGGCCAAAACATATATGTCGACAATATACTATTCTCTGCACAAAAAACAAGCGAAGCACAAGAAAAATGTTTAAAAGCGATTGAAATATTTGATGCGGCTTCTATGCCTCTGCGAGAATTTTCCAGCAATGAAATAAATGCTATTAACCATTTACCCGACTCGTACAGATTGACAGGCTCCAAACAAAAATTCCTAGGCATACCATGGGAAACAGACCTAGATGAAATCTCTCTGCATTAAATCCCCTTCCTGAGCAACCACTAACAAAAAGAAAAGTCCTTGCATTCTTTGCCTCACATTTTGACCCTCTTGGACTGATCGGACCCTTATTGTTACCGACAAAAATATTCATGCAATCGCTTTGGAATATTACTCCCTCGCTCGGATGGGACACTGAATTACCTACAGAAGCTGTTAAGGAATGGACCAAATTAAACAAAAATTGGAATGCCTCCTCTATTAAAATTCCCCGTAGGAATTTTTCCTTTGATCCGACTAATATAACCTTCCAATTACACGCTTTCTCAGACGCTTCGCAGATCGCCTTCGCTACAGCAATTTACTTAAGGACCACAAATCTAACTAAAAACGAGGTAGAAACCTCGCTACTTTTCTCGAAAATTAAAGTAAAACCAAAAGCTAAAGCTAAAAATTCCCCATACACTATTCCCCGACTAGAATTGTTGGGAACACTAATTGCAACTCGGGCCCTCAATTTCGTGCAAAAACACCTCTCCCCCTCTATTAAACTTGAAGAGAAGTATTTTCTGTGGACTGACTCTTCAACGGTAATTAACTGGCTAAATAATACTGAAACAATCAACGACATTTTTGTCAACAACAGAATTTCTGAAATACGATCCACTAATAATTTAATCGTCCAACACGTAATTGGAAAGGAAAACCCCGCGGACCTAGCCACAAGGGGCGAAATGGACATCAATGCTTTTCAAAATAACCATTTGTGGTGGTATGGCCCAAGCTGGCTGACTTCTTCTGATTGGCCAGAACACCCGCAAGTTAAAAAATTTTCATCTGAAATATTTAAAAATAAAATTGAAAAATTGCCCCCGACAGCCCCTCTAGAGATTTATTCATTTTCCAACGCAATTACTATAGAAGAACCTGTTTTCCCAATTTTTCGGTTCTCTCGCCTCCCACACCTATTGCGAATTACAGCATATGCCTTGCGATTTATTGCCAAGACAAAAAATACTCCGCTCACTCTTTATGCAAATAGCGACGTTTTCCGATCCTCCTCCCGAACAATCAGCCCAAAGGAAATAAACGCTTCGCTTTCCATTCTTCTAAAACTAGAGCAAGAGCGAATGCCACCTGACGACAGTGCCTGCTTATCTCTCGGCATATTTAAAGGAAATGACCTCTTATTACGTTGTAAAGGAAGAATGTCCAATAGTTGCTTGCCTAATTCAACTAAATTCCCCATTTATTTGCCACCACATTCTGAATTGACTAAGCTCATTGTTTGCGAAACTCACCTACTAGGGCAACATACTAGTCCTTTACAGACACTGGCACTCATCCGAAGAAATTATTGGATCCCAAGCGGGCGCCGCACAGTAACCCACATATTACACAATAATTGCTTTACCTGCCGCCGATATACTGCCAAACCATTCGATTTACCCAATTTTCCCCCACTCCCCGCTGAACGAGTAAATCCTGCTCCTCCCTTTACCTTCGTCGGACTAGATTTTTGTGGGCCGATATACGTCCATACCTGCTCAGAATTCTCAGCTAAAAGCGCCGATGCTAGGCGAAATAAAAAGAAAAGCGAACAGACAAAAATTTGGATAGCGGTCTTTGTTTGCCTTGTCACCCGTGCAATTGTTCTAGACATAGACCCCGACCTAACAACTCAGTCATTTTTTGAAAGTCTAAGGCGATTTTTAGCCAATCACGATCCAAAAACGATATTTTGCGATAACGCCCCGACTTTTAATCACACAAAAAAGGTATTAAATCTGCACGCAGCTAAATCCGACCCAAAATTTAGCGCAATAAAATTTAAATTTCGATGTCCAATGGCAGCTTGGAAAGGTGGTTTTTATGAAAGAATTATGGCAATAATCAAGCATCATCTAAAACGGACACTCTCTAAAGGCATTTACCCAAAAATTAATTCGTTAAACTCAGTGCGCACTTGCTTAACAGAAATAACCACAATAATAAATAGCAGGCCAATTACTTTTGACTCCTCAAATCCAGCAGATCCTCGGCCACTTTGCCCAATCAATTTTCTGCAGCCATTAAGAGAAATTAAACCTTTGCCATTCCCAAATACCGACGCACTGGAAGATCCTACTTACAATCCCTTGCCCCCCAGTGACCCATCACACTTGCTTAATTTGTGGTCCAAGCTTAGCACCGCATCAAAATTATTTTGGAAATATTGGAAAGAAGACTACCTTACATCGTTACGTGAAAGATACCAAAAAATTACCCCAAAAAATCAAAAAACCCCAATGATAGGAGATCTGGTTCTTATCTCTGAAGATTTTCTTCCACAATCAAGATGGGTAACCGGCATAATTTTGCAAATTTCAAATAATACACTCGGCCAACCAGACAAGGCCAAAGTACGAATCATTTCCCCATCGGGTAAGGGTCGAGTGTTCGAAAGATCAATCGGCCATCTTTGCCCCCTCGAAACACAAAAGGAAAGTGAAGAAAGAATGTGTGAGCCAGCAGCTAATACGAATGTGGGTGAAACAGCAGCTAATACAAAAGAGAGCAAAAAACCCAGCACCCTTTGTATAAAGCAGATAAGCTAAAAATAAACTTTAAATAAAATAAGTAAATTGTAAATATTCCCCCTTTTGTAAATAAATGTAAACAAATTGGAATTCCCACCTGCCTACTAAACCATAAAAATTTTACTATAAATTAAACTAATCATTCTTCATTTTAGCTTTTTGCTGCTTCATTTTTTAATTTAAAAATTTACTTCAAATTCATTGCGATGGGATCTATTATATCCCTTGAGATTTTTTCTGCTGATTTCCTTATAACCCTCAACACCCAAAAATCTAATGACCACTTATATATAATAATAGGCCTACTTATTTTTGCTTTAATTTGCTCGAGCCTCCTTATAATTTACAAAATCAAACAAAATTGCAAAAACCGCCAACGAAATGCCTGGATTCCTCCACCTACATTAATGGCCATAATTTTAATTCTTTTAATTTGCTCCCCAATAATAGAAGCTGGAAATCCCAAACGTAATTCCAAATTGCGCAAAACTGTAAAATGGACCGGGAAAGCTTCTGCCAGCCTTTTAGCCTCCTCTGCTGCTTATTTGGGTCTTGACTACCTTGCTGCATACTTACTCGACAACCCAGATCTAAGCTCACTAATTCTAGCAGCAATCACCCTCCTTATAATAACCCTTCTTGCAGCAATAACCCTTTTTGCTTACAAAACATTCACCGCACGCAAACGCCCTGAACCGCCCCCAAACAATATTAAAAATTTGAATGAAAGCGAACTAAAAATTTTAAGGCAATTAGCCTCTCAGGTTAACAATACGCCCCAATAATTTAAATAAATTTCAAATTTTTAATTTAATTTTTTTAACAGCCTTATGCCCAAGGATAAAAAATCTTCCCTCGAAATTATCTTCCAACATCTTAATTTACAGCAAAAACCTAAACCGGAAACTTCACCAGCCAAAATACAAATGGAACGACCAAAAACACCCCCTTCACCTGCTCTTTCCATTGAAACAACCATTAGTGAGGCACAAAGCCCAGAACCCCTCCCAGAACCTAAATCCATTATAATTGTTTCTACTGAACCCAGCAAACCCAACAACGACTGTATTGAACCAAACAACAAACGACCAAGAATTTACCCCCCATCAAATACAACAACTCCACCAGCCACTAATACAAATGAAAAAACAACGGCTCCAAATAATGTTTACACAAAAAAGCACCTACTCAATAATTTACCGGTAGCAAAAGCCGTCCTTGTCCATAGAGGTAATGAGACATTTTCCACAAAAAATCCTCTATTTTTTAATTTATCCGGCCGCTCTTATGGTATTCAAAATGGTGGTTTTGGTTCTCCAATTCGAAATTTGGCTGCTGTTGCTCGTCCACCACCCTTAATGTCTATCCGCATTCCTGGTCCACCAACAATACAACGCCTCCCTCACCCTTACTTTAACAACAAACATTCACCAACATCATACTATTGGAATAAAAGAAATTGAACTTTCCGTTGCTGGGAATGTCGTTTTACGAATGTCTAAAATTAAAGAATTCCCTTTTTCTTATTTAAAATTTAAAACCCCTTTTTTCCATTAAACAAAAACATATTTGTTTTTATCAAAACACCTGCATTCACTTAAATTAAAATGTATTTTTTAACCGCCTTTGTTTGATTGGTCGTTCTTTGTGCCTTTTTTTATTTTTGTTGTCCAACCCTTTTTTTTATATATCTGCTCTATCCTTTCTGTTTTTCTTCATTCTAAAAATATTCTAAAAAAATTGCTTTTCAACTTTTGACTGAACTTTGCTTTAGCTAATATATTTTTGTTGGAAAAACTTTTAATTGCTTTTAAATAAAATCTTAATTTGTTTTTGCTTAAAATTTGTGTGAGTTATAAATTTTTATTATTCGCGGATTGCTTTTTCCGCGACAAAATTTACGAAATTCAATAATTTTTGTAATTTGAAAGCGCGCGCAACCATTTCTTGGACAGTCTTTTCCACGGCTACCCTACAAAACATATTTTTTTAAAACATCAAACGCTCAAAACATCTAGACGGCTAAAGAGGCTCAAAATATATTCGCTCAAAACATCAAACACTTAAAATATATTTACGGTTAAAAACGCTCAAAATATCAAAAAATATTTTTTTAATTAAAAGGGACAGTTGAGTGCCCTATTTCCTCCTTTTATCAAGGGTGAATAATGTAGTACTTCAGGACCAATTTTTCATGAGTTCGACGTGCTGAGTCGACTGACACCAAAATCAGCTCGAATGGATGATTTTTGACAAAGTTATGACCAGCAGAATCTTCGCTGGAAAAACTTTTTGTGCTGCTACGGAGGGTAGGCCGGGCATAGTCTTCGCTACACGATGGCCGTGCTTCGCTACGGTCGCCGCTCGCTTCGCTCGCGGCGGCCGTCGTTCCGCTCGACATGCCCGGCTTCCTCCGCAGCGGCAAAAACTTTTTTCCGCGGACTCAACTGTCCCTTTTAATTAAAAAAATATATTTTGATATTTTGAGCCTTTTTAGTGTCTAGATATTTTGAGCGTTTGATGTTTTGAGCGAATATATTATGAGCGTTTTTACCCGTCTAGATGTTTTGAGCGTTTATACCCATCTAGATGTTTTGAGCGTTTTTACCCGTCTAGATATTTTAAGTGTTTGATGTTTTGAGCGGGCACGCTTTTCCACGCCATAATCAAGTGTGAGAATTTTTATTCTCAATTTCTAAATAATTTTAATTATTTTTAGCCTTTTTTTAATTAAAAATTTTTCTTTTTTAGTATTTAAATATCAATTTTGCTAAAAATTATGAGCAAAGATGATACCGATGATAATAGAGATAGTAACGACAATGACGGAATGCTTTCATTTCAAGGACAACAATTAAAATTAAACACAGAAGAGGATGGTTGTTATTAATTATTTTTTAAATTTAATATTAAAATTTTTAAAGGGGAAAAGATAGCTGAAAAAATTCGAGATTTCCCCAGATTAGTTACTTTTGAAATGCGTGGAAATACTCTTGGATTTGATGCAACACTTCCAATTGCTGAAGCACTCGAGACGCATCCTACATTAAAAGTTTATATTTTTTTGTAAATTAATTTTTGCTTTCTTTTCTATTTTAGAGAGCTTTGTGGAGTGATATGTTTACTGGAAGGTTAAAGGAGGAAATACCCAAAACTTTGGTTAATTATTTTTTGAGGAATTATTATTTTAAAATTTTAGAAATGTCTTTGTGATTCGGTTGGTTTAAGTGGAGCCAGGCTTAAAGAATTGGATTTAAGCGATAATGCAATTGGACCAATGGCTGTGCCGGGAATTAGAGAATTCCTCGCTGGCGAATCTTCTTTTGAACTTGAAATTCTTAAATTAAATAATTGCGGGCTTGGAATTGCTGGAAAGGTTTATAGAATTTTTGTTAATTTTTTAAGTTAACATAATAGATATATAACAGGGAATTCAAATATTTCTAGGTTACCAAAATCAGGCCCGTAGCAAGGGGGGGAATTCCCCCCCCCCCCCCCCCCCCCGAAATGGGGAAAAGGGAAAAATTTGGGGAAGGGCTGGGGCAAAAAAAGTGAATTTTTTTGGCCTACGACCTTTGAAATTTTCAAAATTTTCGCCTGCGGCGCTGAAAATCAAAATCCCCCCCCCCCTTTGCCCCCCCCCCTCCGGAAAAAAATAGTGGCTACGGGCTTGATTAAAATTACCTAACACTTTGCTAATTTTTTGATAAGTGACAAAAATTTTTTTCCTTTTAAATTTTAGACAATTGCTCAAAGCCTCATGGAATGTCACAAACAATCAGTTCGTAACGAAACTCCTCTTCAATTAAAAGTATTTATTGCTGGCCGTAATCGATTAGAATATGAATCTACAACAGCTTTAGCAGAGGCATTTAAAGTATTTTTATATTTAAATTTAAAAATATTTTTAATAAAATTTAGGTAATTGGAACTTTAGAGGAAATTTCAATGCCCCAAAATGGAATTAGAGCTGAAGGAATAATTAAATTAGCAGAAGCTATAAAAGAGAATCGATCATTGAAAAAACTTAATTTGGGTGACAATACTTTTGGAAATTCTGGGGCAATTGGAATGGCTGGGGTTTTGAAAGATTTGGCACAACTTGAAGTTTTGGACTTTAGTGACTGTCTTTGTAGAGATAAAGGGTCAATGGCTATTGCCAACAGTTTAGCTGCCTCTAACTGTCCATTAAAAGAATTAAATTTATCTGGGGGAGAAATAACTACAGATGCTGCCAAAAATATTGTTAAAACTCTTCACACCCTTACAAGCCTAAAATCTCTTAAAATTGGTGTAAATTGTTTTGGATCAGAATTTTCTTCATTTGTTGATTTTGTTGAACCCTTTGGATTTGTTGACCCCGGAACTGAAAGGTTTTTTTTTATAATTTTAGGAAAAAATATTTTTTAAAAATAATTTAGTGACGACCAAGGCACTTTAAGTGAAGTTTCTGAAGATGAAGAAGAGGAAGATGATGACTGATTAAAATAAAAGTTTGGTTTTGTAATGGCATTGAAAATTAAAGTTTTTTTTAAATTTTTATAATTGGATTTGTGTCAGTTTAAATTTTTAGTTTATTTTTTTAAAAAATATTTTTGTTATTAATATTAAAATTTCTCCTCTATAATTTCCCTAAAAATAAAGGGAAATATGAAGTTTTAATCAAAAACAAAAAAAAATTTATTTTTTTTAGAATCTTTAAATGACACAATCTATTTGTTACTATAAATATTAATTTTTTGTATCGTTTTTTGATGATCTTTTTTTTTAAATAAATTATTTAAAATAAATTTAAAAAATATTTTATTAAATATTGAAAAAAAAATTAAATTCCAATTTAATGCACAAATTTAAAGTTTAAATTATTTCTGTCTTCTTTTTTCTAATCCAAAAGCAATCTATCAAGTATTACAAATAAAGAAATTATTATTAAAATAAATAGAAAGCAGATAAAACCAGAAAAGAAACGTTTTTTGTTTGGTGATTGAAAATGTAAAAATTGAAATGCTAAAAAATTAAAATGATTTTTTAATTAAAATTAATTTATATTTACTTCTACAACAACAATAATTTGTATTATTTGAATTAAATTCCCTTGTATCAATTTCTGAAACATTTCTAGTATAAACTGGAGGTGATTCTTCTGTTGGAGGATTATTTGTTGTTGATAAAGAAGGAAATATTCTACATAAAGAACCTCCAAATGGAGAAATAAACGTAAATTCTCTTGGTTGATTTTCAGATAATGCCCTTCTAATTGTAGATAAATTGTTGTTATTTCTTGTAGCTTTACTGTAAGAAGGGGGTGGATGGGCACATTTATATAATTCATCGACTAATAATTCAATTGGTGGATTGACATTAATTGAATTTAAATTGGTGTTTGAAGTAGTATTTTGTGGTGGTGGTGGAGGGATATACATTTTTTGAATAAAATTTTTAACTAAAATGTGAAGAAAAAGATTTGATCTATTTAGGTGAACAGTTATTTTTAGTGGCCGTTTATTAAGATAAATTAAATATTTTTTAATTAATTATTATTCTTTAGTGTGTTTTCTAATAAATCCCCAGATTTCAGAATTTTTAAGGAATTGTAAACAAAATATAAAAAATATTGAAGCAATCTTTGTTGGAAATAATAAATAATACATATGTATATCATTCGATGCTTGTTAGTAATTTCATTCAGAGTTAGTTAAATTCAAAAAATAATGACTTTAAAAATATCAGCCAATACTCGTTATTAAAATGAAGAGTAGAAATAATTTAATCTAAAAAACGGCCACTAAAGGAAAAAAATAAATTTAGGTATATATTTTTGATAAAAAGTCTTCCTTGTTCTAATTACCAAACATACATAATTTCCCCGTCATAATTTAAAAGAGAAAAACTTAATTAACAAAAATAATATTTAGAAAAAAAGATAAGAAAAAATTATTTTTCTTTTAAATAATAACAACATTAATATTTTCACAAAAAACTAATGATATCATTTAAAGAAAATTAATTTTGGTCTTTAATTTTGGTAAAAAAAATTAATTTTGGTAAAAAGTATTTTGATTTAATAAATTATTTGGTAATTGATTAAAGACATTTATTATGAACTTTATTTTTTAAATTAATTTAGGTAATTAGGTAAATGGGGAAATTAATTAAGGAAATAATTAATTTAAAAGAATATATTTCTTCGTTAAATAATTCTAAAAATTAAAGTTAACTTTAAGTAATTTTAATTAATTAATTTGTGTGTCTAAAAATGTGATTGAATTATATTTAAATATTTTTAGATAATATAAATAAACTAAAAAAGAATTTTCTGATAAGCTTTTTGACAATATAAAAATTTATTTCTTTTTTTTACTTTAAAATAATAAAATTATTTATTTATTTATAGCCGAAGAAAAAATAAAAATTTTAAGAAAAAAAAAATTTTAAACAAAAATATTTTTAATTTTCAAACAAAAAATATCCGAAACTATTTTACCTAAAATTAATACAAATTAATGTTTGTTGTTATTTTTAAAAATATTTTTTTAAAGAAATATATTTTATTTAATTAATTAAAATAATCACAGCAAAAAAAATTAAGTAAAATTTCTGTAAATTTATTGTACACAATAACTTTTATTTATAAATAATAATTATTTAAACGTTATTGTGTACATATTTTAAGTAGATAATTTAATTTAAAAAAAAATAATTATTTTCTTCTAATTAATTGTTGATTCGGTTGTTGTTTTTAAAGGAATTTCTTTATTATTTTGTTGTTGTTGAATTACCCAAATAATACAAATTAATATTAAACAAAATAAAAATATTGAGGCGCCGGCAAAAAGTCCACGTCGAATCCAAATTCGTTTTGCTCTGGATCGGCGTTGAGAATATACAAAAATTGTTGGTTCTGAATAAATTAAAAAAGATTTTTGAAGGACTTAAATATTTATAAAATAGGAAGAAATTACGTTCTACAGAATAGACTAACATAAAAAGAACGAGTTATCACAGATCAAGTTACTATAGATCAGTAATAAATTATTTAATTATTGTTAAATTTAAATAAATTTGTTTAAAATATTAACTAATTTAAAGTTAATTTAATCCTTCTAATTCTTAATTCCCCTTTAATTTAAAAATACTTAGAATAACGGAGTTATTCAATCAAAGAGAATACAATCAAGTTGTTCCCTCCTTTTTTATTAGAAAAGATTTGATAAAAGAAAACCTGGTTTTTTAAGTTGTAAATCAAAAGTTCCAATAGACTGTCCAGCCGGACTTATTGTGTAAATAGGGGAAGTAGAAGAGGAAGTTTTATTTAATTTATTTGGAATCATTTTCCAAAAATTATTTTTTTCTTTTTTATTATTAATTGGGTTTATAGAAAAATTTTTTAGGTTAACTTGTAAAGAAGGAGTAGGTGGAGGAAGTGGAGAGAGGTTTGTTGAACTACTCATTCTCTCACTTTTTACTCTCTTTTTCTTTTTTTTCTTAAAATTTTGTTAACTTTGAAAAAAATTTTTTGTTGAAATGACAAAAGACGTGGAATTTATTTATATATTGATTGCTTAAATTTCTTTTTTTTGTTTGTTAAGAAATAAATATATTCTTTAAACTTTTTTTTCAAAAAAAATATTTAAAAACCGTTAATTGAAAAACAAAAATTATTTTTTAATTAAAAAAAATAAAAACAAAAAATATTTACATATTTTAAAATACTAACAATAAGTAAAAAAGAAAGTTTTCTTTAATTTAATAGATAAAAATTTAAAAAAATTGGGACAAAAATTTAAAGTTTTAAATTTTTATTTGAAAGAAAAGAAAAATTTGATGACAAAAAAGAGAGTTTAAATAAAAAATTTGTTCCTCTAAAATAGCCTACTAAATAAGGAAATATCACACAAACATTCTTTTAAATAAATCAATTTAATCAGAAAAAAATGAATCATGAGTAAAAAGAAAAAAAGGAAATTGAAAATTAAATAAATTAAATTAAATTTATGTATTAATGATTTTTCTTAGTTTTCTATGTTATGTTAGCCAGATAAATCTGAAATTTTTATATCAACCCATGGTGGCCTTTCCAAATCACCAAAAGGGGGCATGACGTCTTAAAAAGAGGATAAAAAGGGGCATTATTTTAAAAACATAAAAATAATCAAAATTTCAAATAAAAAGTTTAAACTTCCATATTTTTACCTAATTTTACCTCAATTAGACAAATTAGGATCAGAAATAAAGAAATAATATGGCTGAAAGGAATTAAACTAAAGATTTATTCCTGATTTTTCGGAGAAGAACAAATAATCAAACAAATAAATTTAACAAATATCCCTTTTTCAACACCGGTGATGGCAATACAAGATCCATCTTTTATCACTATCCATAACTATCAATTTTCAAAAAGGTGGCAAAAAATTTTGAAAATTTTGGAAGACCAAAAGACAGATTTCTCCCCTTTTCAGAAAAGATCAAAAAGGTGGCAAAAAGGGGGCGAGAAGGTTAAAAAAGAAGCAAATGCCTCCTAACTGAGGCAAAAGGCCACCCTGTATTAATCTCGTAATAAAAAGTATATATTATTTACTAAACCTTTTTCAAAAATTTTATTTAAAATATCAAATAATCTCCAAAAATCTTCATTTTTAGTTTTTTGTTCTTTAAAAAATAACAAATTTTTATTTATATTTTATTTAAATTTTTTCAAAATATTTTAAATAAATCAAACCAAATCTTATTTATTTATTTTTTCCTTTTAACAATTTAAATCAAAAATTTTTTATTTAAAAACTAGTTCTCTTTATTTAAATTTATATAAATGACCTTTCTCTCAAAACAATTTATTTTATTTTAATTTTCTTTCTTTTCTCTATTAAAATATTTGCAACAATTTCCGCGCAACAATTTTGAAAAGAGATAAAAATTTAAATAAAATTACAAAAAAAACTTGTTTTTCTCCTAAATAATTTTGCTTTATAAATAAAGAGGTTTTTCAAAAAAAAATTATTTTTCTTAAAAATCTTCTTCCAAAATAAATTCTTTTAATTTTTCTTTTTAAAAATGGGAATTAAATTAGCTACAACAATTTGTGCCCTTTTAGGGTTTTTAACAAGTATTGCCTGTTTATATTCTGGTACTTGGCTTTATAATGAAATGAATGAAATAAGAAAAGAATTAAATGAAGAAATGCAAAATTTTAAAGAACAATCTGATGAAATTTGGAATATTTTAGTAAAACAAAAAAGAAGAGAAAAAAGAGCAGCTTATGATGAGGCTGATAGTAATTCTTCTGATTTAACTGAAAATAATAAAAATAAAGTTGATGGAAATGAAAAAGAAAATAATAATAATAAAATAAAACAAAGTGAAGGATCTAAACAAAAAATAATTAAACAACAAAAACAACCCCAACAATCACCTGCAAATAAATGTAAATGCTCCGAAAGAAAATGCCCTGCTGGACCTAAAGGTCCCAAAGGTCCGCCAGGAGCGAAAGGATTGGATGGATTACCTGGAGAGGTGATTAACGATTTAAATGAGATTTTAGGTAAAAAGATAGTCAGTCACTAATAAACGTCAAAAGTACTAATTTTTTGTGAAGAAAGGAAAAAGGGAAACTTTACAGGGAATTATACTCAAAGGAAATATGAAATAAGTCTTACTACAAGGGTTGGATTTACTTTCACTTCTGCAAAATTATGCCTTTTTTTGTCCTCCGCTTTTATATTTTTTCCGCTTTCCACTTTTTTAAATGCAAAATTATCCAGCCCTGTAACTTACCTACAAAAATATCGCAGATTATTACATAACCTCTAGTAGTAATATATTAAAAGAAATTGTGGAAATTAGATAGAAAAATTTTAAAAAAATTATTTTTAGCCAGGATTATCTGGAGCATCTGCAGATGATGTTCAGGCTCATGTTCAACAATTAGATAAATGCTTCCATTGCCCACAAGGACCTGCTGGTCCTCCTGGCCTTCCTGGACGACCTGGTAATTTTATCCATATTATTATGTATATAATATGGCACGATTTTTGAGGATCCAAATTTTAAGGATAGGGACAAGCAGTAAAGGTCGAGTTTACCTAGCAAAAAATGAGGAAAAGTTTTTCGATATTTTTGAGGTTTGCCAGTAGATAGTCGAGTGTACTATGTTCGAATATGTGTACTTTTTAAATTCATGTGAGAAAAATTATGTTCAAAATCCTCAAAAGTCGGGTAGTAAATAAAAATAAATTAAAGGACCAAGAGGAATGAGAGGTGGAAAAGGACAGCCTGGAGTGCCAGGAAGGGATGGACAACCTGGATTCCCTGGCGGGGTATAAATTTGAAAAAATGTAAATAATAAAAATAATTATTTCAGCTTGGTCCACCTGGAAAGCCTGGTCCGATTGGAGCAATTGGCGAGACTGGTTAATAATATTTTAATATTATTTTCAGAGACATCCAAGACCAAAAATTTTCTGAGACTCGAGACCAAGACCAAACCATGACCCAAGACTAAGACTTAACCCTAAGACTTATGACCAAAAATTAACAAGACTCAGACAATTTTTTTGTCCCAGAGGCCAAATTTTTGGTTTCAATTTCTTTTTTGGTTCAATTCCTAGGGGTGTAAGTTTAAAAAAGCTCAAAAAAGTCGAGACTAAGACCATGACTGTACCCCAAGAGCAAGACCGAAAAAAATCCAAGAAAAGTCGGTTCTTTATTAATATCCCGCCCCCCACCCCTACTTGAGTCTCAGATTAATTTTCCTTCCTTGCTGTCAATCATTTATTTTTCCTCCTTTTTTAATGCCAATCATTTTCTTCCCTCAAATATAAGACACCCAAAAGGGCGCGCGGCCATAAAGGCGCAAAGCCATAACTTGCTTCATGGTTTTCGAACCTTACAAAAATTAATATTAAACTATTCCTTTCAACGAGCTAAAGAGATTGATAACAAAAATGACAAGGCCCAAAAATATTACAAAAGGTTATGGCTTTGCGCCGTTATAGCTGCGCGCCTTTTTGGGCTGTACTCCTCAAATATCTTAAGTTTCTAACTTGCCTTTTACTTATAATATTCGAGGGAAGAAAATGATTGGCATTAAAAAAGGAGGGGAATAAATGATTGACAGCAAAAAAAGGAAAAATAATCTGAGACTCAAATAGGGGTGGGGGGCGGGATATTAATAAAGTACCGAAAAGTCTTGGAATCAAGATTCAAGATCAAGAGTATTGGGCGTCTCTATTATTTTCTGTTTAATGTATTCTTAAGGAATTACTGGTGAGGATACAAAAATCTTTCATGGCAGACCTGGCTTGAAAGGACCTCCAGGTCCTATTGGTGACCAAGGGGATATTGGACCACCAGGTCCTGAGGGAATGCTTGGTCCACAAGGACCTGAAGGTGATAAAGGCGAACATGGCATTAATGGGAAAAATGGAGAGGATGTAATTTCAATTACATATTTAAAAAATAATTTTATATTTAAAGGGCGAACCAGGTCAAGGAGGAGATGAAGGAGAACCTGGTGCAGATGGTAATATAAATGATATTTGTTAGTTTTTAAATATTTTTTTAAAAATAGCTGAATATTGCCCTTGCCCGAACCGAAATTCTCCCCTATTTAATGCTGTGAAAAAGGAATCAGCAAAGAAAGTAGAAAATACTGCAGTTGAAAGAAAAGGTGGAGATGGTCAACAATTAAGAACACAAACACTTTCTTCTTCACAACAATACAAAAGGCGATTTCATAAACAATGAAAGATAAAATAATTCGAATAATTTTATATGATTGAAAGATTTTCAATTGTTTTGATTATTTGTTTAATGAGAGAAGCTAAAAAATGGTGTTTTTATGTTGTTCCGAGAACTTTAGGACCCGGTTCTTAACGCATTATTTGCATATTTCGTTCCACTCGTGCATATTTGCGTATCGGAGCATATTTTGTGAAATTACGGTCCATATTTCGGCAAAATTTGCTAAATTTTATTAAAAATTGGTTAAAATTTTGACAAAAAATAATTTTTTTCAAAGAATTTAAATTATTGCTCTATAAATAATTACTCTAAATTAATTTTAAATTCTGAGTGTCAAAATTAATTTATTTATCTAGCGGAAAGGCTAAAAATGGCCTTTCACTTAAGCCTTTTTCCTATTCTCGCTTTTTTGAACTTTCGTTTTTCGGTGTTCGTCTTTCGCTTTCTGACCGGCGGCGCTCAATCGGCTCTCAACTGGCGTTCACGACTGGTGAGGCGCTCAACTGTCCTGTCCGAAATTATAGCTAATTGATAATTCAGAATCGCATTTTTCAGTCTCAGGCGGCCATATTTTGTTGTTTTCTATATACTACATACATATTCAGATGTTTTATTTTTTGTGTGATTTCTCTTCTTTAAAATATCTTGGTACTAGTTTGATGAGACCCCAACTTTTTTATCTTTCAATTTTTTTATTTTTTATTTTTTATCATTCGAAAGAGATCTTTTAGCTGGGTACGGCCCACCTTGTCGCGGGCCACCTTGTCGCGACCACCTTGTCGCGACCACCTTGTCGCAGGCCATCTTGTCGCAGGCCCACCTTGTCGCAGGCCACCTTGTCGCAAGCTTTCCTTTGATTTTTATTTTAAGGCTGGCCTAAACTTTGCTCGCCACGTGCCGTACTTCATCCCACGGCTATAACGATTGGAAATACGAGAAGTTTAGAATTTTATTTTGTTTTTTTAGGTTTTTTCTTAAATTTTGTTTTGATTTCCGTTAGTTCTGACTGGCGATTTTCATGTTCACATTTCTGAAGGGGTAATCGTGAAGAATTGGGGATACACTTTTAAAAATTTTAAAAATTATTATTATTTTCTGAAAATCATTTTATATAGGTAATCGACCATGCTGATCACGAATCCGATATTAGATTTTGTCAAATATGACATTTTATCTATGATTTTTATCATGTACTTGATTCCCAGCTAAAATTCTGTTGGTCATAACTTTGTTCAGAATCATTCAATCGAGGGAACTTATATGGTTTGGGTACTCTTTTTTTAGCCACGCCCTCTTTTCCTTTTCCCTCACCAATCAACCTTAACATGGACAGAATGGTCAGCCTTTCTTTCTTCCTCGATTTCACTCAATTTTACCTGTGGCATGTTTAATGAGTGACATAAACAAAGAAATGATTAGTTTTTCTTTCCAATGTCACCCAAATAAGAATTAACATTTGAATCAATATTCTTATTTTCATCTATTTCAGTTATTTAAATGTCAATAAGTACCTGGGTTTGTGTTTAAGAACGAATGGTCCGGTACTCTTGCGTTTTTAAAATCATATAATTCTCGAAATATTGACCATTTCACCACTTTTTAGACATTTTTGGACCTTTGTAACTCAGCTCATTGTCAGAGATATTTAGCCACGTAAAATGAAGCCCAAAAAAAAAACTCGATCGGGCCGGCCCGATAAAAATGTGGCCCGAAAAATGACTCGAACGTCGGCCCGACTCGAAAACCCCAGCCCTAATCTTAAAAAAAATTGACCTCAGCTGAATTGATTGATGGATGAGTAAGAAAATGAGTTAAGAATAATGAGGAAAAGGAAAAAAGGGGCGTGGCTAAAAAAAGAGTACCCAAACCATATAAGTTCCCAATCGAGCTTATTTTGATGCCATTCGACTAGGCTCGCCGAGCTCTTTCGAATGAGGGGTCATTTGTATAATCGAATTTTTTGACCCCAAAAATTTTCAAATTTCAGGGGTCTGTAACTCGGCCAAATGAAGTTGGATTTCGTTGATTTTGGTGTCGTTCGACTCAGACCGAGGAGCTCTTTCGAATGAGCTAAATTTGTATAATCGAATATTTTATCCCAAAATCGACCTTACTTCCCCCTATGGTTTTTCGATTTTCGGGGGCCTATATCTCTGCGAGTTTTCGTCCCCGGCAAAAAATTTTTGAATATTTGAACTCAGCATAGTCGATTACCTAAGTAAAATGATTTTCAGAAAAAAATAATAATTTTTAAGATTTTTAAAAGTGTATCCCCAATTCTTCACGATTACCTCTGAAGGAACGAAGATGTTGAAATTAGGAGAACATGACTAAGAAAAACAAACCCAACGACCCTGCTTAGTGTCACAAATTTAATAAGTGAAGCGCGACCTTATCCGGGTAAATTCTGCCGAATTTTTTAGCAGGGTAAAACCGAACGAGATTACTCCAGAAAACCCCGATCGTGCCCAGAGGCCTTTTCCTACCCTCCATGGCAGCTTAAAAATTTTTCACCCCTTGCGACAAAGTGGCCTGCGACAAGGTGGGCCTGCGACAAGGTGGCCTGCGACAAAGTGGTCGCGACAAGGTGGTCGCGACAAGGTGGTCGCGACAAGGTGGCCCGCGACAAGGAGGGCGTGTCCCCTTTTAGCTGAGTCAAATTGCACTAAATCACCGAAAAACAATAAACTGAAAAAAGTCATGACATTTTATTTAATCCTTGCAGCGGCACAAAATCTTTTACAACCAGAATTTAGCTTAATAATTTTTTAGAATCATCAAATCTAGCAAATCATGATATCATTCGACACTACTTGAAGTGCTCTTTCGAATGATATACAATAAATTATATATAAAGCAATAATAGCTCAAAATGATCAGGGAAGTAGGAGGGGGGGGGGGGTCTGAACCAAACCATTACCATATTTTTTTGAAAATAATCCTTGATAAAATTACTATGTTCATATTCAATTTTATTTATATAATATTTGTATAACGTCTCGTGGAATGTGTAGAAAAATTTAATTAGTATTGAATAGAGTTTTTTTACTGCTTTATCTAGCCAAATCATTTTAACTTAATTGAACGAAACTATATTTAATATTTTTTAGATAACCTATTCGTTTTCTATTTTTTCCAAAAATGGTTGGTGCTGACAATGAGTCAAATTTTAAAATTTCTGCTGTAATTGGATTTACTGTGCCTACTTCTAGTCTTCAAAGACAAACCCCAATATCTGGTCATTTGGAATTTGATGCGGATAAGAATTCTCTTATCATTTCATTCAAATATATACGCAAAACTGTTAGTTGATTTTTTAAAATAATTTCTTTTTAATGATAAATTTGATACTATTTTTTGGGGATCATTTACGCCCTCAGTCCAAAAGTTTCTTGTATGGGTCAACGTGAAAATTAGCTCATTCAATGAGAGGGTCAATCTAACATTAAGTCTATGATGGCCGCCGCCACATCTAACCTATGAGGCTGCGGCGAGGCGCTTAAAATTAGCTTACTCCCTCTTCTCTCAATCTTCAAATGTCCTTAACTCGAACTCTGTGGTGGTTTAACTTCCCCCACCCCTAGTTCGACTCACAATCAGTGCTTGAAGGGCTTTCGAATGACATAACACTTCTATATCGATATAACACTATTATATTCGACCTTGGCAAAAATTGTCTTATACTTCCCCAGATCCCCATTCTTTTATATGCATCATAATTAAACAACATTTTTAAGGTATTTATACCAATGAACTGCATCGTACCGCCAACTAAAGAAACTTGTCCTCGTGGAACTATTTATACTTTTGACTTCGACATTCGTGATTTTAAGTACAAGCAATGTTTTCTCAGAAACATGTCTGAGGGTGACAAAAAATTACTACATGATCACATAATAAAAACTGTTGGAGGTTTGTTTGATAATTTAGTTACCTCTTAAAATTGTGTTTTTAGTGAAAAAGAAGTTGTATAATACATCGATTTCAAGCACCAAATGCGCTGTGCCAATTGAAGCTCTAAAAGTTGAAGAATCGAAAGGTTGCTTGACACCTAAACCCCCGAAAAGAATTGTGCCGCTTGGTTATGACTCTCTCCCTCGGAGGCCCAAGCGTGTGATGCCACCTGAATTTCAAAAAGTTGAGGACTCAAAACGAGTTATGACTCCTGAACCTCAAAAAACAAGTATGCTGCAAGATTTTGAGTCAGTTCCTGAAGAATACATGCGCGAGGATGTTCGGACAAGATTGAGTGAACATAAAGAAGTGCGGACAGAATTTTGGGGAAAATGGGTAAGTGTTTATTTAAAAAATTTTGTTGGGTATTAAAAATTAGGAATTTTTACGATTTCGTTATTTTGAAAATTTTATTTTGACTTAAGAATGATGATGAGGTTGTCAACGATTCATGTGAAGAAAATCCTTTTTCACCTCAACCTTTGAAACGTGTCATAACACCTGAACCTCTGAGATTAATTTCGCCGCCTAATGAAACCTCTCTTCCTGAAGAATACATGCGCGATGATTTTTGGGATAGATTAAGTAAAAACAAGGACGTGCGGACAGGAGTTTGTAGAGAATGGGTAAAGGTTTGTTTAAAAATTTACTTTTTATAAGTTAAAAATTATGACTTTGAGTGATCTGGAAAAGTTTTGTTTGTGTTCATATATTGTAATTTGTGCTCAATTAGATTTTATTTGTCTTTGACACCATTCACCGGTTTATATTACATATCAGGCTACCTTTTTGCAACCTTTGATATTTTAATGCTAGTGGGACCACCACACTTAATAGGTCCTACCCTTGAGTTATTTTTATTGTACATGGATGAGATGTTTTAAATCTTTTTGTTATCTCGCTTTTAGAATATAACGGGACTAGTCGGTTTCGAACGCACATAAAATCTAATCCGTTTCTAATTAAAGGAAATTTGATGTGTGCCAAAGATAAATAATTATCCTTTTAAATACTTTTCGAATTTTTTTTTCAGGGAAAAGAAGGACATTTAACATTTGAAGCGTTACTCTGTCTGCGTGATGGCGAATGGGTCAACGGTGATGTAATTGATGCATATCTCCAACATATATGTAGACGAAATGGTACTAATCTTGTCCCCTCTGATATAGGTACTTGTTATGTTTTCTATCTATGAACGTAAGTTTAAGTTTGTAGTACTCTCATTAGCTTATAATCCTTTCATCCTATTACTAATAGCAAATATTTTTGCAATTCGTCGGAGGCTAGTTTGTATTTTAATTAGCAGTATTGTGTTTTTTATTTGACATTAAAAAATAACCCGTGAAAAATTGCTATTTGGGAAGGGACGATAATATTGCCGACGAAATTTAAATCAATTTCCAGATAACAAAGAAAATACTGATGATTATGCTCCAGATAACAAAGAAAATACTGATGATTTTGCTCCAGATAATAGAATTCAATATATACCTACATATGCTTTTGCTCGCTACAAAAGAAAAAAACAAATCAGCTCGAAGTGGTACTGGAAGATGGAAAATGTTGAACTTGTCTTGGCTCCCGTGCATATCAACGAATGCCACTGGGCTATGTCTTTCGTAAAAATGCAAAAGAAGGAAATCATAGTAATGGACTCTATGAATAATGGAATTGCTGGAAGCACGAAAAAGGATTTTATGAACACACTTTTGTAAGATTTTGATTTTATAATGTTAAGTTCTCTTTTTTTATATTTTGTTAGGACCATTCTTATGGAGGCTGCTGATCAGTTTGCAATGGATATAGGCAAAAGAGAAGACTGGACATTAAAAGAATTGCTAGATGTACCGCAACAACGAAACGGAATAGATTGCGGTATTTTTTCCCTTCTATATGCGTATTATGAAGTTGATGGAAGATATATGGACTTTACTCAAGAACACATTAGCTATTTTAGAAGGAAAATATGTAAAGAGTTGTTACCAAGCCAATCACAATTATCTTAATTTTTGTTTTTCTCATTTTTTCTATGACCCAGAACTTGCAATTTGATTTTTTGTTTTTGAAATTTTCATTAAAATATTTTTGTAAATAAATTTATGAGTTTTAAATTTTGTGATCGAATGGACAGATTCCGATATTTTTTGCTTTGGTAAATTATGACATGAATATTCCACTTTTGAAATTGTAGTCTTTTGGCTATCTATATTTTTGCATCAAATTTTAATAAAATTTAAAAGGTTTATTTTTTATCTAAAATTAATATATTGGACTATTTTTAAGTAACTAAGCTTGGAACAATAAATAATTCTATGAGTTCAAAAGAACCAAGAGAGCCAAAACCGATTCTTAATTCGTTGAATATACTTCAACTTATTAGAACTGCTCAACAAAAGCATGGGCTTCGTCATGAAAACTATCAACGTTATAGGTTATTTGAATTTTTCGTTTTTAAATTTTTTAATTTTTAGGGGTTATTGTGCTAGGAGAGTGGAGCGAATCAGAAAGTCCTTAAAATTCACTCATCACTACAAATGTCTGCCAAAGCGTTCAGGAAAATTTATAGCAAGAACTGTTACATCAGATCTTGTTGGCGATAAAAGGTTTTTAATTTTTTAATTTTGTAATTTAAATATTTCTTTTATTATTTTTCTTGATTTTTAGATATTTAGAACTTATTGTTTTCGAAATTGAACGATGTTGGGCTCATGCTATGGAATTCAAATTTGAAGCTCTCGATGATCCCTTATCGCGTAAAAAATTTGGAATGCGACAAAAATTTCGTAAAGCAGCAAAATGGGCACAATTTTTGTGTGGATTAATTAAAGACAATGAATTGGTATTTTAAAAATTTTTCTGATATATTCTTAAAACATTTTCCACAATAGGTTGAAGAGGTCACAAAATTGGAGTCACGGGCCTATATTTCTTTCATCCAAGGGAGTCTTGAATTGGAACTTAGAAACTGGAAGGAAGCTGCCGAGCAATTTGATGCTTCAAGGTTAATTTTAAATTTTTTGGTGGAATGACTTTAAAATATATGTTGAACGAAATTTGCAGCGTGCAATAAAACTAAAAGTTTTTCCAGTTTTTGATTTATGGAAATTTTAGATTAGCCCAGTACAGAGTCAAAACATTAGAGCATTTAGAATTTTCTGAATAAAATATATTTTAGTTTTTTTTAAATTTTTTACTTCTGTCAATCCAAAATTCGAATCTGTATATTTTGGGTTAGCTAATTGAATCCTTGGTTGAATTCGGGGACCTACGGCAACTATAACATATCAAAAATTCTATAAAAAAATTTTTTAAATAATAATTCAACATATTTAGAATTGCATATACAGCTCTTTTTGAACAACTGAACGAGCCGTCTTTTTCTGAAATTTACTTGACAAAGTAAAAAATAGTTTTCTCTTTATATTTTAGATAAAAAATTTAGATGCCGCGAAGTTGAAAATCTTTTAAAATTATGTCGGAGTGAATCAGGTGACGCAAGTGTTTTGATCTCTACTGTTAGTTCTATGCAATTAAATGCTTCAGAGAATGAGCAGATGGATGTTGATAACGAGGTTTTTTTTAGAAAATCTTTTTTTGGACTTATCCCAACTTTTGTGTTGGGAGAAGTGTGCATTTGAAAGGCTTTTGAAAAGATATGTATCGAATAAGGGCGTAACCAGAGTCAGATTTTTTGGTGTCGAATGATACCAAAATCGAATATGTTTTGATGATAACCTTTCATCGTAATAATTCCTCGTTTTGAGATTTACTTGTCATACGTGATTTTATGAACTAATGGATGTTGTGGGAAAGGGTTCTGGAGAAAATTCTTATTTTTTAATTAAATATTAAAAACTTAAATTTGCCTATATTTTATAAATTTTTATTTTAAATATTTTTATATTTAGAAGCCTACTCTACCTTTAAAGACAAAAAAGAAACAAAAATTTGGAGGAAAGCCTGCTCCTGTTGACCCTTTATTTATTGATTTGGCACGTAATCATCTTGACATTAAGGTTGGAAAATAAAGTTTTTAAACTAAATTTAAAATAAACATTCTACAGCCTTTTAATAAACCCTCTGATGCTTCTAAATGGTTGGGGTGCAGGCGTGTTTAAATAATTCTAAAATTTTCTTGCTTTGTTATCTATATAAATAATTGTTTTATATTCACTTAAATATGAGAATAAATAATTTTTGTTGATAATGTAAATAATTTCAGAACCTTTTCTCAAAATTTGGGGTTATTAAGAGTTTGTTTTCTCAGAATTATAAGTAAAAAATAAAATTATTTTCGGGTTGTAAGGTATTTTGTTTGTAAAATGATTTGTCTATGTATAAATATAGTGTTTTGACCCTTACTCAACTAAATCATTTAAAGTTTTTTGAGCAAACAATAAGTAAATTCTAAAAATATTTATAAATGACAATTATAAACATACAAATATGGCAAGACCGAAAATGTTTTTTGTATCAATTAATAACTAACTACATATCCAGGCTATTTTGTCATGGCTTTCAATTAATTGCTTTTAAATTCAAAAGCTTCACGCCTTTTTTGATTTAATTGCTGCAATTTTTGCTGCTTTTGCATGCTTGAGCATTTTCCTTGAACCACCGGTGTTGTAAGACTGTTGTGGAGAAGGTGCTGCAGCCGGAGCGGCAGCAACTGCCTCCGACTGATATGACTGAGCTGCTGGTGCTGCTGCAGTTTCAGTATATGCAGGTTGAGCTGCAGGGGCTGCTACCGGCGCAGCTGGTGCTTGTTGTGCTTGGTAACTCTCGCTGCCTCCTCCTTGATAGCTACCACCACTATGTCCTTCGACACCAGTCCCTCCACTCTGGTAGCTTCCGCTGCTGCTCCCTTTTACACCGCTTGAATAGCTGCCTCCGACACTGCTTGAATATCCTCCGCCACTTCCTTTTCCACTGCTTGAGTAACCGCCGCCGCCTCCACCACTAGAATAACTGCCACCGCCGCCGCCTCCACCACTAGAATAACTTCCACCGCCGCCGCCTCCACCACTAGAATAACCGCCACCACTGCTACTGTAACTACTCCCACTTGTTCCACTTGTTTTTCCACTTGAGTAGCCTCCACCGCTTGAATATCCACCTCCGCCACTGTTTACACCGCTAGAATATCCTCCACCACTTCCTTTTCCACTGCTTGAGTAACCGCCGCCGCCTCCACCACTAGAATAGCCGCCGCCGCCTCCACTACTAGAATAGCCGCCACCACTACTACTACTGTAACTTCCACTTGTTTTTCCACTTGAGTAACCTCCAGATTGCGTACCACACCCTCCACCGCTACATCCACCTTTCGAGGCATATCCGCCACCACCGCCTCCACCACCACCCGATGAAGCATATCCTCCACCACTAGGAGGTGATGCATATCCACCACCTCCACCGCCACCACCTGATGAAGCATATCCACCACTAGGAGGTGATGCATATCCGCCGCCTCCACCGCCACCACCTGATGAAGCATATCCACCACTAGGAGGTGATGCATATCCGCCGCCTCCACCGCCACCACCTGATGAAGCATATCCACCACTAGGAGGTGATGCATATCCGCCGCCTCCACCGCCACCACCTGATGAAGCATATCCACCACTAGGAGGTGATGCATATCCGCCACCTCCGCCTCCACCACCGCCACCTGATCCTCCACAACCTCCACTGCTGCAACCTCCTCCACCTCCACCACCGCCACCCGATCCTCCACAACCTCCACTGCTGCAACCTCCTCCACCTCCACCACCGCCACCTGATCCTCCACAACCTCCACTGCTGCAACCTCCTCCACCTCCACCACCGCCACTTGATCCTCCACAACCTCCACTGCTGCAACCTCCTCCACCTCCGCTGCAACCACCACCACCACCTCCACATCCACTGCTGCCGCCACATGCACTACTTTTGCCGCAACCTCCTCCACCGCCGCCTCCACCAGATGAAGCATAGCCACTTGATGGTGGAGAAGCATACCCTCCACCGCCGCCACCACCAGATGAAGCATAGCCGCTTGATGGTGGAGAAGCATACCCTCCACCGCCGCCTCCACCAGATGAAGCATAGCCGCTTGATGGTGGAGAAGCATACCCTCCACCGCCGCCTCCACCAGATGAAGCATAGCCGCTTGATGGTGGAGAAGCATACCCTCCACCTCCGCCTCCACCAGATGAAGCATAGCCGCTTGATGGTGGAGAAGCATACCCTCCACCGCCGCCTCCACCAGATGAAGCATAGCCGCTTGATGGTGGAGAAGCATATCCTCCTCCACCGCCTCCTCCACCTCCACTGCTACATCCTCCTCCACAGCCTCCACCACCTCCTCCTCCACCTCCACTGCTACAACCTCCTCCACAGCCTCCACCACCTCCTCCTCCGCTGCTACAACCTCCTCCACAGCCTACACCACCTCCTCCTCCACCACCACAGCCACTACTTGTATATCCAATTGATCTTAAATTTGGAAATAAATTGTGATTTTATTTTCGTCTTAATATTTTTATTTAGATTGTTATTTACTTTAACATACTGCCACAACTACTTCCGCAACCACCACCGTCTCCTGAGCTACATCCTCCTCCACCTCCTCCACAGCCACTACTGCACCCGCCGCCGCCACCACCGCCACCACCACCACAGCTGCTTCCACAATTTCCATCTCTATATATTAAATTAATTATTTTAGTTAAGGCTAAAGTATTCACTCACCCTAATCTTGCTAGAGCAACAATCAGAAGTGCCGCAAAAATAGTCTTCATTATTTACGTTTTCTTTTTGACCTCGATTTTGTAGAATGAATGAACACTAAATTTGTTTTAATGTTTTCACGATGCGTTTTATTTTTTTTGATTTGTTCTGCAAATTTATAGGAGTGTTTTATTTGTTTGCCAAGAAAGGTTTATTTGATTATTAACGAACAACCCTCTTTCTCTCTTTGGGTTTTGTCCAACATCCGTTGTTGAATTATTTGCCCGCCTCCTCCAAGAAAAAAACCTGGTTTAATACTGCTTCACTGACAATTGTTGTCTGATTAATCATTAGTACACAAAGGCATTAAAACGTTCATTGAAACACAGCGAAATAGAAGGAAGGGATCACTCTTTACCACCCCTAAAAAGAAACAACGTTTTGTTGATTCGTTGTCTTTTAACAGCTTTTTTCATTGCGCGTTTCTTTGGCCTAAAAGCAATTATTCAACAAATTTTTTATTTCCATGTTTTCTTTTTTTACTAATTTTCCTCTCTTTTTTGTCCATAACCTTTTTTTGTTATGAAAGGCCATAAATGAAAGAAAACATTTTCTTTGTAGAAAAAGAAAACATCCATTTATTTAGCACTCTGGATGAAATGGCGCGACGATAGGAAAAAAGCTGGTTTTTCTTTTGTTGATTATGCGCAATCATTGCCTTTGAAGAAATAGAAATTTGCAAAAGAGGGAAATTAATGGAATTAAAGAATTTTATTTGTTTTCAATTAAAAAAATGTTTTTATTTTTAATAAAACATTAATTTTTATTTATTGCATTCTTTTTGAATGTGAAACTGACAATTATTTGACGAGAAAAGAAAAAAAAATTGAAAATGAAACCTTTTTATTTGGAACAAATTTTTGAAAGTTAAATTGCAAAAATAATATTTTTTATTATTTCGAAAAATACAAAAATTAATTTTGGTAAAACTTATAGAATGTCGTATGTATCACTCATGAATATAGACAAAACATATGTCAATTAAAAGAGCTCGGAGAGCTGAAATAAATCGAATGACACCAAAATTATGAGGAGCTCGCAACTCTGGGCCGAGATTCTGTATCGTAACTTTGTCCAAACTTGTTCAATCACGGTGATTTTAGTTTTTTCAATATTTATTCTTGTTACGTCTTCTATAGTTTTATCATAACTTGAAAAATTATTTGTAAAATACGATAAATAGATTAAAGACAAAAAATCTGCTAAAAGTTTTTAGATAAAAATAAGAAAAAAACAAGTAGATTAACTCAAATTCTAAATATATTTTTTTAGTTTCCGGTTATTTGATGTGAAAGTCCATTAACAACGAATAATTTCATGGCTTAAAGGATAAAGGAAACAAAATTTTTATCCAAATTCTGTTTAGATATTTTTCTCACGTTTCTTTGTTTGCGCTAATTATGTAGTACATTATTATTCTTTCGCAGATTTAAGCTAATTAACATAAAATGTTTTTTGTTTGTATGTTATTAGAGTCAATGTTTGTTGTAGGAAATGATAAGTTGGAATGAGTTATTAAAATTATTTTTTAAAATAATTATTCTTTAAAAATATTTTAATAAGTAAAAAAACCATTCTGATGCTTTAAAATCTTTAATAACTAGATTTTACTTCTGACAAAATTTAAAGATTACCATATCTACAAGCCAGCTATAAAAACTTTAGCGATACTGTGAAAATAAATTATGATAAAAATTCTGAATAAAATTTTAACTTTTAATCCAAATATTCTTCAAAATTAAGCCTCTAATCGCCGATTCATCCGGTTTTTTCGTAATTAAATTATTTGCGCAGGAAATGTGTGTTGCCTAGTAAATTTTATCGGTTCAATGGAAAATGATGAAGCGACATCCCATAAATATAATTAACTCAATCCAGTCGAACACCTATAAAATCATTTTCCATTTGCGTTCTAACCTCATTCTTTGGTAAAAAAAAGCTTCACTTTTTTAAATGAACAAAACAATGTCCAAAAGGACAAGGCGGTCAGAAAATTTTATTCCTTGTTTTTCTATTTCTTCGTTCACACGATATTTAATAATTTCATTGTTAATTTCATTATCACAAATTGGAATAAATAATGCTTTTCTTTTTGGAGGAGGAGGAGGCGGCGGAGGTACTTGTTGGTTTGTAATAATTTTTTGGATGACTTTCAAAACTTTAAATTAAGTTGCTGCGGTGGTGGAGGCCCACCACCACCTCCACCTTGTTGTCCTCCTCCACCATCATGCGGTTGTGGAGGCGGAGGAGGTGGTGGAGGAGGCTGTGGGGGTGGGGGAGGAGGAAAAGTTGTTGGTTAGTAATTTCGAAACCTTTGATATACATAATTTTTGCTTTTCTAGTAGTTAATTGTGGAGGTGGAAGTGGAGGCGGATGTGGTGGCGGTGGTGGAGGGTGTGGAGGCGGGGGAGGAGGTTGCGGATGTGGTGGAGGTGGCGGGGGAGGAGGTTGTGGATGTGGTGGAGGCGGCGGAGGAGGAAGTTGCGGTTGTGGAGGAGGTGGCGGCGGAGGAGGAGGTTGCGGTTGTGGAGGAGGTGGCGGCGGAGGAGGAGGTTGCGGTTGTGGAGGAGGTAATTTCTAAAGTAATTGAGAAAATATAATCAATGACTGTTAATTGTTGTTAGGGTTAAAGGACTAATAATGTTAAGTGAAAAATTAGGACTAGCCTTTTGTTAATTCTAAAAATAAAAAAAAAAATAATTTATCATTTCAGGCTGTTCAGCTCCAGCTCCACCACCAGCGCCTCCCCCACCATCTCCTCAACTAACATTAAAGATTGGATGTGAACCAGGCAAATCCTTTTAAATAATGACCAAAAAATTTTAACTTCAGGCTGTGCTCCTCCAGCACCCCCTCCTCCACCACCACCAGCCCCTTCGTGTGGTTGTGGCGGAGGCGGAGGTGGTGGAGGTTGTGGATGTGGACGGCGGCGAAGGAAGAGAATGGCAGTCCAACAAAGGATATACAACAAAAGAAAATTAAATTAAAAAAACGAAATTTCAAAAAACAATCACTTTTCATTGTTTTTACATATTTCAAATATTAATTTTATATACATAAAGTTTTAGGAAATATAGAACTGCCACACTTAATATATCCATATTATGCATATTTAAATTATTTATCTATGCAATTATAAAACAGTATAATTTAATTCAAATTGAAATTTGGTAAAAATTCGAATTTTCAAAAAAATTGAAATTTGCTAAGAATTTGAGGAGCACCTCCAATGTCACGTCTCATTAAACGAACACCTGTTAACAATTCAACTGGCTTTGGTAAAGGTAATTGTGTTGTTTGAACGATTGGAGAAATTATTTTCCCATTGCCTAAAATTTAGTTATATCAACTATTTTACCGTAGGGGTATTAAGAATTTAGAATTGCTGAAATTTTGGTAGGCCTTAATTATCATATTTATGCCTTACGGTAAAGTGGATTGTCCCCCTAAAGGCTTCCAATTATTTTTATTTTTCTCACCAATTTCCATTGCTTCATTCTCTTCAAAACAATTAGGAGGAGGTTTTGGAATTGTTTCATCGAAAGTAAAATTACGTAAAGCATTATTAAGTGTTTCAAGTGCTGCAGTTCCAGTCTCTGTGTATTTATTGAGTTTTTCTGTAACTCGCTGTAAAATAAAATAAATATATATACATATTTTTAAAATAAAAAATATGAGAAAAGTTTAATTTAACGGGTGAGGGGACAACTCATTTGTCAGTAAGGAAATTAAAAAAAAACTCCCAATTTTTAATTAAAAAAATCAAAAAACTTAACAGTAATTTCCAAATTTTGATGTTTAATTAATTGTCTCAAAGTATCCCTAGCCTGTACAGGTCTATATTCATTAATTAAATGATGTATATTTATAAAAAGTGTTCGAATTGTTTCTATTTTTTCAATTCTTTCTTCATTATCCGGACATTTAATTAAAATTTCTATCAAATCCAAAAAAGCAGCAATTAAACTTCTATTTAATTTAAGTAATTCTGAACGCCAATTTCCACTAGCAGAATAAAGTTGTTGACATCCTGTATCAGTTAATGAAGGCAATAAAGCCTTTAAAAGAAAGTATTTAATTATTTGTACACAAAATTTCTTTTCTTACTCCTTCCAAATCAAAAGTTTCTCCAAAAACTTCAAATTTTGTTGGAACTGGTGGAGGTGGTAATACTAATCCTTTTGAAATATTTTCACTTGTATAACATTCTGCAAATATTGGAGGTGGGGGAAATAAATTAACATTTTGAGGTAATGGAGGAGGATTTCCCGTTCCTGATGATTGACTGGCCATAAATTTTATTTTAAATTCTAAGAAATAAAAATATTTTGCTTAATTCGGGAAAATATAAAAAGTGCTTTTTCTTTATAAAAATTTTAATTAAACAAGTAGAAATAAAAATAATATTTTCTATTGTAAAAACAAATATATTAAAAAATTAATTTAGAAAAAATAATTTATTTATTTTTAAATAAATTAGAAATATAAAAAAACCCTAACACATTTTACAAAAAATTAAACACACACATAATTTAAAACTAAAAATTAAGCTTGAAGGACAGGATGTATATTTATGGATATTTTATTATCTTTATTTAAATTCTCAGCACACTTTAAAGGCGTAAAATTTCCTTTTATTTCTTTCATTCTTTTTACATTTGTGTGAAGAAAATTTTTAGAACAAATTCCGGCTATAAAATAAACGCTTGCAGGGATTGCCCATCTTTGGGCAGAAAAAATAATTTTTGTTTGTAAATGGACAGAATGTGGACTGAGACGAAGAAAATCTCCGTGACGAGGGCGGCAATAATCAATTGTTTGGTCTGGATATTCTATCTAAAAATATAAATTTTAATAAAAAAATATATGTATATTAAGTTAAAATTGTTAAATTTTTTATTTTAATAACTTTTTTACGTTTAATTATTTTTTTTCCTTCAAACATTATTTTAAATGAATTTTCGGAAAGAAATAGTCTACCTTAAACTATCCCAACAAAAAAATTATTAAAAATAATCGGTAATTTCGAGCTTGGTCCACCTTTCTTTCCTTCCCTAACACTAAGATTTATCAAAAAAAATTTTAAAATTTAATTTACTTGAAACCGAAACCGTTCAAATTCTTCATCCGCAACATTTTCCAGTAAGCACCTAACCAAAATACTTGTGGGAAGACCGGCCACAAAACGGATAATTTCATTATTTTGAAATTCTTTTGTTGGCTCAAAAATCTTTAAAAAAATAAAAGAATTTTTTTTTAAATAAAATTTGTAAAAATTATTTCTTCAAATTTCTTTTTTAATTAACAAAAAAAGAAATCAACAAAAATTATTTTCTTTTATTTTCCTCTTCTTTATTGTCATTTTGTTAATTTAAAAATACAAAATGAGACTCAGTTGAGAGGTTTTTTATAAAGTTAAAAGAAAATTGATTACCCTAATTGATTTAATATTTTGATCGCTATAATTTCTTGAAGTGCCTGGACTCGTCCAAAGTTTTTCTCCAGAATTAGAAACATCAGGAGGTAATTCTATTAATGGACGCTTCTTGTCCTCAAATTCCTTTTAAATAAAAAATAAAGACGAACGTCGAGGGAAATTGGGAAAACTAATGGGAAAATATTGAACAGGTTAAACTAAGAAAATCGTTCAAAAATTGTAAAAGTATGAAAAAAATGTTTGCTATAAAAACCTCAATTGGCGGAATCAAACTTGGCCAAGCCCGTTGCAAATACCGATAATGTTTCAAAATATAATTTGGAATCAACGAACAAATAACCGGATATTGAGAAGCAGCATTAAGAACAAGAATTAATTTAGCTAGATCTTTTGAAAGAAAATAATTTTAAATTAAAATTTAAAAAAATAAATACAAAAATCATCTTCAATATTTTGTTCAGGCATATCAAAAATTGGATGTACTTCGAGTAAATCAGAAACATGTGCTTGAACCATTGGTGCATGTCTTTTTCCAATACCACCCAAACAACTAAAAAAGAAAATGGTTAGGCTAACGATTTTTATAGTTTCTTTGTTTTTTTTTAATTTTAAATATCCCAATAAATATTTAAAATGTACATATTTATATAAAAATTAAAAACCTATAAATTGAGTATTTATCCATTGGAAATCGTCTAAGAGATTGAAGAAGCTTTTTAAGGCAATGCATTAAAGATAAAGAATCAGAAAAATTAGCTTTAACAAGTAAATCATGTAAAGCCAACCGATTCTCAACTGTGGCATCCTAAAAATATTTTTTAATTTAAACATAAACACAAACAAACATCCAAAACAGTCAAAATAATGGGTAATTGATCTCTTTCAAGAATTCCTTGGGAAATAAATGGAATTAAAGCTTTAATTGTTCCAACATTTATAACTAAATCATCATCGATTGTTTGGATTAAAGTACTGTTCATTTGTGTAAATTCTGCCTTCTTAATCATTGCTGACATTTTATTTATTAAAAATATTAATTTTAGAATTGAAATCTGAAAAAAAATAAAATAATTAATTAACAATTTGATTGAATGAATTAATAAAATTTACACCTTTTATAGAAAAATTAAACCGAAAAATTGTCAAGAAAATTTTTTCCCAAAAATTTCGGAAGTCCCAGATGAGTCCCGCTGTTTGAGTCCCCACCCAAAAGGGGACGATTGAGTCCCCCAGCATCGTCATTTTTATTTCTGAGATTATGAATGAGAGTGAAAGTTTGTACTAGAATGAAGTTAATTTTTAATGCTTTCACTATTTTTTAATAATTATTAGAAGCTTATTAAATTTAAGATATCGAATAACGAGTTTTAATTGATAATACATACATATAATTTTTTAACTTTTAAATTTGTAAAAAATATTTTCGAAAGATTAAAATAAATTTGAAGAGGTACTTAAAATATATATTCTCTAAAAAAATATCCCGGTAATTCTTCGGTTGTCGCCCCCCTTGTTTTATGATTCCCTGACCATTTTGAGCTTTTTTGCTTTGACATATAATAATTTATATATCATTCGAAAGAGCTATCCGAGCTGAGTTGATTGGTACTATGATCGGTTAGATTTGGCAATTTTGAACAAAATTACGAAGCTAAATCCTTTGTGTACATGTTTTTGTGATGTTGAAAGGGATTAAAACAATTGCTCATAACTATGTTGATTTAATTCAGATTTCGACGATTCTAGTGCCGTTCGACTCAGCTCGAAGTGCTCTTTCGAATGTATATAAAAGTTCATAGAAATTTCATGGAAAATGTAAAAAAATAGAACATAAAAAAAGGGGGGGGCGACAACCGAAGAATTACCAATATCCCCATTTATCTACAAATTCACATTTATTCAATAATTAATATTTCATCATTACTGATATCTTCATTACTTATATTTTTTATACTTCCATCATCACAATGTCTTAAAAAATTACATAAATGCTTTAAACGGCGTTCCTTGCTGCGGCGATTTTGAAACCAAACCTTTAAAAAAATAATTTTTTTAATTTTCTTTTAAACATTTAAATACCTGAATTACGCGCATACTCAATCCTGAATTTTTTGCCAATATTGCACGTGCATGTTTTGAGGGTTTTGGATTGTTTGTAAACATTGTATTTAGCATATCTAATTGTTCTTGGCTAATTGTTGTTCCTTTTAAATTAATTAAAATTAATTTTTGAATGTTAGTGGAAACAGTTTTTATTTAATTAGAAAAGAAAATATTTTAAAAAATACAAAAAAAGGAAAATATACAAGAATTATTTAAAGTTTAAAAAAATATTTAATTAATTACTTGGACCACGTCTTTTAGCTCCCTGAATTAACTGTTGAAATTCTTCTTCTTGTCGCGAAAATTGTTCCCCTGCTGCATACATCTAAATATTCATATACATAATTATTTACAAAAATTTTATTTACTAAAATAATTACTCTGAGTAATTATTGTTTTAATAATGTTTAGAAGGGGTAATTATAAATTATTTATTTTCAACCTCTAGCTGAAGTGAGTAATTATTTGAGTAAATATAAGTTATATTTATTTTTCAATTTTTATTTTACCTCAAAAGGATATTGTGGCACAGTTAACGAAGCATTTTGTTTTAAAAGTTTTTGTTTTTCTGTTTTCTCTTTTTTCTTTAAATTATTTTGAATTGATATTGTTGTTGTAGATTTGCTTGTTAAATTATTTTGTAAAAGTGTTGATGGTAAAGACTTAATTTTAAAATATTAAATTTAAATAATTAATTAATTACCTTTTCATTTAAATTATTTTCAAAATTCCCACTATTTTCTAATTTTTTTGGAGAATTATTTATTTTTATCTCTTCCAATGCCATTTTGAAAACATTTTGTTTTAATATTTTCTCTGCAAGTTCTGTTCCATTTAATTTATTTTGTTGCTTTAATTTAAATTTTAATTAATTTTTATTTGTTTTTTAAAGTAAAGCAGAGCTGGGGGCTATAGGGGGGGTATAGAGTTGTTGATGGTAAAAACTTAATTTTAAAAGATTAAATTGTTGATGGTAAATTATTTTGCTGAGGAGGAAATAATAAAGAAATTATTTAAAAAATTTTTTTTCAACTTTAGCTAATGCAAAGGGCCTTCATCCGGACGTGCTTTACACCACGCCGTCTACTGCATAGTCTTAGGGAGTAAATTTATATATGTATGCTTGTTTACATTACCTTATCTTCATTAAATTTATTTATTTCAATTAAATTATTATTATTTAATGTTTGTGAAGAAGAAGGAATTAATTGAATTAAAGAATTATTTAAAAATAAATTTAAATTATTTTGTTGAGGAGGAAATAATAAAGAAGAAGAAGAGGGAGAAGAGTCTTCATTAATTAAAAAATGTGAGGCACAACAAATTGTTTTATTTTGTTCATTTATAATTATTTGTTCGCCTGGGGATAATAAACGGCCACATTGAATACAACGATGACAATTAATGTGATAAACAATTCCTGACTTAAAAAAATATTTTTTAGATTATTTTAATTAAAAACCCCCTTTCTTTTTGAGAGGGGGGATTTAAGGAATTTATTATTTTTAAACAAAATTTACTTTTAATTTATACACAAAATCACTAGATTGTATAGGTAAATTACAACCAACACAAAAAGTTGTTAAAGTTGAACAAAATTGTCTTTAAAAAATATATTAAATTTAAATTAATATCTAATTTAAATTAACTCTAAATAATCCATTTCACAAAATAATTTTCCTTCTCTTTCAAAACATTTTTGAAGTTTTATAGAAGAATAATTAATTAAATTATTTTTGTTATTTTCAAAAATTAGAGGGCAATTACAAATTGAACAGCGAGCACAATATTCGTGTAAAAAACGTTCAGGGGAAATCTTTAATTAATTAAAAATTAATTGATTTTAAATAAATTAATTTAGATAAAAAATATTAATTTTTTTTAAAAATAAATGTCAATTAATTAATTAATTCACTAGCCCTCTCCTCTTTTTTCTTAATTTTTATGGATTTTTTAGTATTTTTATTTTAAAATTGAATACGTGTAATTAATTTTTTTGTTTATTTAGATAATTAAAAAAATAAATTAATTAATATATAAAATTTTTGTTTTAAAATAAAATTTTTATAAAAAAAGAATTCAGATGGAGAGAGAGAAACTACCGTATTTCCTATATTAGAGCCCCATGGGGCTCTATTTTTCAACTATCCTCCAAGGTGGGGCTGTATTAAAGGGTGGGGCTCTAATTGAGGGTGGGGCTCTATTTTTCAACCCTCTTTTGAGATAGAATCCCATTTATTATATCCATTGCAACTAGAGATAGGCCGGAGGGGTTGGTTGATAAAACCAAAAAATATCGAAAGACAATCGATATTTTTCAATTTTTCAAAAAAATTAAAATTTTATAAGCAATGAGTAACGAAATAATCGCAATAGTTCAATGAGGGTAAGATTAATTATAAAATATTTGTAGATTTTGACGGATTAAAGGGAATATTAGGGGACTTGTATTTGACATTGATGGATCATATATAGGTATACAAGCGATTTTAAGGGATTATGGGGAATATCAGAGGATTAATTTTATATTGAGAGATTTAGCGGGGTTAAGAGTGATATTTTGAATGAGGTATTAGTAGGCATATGAAGGGATTTTTTTGTGAAGAGGGATATCGGTGATATAAGGGATATCTATCGGGGATAAAAGGAATACCCACTATATCTCTTCCTTTTCCCCTTAGTTAATCCCTCATATTTCCCTTAATCCTTATATCCCCATGGCCCTTTATTTCCTTAACTCTTAATAATCTTAAAAATTATTGGGATATTTTTTATTTTTCCTCCAATATTTTTAGGTGGGGCTGTATTAGGGGTGGGGCTATAATTGAGGGTGGGGCTCTATTTTTCAACTACCCTCCAAAGTGGGGCTGTATTAAAGGGTGGGGCTCTAACAGAGGGTGGGGCTCTAATATAGGAAATACGGTAATTCCAGTGTTTGCCTCAATTAGAAGGTCTCGATCTTTTTCTTAACATAATTGAATCGGAAATATTTTAAATAAACAAAATTTAATTGATAATTTTAATAAAAAATCTTTAGAATGGAGTTTTCTAAAACAATTTTTTGAATTAAATATTTATATTAATTAATTAATTAAAAACATTTTATATTTAAACAAAAATATTCTTTTAAATTTTTAAATAATTAAATTAATGCCTGAGCTAAATGTCTATCCAATATAGGTTCTCCACAATTTGTACAATTATATATTTGAGTAAAAGATTGATTGCTACGCTGAAAATAATTAAAAAATTTAAATAAAATATTTAAAATATATGTTAATTGTAATTTAAATTTTTTAGTAGTCTAATTAGAAAAAAAGCTAATTAAACTTTTTATTTAAAATAAACTTACTTTTATTAAAAATAATTTTTTTGATTTTTTTCTTTTAAATTGATTTTGCTTCTTATCTTTATTAATTAAATTTTTATTAATTATTTTCTTTTTCCCTCTTATAAGTGATGGCATTTTGTTGTATTTAAGTAGTAATTAGATACACAAGATCAGACAACTTGGCCCCGAGAGAGACGTGCTATATCGAGATTTGACTTTATATAATTAATTTAAAAAAGTTAGAAGATTATAATTTTCTATTTATTTTTATAATTCTCCTGATTTTCCTCAAAATTAGAAAAGAAAATCAAATTTTTGAAAAATATTTACAAATTATATTTACAAAATTCCTTTATAAATTAAACATATAGTTGGGGCTAAATAATTTAATTAAATTGATATTTTATTTTAAATTGATATATATTTTTGTAGATTACCTTCTCTTAATTATTAGAGATAATATACAATTTAATTTTAAGCTAGTTTTATTTAAACAATACTACAAAAAAAGGATGTAAATTGTCATAAGTATTTTTCAAAAAAAATTTTTTAAAGAAAACAAATTTTCCTTTCAAAATTAATTTAAAATGCATGAAGAATTAAAAATAAAAATTAAGATATAAACGAAAAATTGTTATTTTTTTATTAAAAAATAAATATCAAAAAAATAAAGCTGAACAAGCCAACCAACATCTTCAGATGATCGGATTGATGTGTTATTTAGTACATCATAAAATTAACCATATTCCTTACAAAAATTGGAGAATAAAAATTAAATTTTATTTAAAATTTTATTTAAAAGTTAAAAATTTTGGAATTTATTTAAATTAAATTTTGGAAAAAATATATTTATTTAAAAATTAACTAAATAAATATAAAATTAATTTAAAAAAATGTCAAAACCTTTTATTAAAAATATTTTTTTTGGATTTGACAGATTTGTTGTTGGAAATATTTTATATTTTCAAAAACACTCCTCCTATCAAAATCCACTAAAATTTACTTGTCAAATAAATATATTTATTTATTTATTTATTTTTACTTGTCAATTTAATACTTTAATTTTCATGCCCATTTATTTCACTCATTTTATCCTTTATTTTTGCAAGGAATTGCATGTTATTAAATATTATTTTTTTTCTCATTCAAAACAATAAATTTTGTAATATTTATTTTAAAAATAAATTTTTTTTATAAAAGTGAAAACTAGCAATTAACTAAGGTTATTTTAACTTAAAACGAAAAATCAAACGGGGGTTAAAAAAGTCTACAGAAATTTTAAATTCAAAAAAGTCGTCTTTAAATTTAAATATTTTTTTGCTTTTACTTAACCTTTTTTTTATTTTTATTAAAGTTTTAAATAAAATAAAAACTACCACATTAATAATTTTTGTTTTTTTGTTTGAAAAAAGGAGCCGTTAATCTTTTAAAATCTTTATTTTAACATACAAAAAATTACAGATGATGAAAATTGTGAAAATAAACATTTACTAAATTAAACAAAAAAATGAAAATAAATATAGTAGGAATTATTAAATATATTTACATAATTTTTAAAACAAAATTTCATTTGTTTTAAAATTAATGAAACTTTGATTTAAAAAATATTTAATATTTTTTCCTCATTTTAATTTAGCAATCTAAAACTCGAAAATTAATAAAAAAAATCTCTCAAAAATATTTACATTAAATTAAAAATAGGTAAATTTACAAGAAAATCATTTTTAAATTAAAAATCGTCTCTTGTCAAATAATTTCAAAAAAATTAATTTTTAAGCAACAACTTGTATAATTGTTGCTGTAGTTGTTTCTTTTATTTGTTTTGATTCAAAAGATTTTTTATTATTTACTAAAATAATTTCTTCAACAAATTCTTTAATTATTAATTCATTATTATTATTTTCTAAATTTTCTTCATTTTCTTCTTCAATTGTTGGCATTGGTTCGAAAGAACCAGATAAAGTACTTGATTGAGAGGAATGTTGTCGACGACGGCGGGCTGCTGCCAATCTAGCAGCCATTTTTTTGGAAACATTATTTGATTCTCCTCGACTTGGAAATGTTTTGACATTTGCCAAAAATGGAATTTCTGAAAATTTAAAAATTTGGAAAATTTTTGTTTAAAATAATTTAAATTTACCTTTAACAGAAATTAGCCGAATTAATTTTCCAAATAATCTTTTACTTAACCCTCCTCCTCCTCTTTTTTCTTCTACAATTAATTTATTTTCATCATTTATTAATCTTTTTAAATTTTTTCTTTTAGAAAATGCTTGTTCATCCTCTTCTTTACATAAATTATTAACAATTCCCGAAGAGAAAAAAGCTCCATAACGAACTTTTGGAAGTTGAGAAGAATTAGTTGTACAACTACTCGTTGGTAAACACCCAATAGCTGTTGATAATTGGTGGTTATTTGCACAAAACATTTTTTTAAATAAATTCTGAAAAATAAATTAATTAATTTTTATATAAATTGTTAAAGAAAAATTAAAAAATAAATTATAATTTTTTAAAGAAAAGACAATTTTTGTTAATAAAAATAAATAATGTTGGCAAAATTTTTCTATTTCCTTATGCAAACTTTTATGTGAAATTTTGTCTTAAAAAATAAAGGAAATAAATTTTGTTATTTTACAAAAATTATTTAAAGAATTTTTTTGTAAATTTTAAAATAAAAAGAAAATTTTTATAAAAATTCAAAACTAAAAAAGAATGTTTGGGGGTTTTATTAATAATTTAAAAAAGATCAATGATTAAACAATAAATGCAATATTAATTTAATTTTTATTTAATAATTTTTTTTATTTTTTAAATTAATTAATTAATTAATTATTTAAAAATCACCCTATATATATTTTAAATTATTTCTTTTAAGATAAAATATTTTAAAATAATATATGTAATAATAATTATTTTTTTATTACTCACTATATAATTTATTTAAAAAATGTAAAATAAATAAATAAATATTTATGTAAAGTATTTAAATATTTTTTAAATTCGAAATAAATTATTTTAGAATAAATTAAATATTAAAAAAAAGGGGGAATGTGTATATGTATATATTTTAAATAAATTAATTGTTTCACAATTAATTTAAAAATACTTTAGTAGACAGACAAATATATATTAATTATAAAGTGCAAAATGGGTGGAAATAAAAAAAGGGAAAAAATTTTTTGGTGACTTTTTAGGGTTGGAAAAGCATTCCTCGCCCAACAGAGTTTTTTAAATTAATGAGAGAGAAAGAAGACAAAAATTAAAATATTAACTAAAAAGCTAAACAAATAAAAGAAGAAATAAATTGAGAGAATATATTTTTAAATATA